TCCAGCAACTTGTCCATTGCAAACACATGGTTCAAACAGCTGAACAGAAGACTATATATGGACATCACCAGATGGTAAATACAGAAATAAAAAAGACTATGTAATTGGAAGCAGGAGATGGAGAAGCTGTATTCTCTCCACTAAAACAAGAACAGAAGCAGATTGAGGCACTGACCACCAACTGTTAATATCAAACAGAATAAAGCTGAAGAAGAGCATGAAAATAATTATACTTTCAAAATATGATGTAAATAACATTCATGGTGGATTTGAAGTCCACATAAAAAACAGATGGTTAAACTTGATTGACTGACTACCAGAAGAAGTGTGGACTAAAACTAGAAATATTATTAGGGAAGATGAGAATAAACAATGCTGGAAGGAAAAATCAAGATGGATGAAGGAAAAAACACTGAAAATTGTTAAAGACAGGCAAGAGGCAAAAGTAAAAAGGTGGCAAAAGCAGGGTGAGAACCCTGAATACAGTTTTTCAACCACTATCATGTAGAGGTAAAGGGAACTATTATAATAGTCAATGTGAGAAGATAGAACAATAAAGAAGGAAAAACAAGTGACCAGAATATTAAAAAAATAAAACGAAATTCAAATAAAGAATAGTAAGGCTGAACAACTACCACTGAAGCACATATTCTGACCAGGAGAAATTAAAGGGAAGGTGGAAAAAGTATATTGAAAAATATGTACAGAAAAGAGAAAAGTAGGACATCGTTTTGTGATCATGGTATCTCCCCTGCCAGATAATTATAGGACATCGTTTTGAAGAAGATTCTTATGAGAAAAAATCTTTAATTCTAGAAAGTGAAGTGAAAACTTCCCTGAAAGTATTGGGAAGAAATAAATTACCAGTAGATGGGATACCAATAGAATTATTTCAAGATACAGAGACTGAATCTGTCAAGATCCTACCAAGAATATGTCAGTAAATATGGAAAATAAAACAATGGCCTACAGACTTGAAATGGTCAGTATACATCCCAATTTTTAAGAAAGGAGATGACTAGGAATACAGTAACTATAGGACCATTACCCTAATTTCCCCACACAAATAAAGTGATGCTCAAGGTGATGCAGCAAAGTCTTCTATCATATGTAGAACAAGTACTGCCAGATGGAGGTTAGTCTGTGTTTTATAGACTACAGTAAAGCCTTTGTGTGGATCATGAAAAGCTGTGGTTTCTCTGAAAGAAATGGGTGTGATTCAGCACTTGTTCTGATGCATAACCTCTGGTTGTGGGTAGGAAGCCACTGTGAAGACAGAATATGGAGAGACAGAATGGTTTCCTATATTAGCAGACAAGGGCACATTTTACCTCCCTATTTTATAAATATGTACTAGAACATATATGAAAAACTGGGCTAGAATCAGAGGAAGAAGGAGTGAAAATTGGTGGGAGAAATATCAATAACTTAAGATATGCAGGTGAGCATCTTACTGGCTGAAAGCAGCAATGGTTTGAAATGACTTCTGATGAAATTGAAAGGAGAAAGTGCCAAAGCAGGACTGTATTTGAACTTCAAGACAAAAATCATGATTACAGAAGAAATACATAACTTTAACATAGAATGTGCAGATATTGAAATTGTTGAAGATTTCACTTATTTTGGTTTAGTCATCAATTCAAGTGGAGATAGCACCCAAGAAATCAAGAGAAGGCCAAGACTCGGAAGGGCAGCAATGAAAGAATTATGAAAGATCACAGATGTATCATTAGAGACCAAGGTTAAGATCATCCACACCCTCATATTCTAAATTACTATGTGGATGAGAAAGCTGGACAATGAAGAAGGCTGATAGGGGAAAAAGATGACTCATTTGAAATACGGTGTTGGGGGAGAGCTCTATGGATGCCCTGAACCACCAGAAAGATGAACAAGTAGGTCCTTGAGCAAATTAAGCCTGAAATATTGCTGGAGGCAAAAATGGCAAAACTAAAGATGTTCTATTTTTCTCATATCATGAGAAGGTAGGATTCTTTGGAAAAGACAATAATTCTGGAAGAAAAATAGAAGGTGGCAGGAGAAGAGGGAAAACCACATATGAGATGGATTGACTTCATAAAAGAAGCCATAGGCATGAGTCCTCAAAGCTGAACAAGGCTACTGAGGATAGGACATTGTGGATATCACATATTCATGTGGTAACCAGGATTTGGAGCCGACTCAGTGCCATATGGCATATGGCGGTGTGCGCGCGTACATCTCTGCCTTCTTTTTTTTTAATACATTTTATTGATTTTTTACAGAGAGGAAGGGAGAGAGATAGAGAGTTAGAAACATCGATGAGAGAGAAACATCGATCAGCTGCCTCCTGCACATCTCCCACTGGGGATGTGCCCGCAACCCAGGTACATGCCCTTGACCGGAATCGAACCTGGGACCCTTGAGTCCGCAGGCCGACGCTCTATCCACTGAGCCAAACCGGATTCGGCATGCCTTCTTTTGTTTATTGTTTGCATGGGAAATCTTTTTCCATTTGTTTACTTTCAACCCGCTCATAGCTCGCTGCCCCGCCCTCCTGTAGCTCTCTGCCGCTTGTAGATTGATCATGACATTATGGTATCCCAGCTAATTTGCATATTCCTCTATTATTATATTAGACTAGAGGCCCAGTGCACGAAATTCGTGCACTGGGTGGTGGGTTCCCTCAGCCCAGCCTTCTCCTCTCACAGTCTGGGAGCCCTTAGTGGATGTCCTACTGACGGGCACAGTCTGGCAGCAGAGGCTCGGAGCAGGTGTCCCGTGTGTGTGTGTGTGTGTGTGTGTGTGTGTGTGTGTGTGTGTCTGCTGGGGGCCTGCCACACCTTGGAGGCTTGGAGCAGGCGCCCCTCTGTGTTGATCTCTCAGGCTCCTGGCCTCCACTGCGTGTTGTTTTCTCCCGTGAGCTGTGGCAGGGTGGGGTGCTGCCTTCAGGCCGCACTTTCCTGCTCACGGATCGCCAAGGAGACCCAAGGGCAGGCCCTGCTGGGTGCTGCCTGCGGGCTGTGCTTTCCTGCTCGCAGATCGCCACGGCGACCGCGGAGCAGGCCCTGCTGGGTGCTGCCTGTGGGCCACACTTTCCTGCTCTCGGATCGCCACGGTGACCCAGGAGCAGGCCATCCTGGGTGCTGCCTGCGGGCTGTGCTTTCCTGCTCGTGAATCGCCACGGCGACCTGGGAGCAGGCCCTGCTGGGTGCTGCCTGTTGGGGGCTGCCTGCAGGCCGAACTTTCCTGCTCTCGGATCACCACATTAACCCAGAAGCAGGCCCTCCTGGGTGCTGCCTGCAGGCGGCACTTTCCTGCTTGCGGATCGCCATGGTGACCGGGGAGCAGGCCCTGTTGGGGGATGCCTGCTGGCTGCACTTTCCTGCTCGCGGATCACCATGGCGACCGGGGAACAGGCCCTGCTTGGTGCAGCCTGCGGGCCACACTTTCCTGCTCTCGGGTTGCCACGGCGACCAGGGAGCAGGCCCTGCTGTTTGCTGCCTGCGGGCTGCACTTTCCTGCTCTCGGATCGCCAAGGCGACCCAGGTGCAGGCCCTGCTGGGTGCTGCCTGCTGGGGGCTGCCTATGGGCAGCGCTTTCCTGCTCACGATCCCCACTTGCAGATCGCCATGGCAACCTGGGAACAGGCCCTCCTGGGAGGCCGAGATGGCGGTGGGCGGGTGGTGGATCGCCGCTATCCCGCCCCGCGCCCTGAGTCACACAGGGGAGGCCAGGATGGCTGCGGGAGGGCGGCGGATTGCGCTGTCCCGCCCTGCATGCAGTATGCAAATTTAACGGCCATCTTTGTTGGGTTAATTTGCATACTCTTCTGATTGTCTGATGGGCATAGCAAAGGTATGGTCAGTTAGCATCTTTGTCTTTTATTAGTGTAGATATTTTAAACTGATACCAACTTATCAGTAACTTTAGTCCTTTACAGTTTGCCTCCCCATCTTTGTTATTAATGTAACAAATGACATATTATATATCATCAACCTATTGGAGGCCTGGTGCACGAATAAGTCGCTCAGTCCAGCCTGCGCCCTCTTGCAGTCCGGGACCCCTAGGGGAATGTCCACCTGCTGGCTTAGGCCCGCTCCCTGGGGGATCGTGCCTAAGCTGGTGGTCAGACATCCGTCTTGCAGTCTGGAAACACTTGGGGGATGTTCACCTGCCACCTTAGGCCTGCTACCAGGGGGATTTGGCCTAAGCTTGCAGTCAGACATCCTTAGTGCTTCTGAGGAGGCAGGATGGGCTTCTGCCACCACCGCTGTGCTCTTTCTTTTGGGTGTATACCCAGGAGTGGGATTTCTGGTTCATATTCAACATTTTTCTTAGTATTTGGTTTCCTTCAGTTTGATTATGATATGCCTAGGTGTAGATTTTTTTGGGGTATTTATTTTGCTTTGTGTTCTTAGAGCTTCCTGGATCTATGGTTTGGTGTCTTTATCATTTATTTACTTTGGAAATCTATCATTCATTAGTACTTCATTTTTTTTCCTTCTGGTATTCCTATTATGCATATGTTACAACTATTACAATTGTCTTACAATTCTTGGATATTCTGTTTTATTACTTTTTCTTTTATTTTTCTCTTTGCATTTCAGTTTGGGAAGTTTATGTTTCTGTATCTTGATGATTTTGGATTTAAAAACTTCTTTCCAGTTCATTGGGAGTGTATTTAAAATACAATTCATTTTTTGTGTACTTTTTTGTATATCATGTTACCTTGCTAGATTTTTAATTATTTGTATAATTCTGATTAAAATGTAAAAACATGGAACTACAACTTCGGAGGTCATAATTTACAACAAATGACATTTTGGTCAAGCATACAGTCTTAGACTAGTTGAAGAATGAAGGTGAGCTAATACAATTATAGTTGAATTCTGTTTTATGTATATTATTTGTAATTATTTTTTCTTAATATGACATTTTAGGGATGAAGTATATCTAACTTTTAAAATGAAAAATATTTGAATATTTCAACTTTATTTTTAATAACTTTTTTTTCTTAGGAGCTGTGGTCTTGAAGAACCTTGAAATTAAAGAAAATGCCCTGGTAGGTTTTGACTGTAAGAAATTTGATAGTGCATTTATAGACTTTTTCCTGATTTACTTTGTCACTTTAAATCATTTAATTTTGAGAAAATTTTTTGAAAATAAGTTTTGTAAAATGTGAATTTTGCAAAATGAATTCTTACTCTCCTTAAAAGCACAAACTGAGTGTGTAATTTTCTCCATATAAAAATACTTCTAATGTTTCTTTTTATATGATGTTATTTTTAGAAACATTTCTTAAAGTATAATTGATATATTATGTTATTAGTTTCTCTGTGTTTTCATTTTCCCAGTCATCTTTAGTATTTTATACCATTTTAATCATTTTTTACTATAGAATTGAGTGGCATTGATTACATTTACAGTGCTGTGCAACCATGACCAGTATCTGTTTCTAAAAGTTTGTCATTATGCCAAAGGGAACTCTGTAACCATAAAAGATACAACTTCCTAGACTTCCCTGTAGACCCTGGAAACCTCTAATGTATTTTCTATTAATTTGCCTATTTCAGTTATCTCATATAAATGGAATTATGCTATTTTGTCATTTTTCTGTCTGGCTTGTTTTACTCATTGTAATTCCTTCAAGGTTTATCCATGTTGTAGCATGTTTCAGAACATCTTTCCTTTTTATGGCTTAGTAATATTCTATATGTATATGCCACATTTTGTTTATTGATCTGTTGATGGACACTTGGATTGTTTCTGTCTTTTGGCTTTTATGAACAATGCTGGTATAAATATTGACATACACATATCTATAAATTTAAATAAGCATTGAAGATAAAGGGAAGGTGTAAGTTAACTTTAAACCCTTTAAATAATTCTAGGAAGAAAAAAGTAGTCATCTGTTGTGTACTAATATTTTACATCTGTGTATTTTTTGTAGAGTCAACTGGATGTACCATTTAAAATTAAAGTTGGTTATATAGGTAAGCTGTGTTTATTTGAACATTCCCCTTGCTGGACATGCAACCAGAATAATATGCTTGGTATCCTTATTATGTGATATTTTTAATGTTTTTGAGCATTAATTGTAAGTAATCATGTGTTTTTATCTAGATGGAGCTTAATCATATGACAAAAATATTTTATGGTCCATCTATATTTTGTCTAATATGTATGAAATTATATGCCTTATTAGATGTTAAAAATGAGTTAATTGAGAGCTAAGGTGTTACTAGAAAGCATATAACCCCTCAGTTTTTTAGGTTTCTGACTAGTTATATTTGCTATATTCTGTTTGGCCATGGATATGTGGTGTAAGGAGTAGGGTCTAGGTCAGCCAGACAGTGTGACTAGGGACCTATCAGAAATTGAGTTTCTACTCCGGAAGTTTTCTAGGTTGCCCTGAATATTGAGCTAGTTCTTGACCTGTATTATTTTACTGGTGTTCATACTTTACATTTTTCCCCTTTTTTAAAATTGAATTTATTGGGGGTGACACTAATTAACAAAATTACAAAGGTTTCCGTTGCACAATTTTATAACACATCATCTGTACACTGTACTGTGTGTTCACCACCCCAAGTCAAGTCAAACATTTTATGTTTATTGCTTAGGCAAAAACTAATTAGAATATGATGTTTTAAAATGCTTAATAAAAACGTGTTTGGTTTCTTAAATTATGTTGGTTTATTGTTTTAACTTTATTGTTTAAATTACTGTTTGAATTTTATTGCTTTAAATTTTATGCAAGATGGTAGTGTCATTAATTAAGATTTGAAAGTATACAGATATACTTTGTTGTACAGATAAGTTTGTGTAGTAGGATTTATAGAATGTTATTGCTACATATTGGTGTCAGTGGGGGAACAAGGTATTTTGAAAGCTTATCTAAATTACATGATTAATGTCCTCATAATTTTGTGCACTTATGGTTGGTGTTAGACCATTTGCCTAAGAAAATTTTCATTATCTTAATGTTGCTGAGACTCAAAGGATCTCTCTTCTCCCTTAATTTAAAGATGTTTTAGTATAAGAAGGGAAAACATGTCACCCATTGTTTTCCACCTAATATGTTTATTTTTGCATATTTCTATATGATTTTTTACATGTGTACCTTTTAATTACTTGTAATCATGGAATATGTACGATTTCATATTCTTTTTAGTTAACAGTTAGTAAAGATTTCTCATAATCCATGTTGATTTGACCTCATTTATTTTTTATGGTAGTGTTATAATCCAATGAATACATATTTGGAAATTGTAGTGATCCTGTATTTCCAAAGGTACAAAAATATTGCAGTGAACATATGCTTCACCATATTTAACAATGATAAAAGGCAATTTTCAGTGTTAATATAAGATAGTGGAAAACTGTTTAGTAATGGAGAACTATTTTGTGTGTTTTGAAACTTAGGTGCACTGTTCCCTGGAAAAAGCTAAAGAAAAAAAAAAGATAGTGGAATGTATACTGCATTAAGTACCAAATACATAAGATAATTTTGAGACTCATTTAAGGTGTTGTTTGCATACCCCTAACACAGCACCTGTCTTTCTTTAATATCAGTATTGTTATCTTCTGCTAGACAGTAAGTTTCTTGAGAAGTGGAATTAATTTTTATTGTATTCATACCACTTAGCAAAATACCTAGCATTTGGTAGGCACATTATTTGTTGAATGAAAAAAGTAATGCTTCCAAGTGAGTGGTACAGCAATATAACCAGTTTTATAGGAACATATTGTTCCCTTGCTATTATTGGATAGTAGAGGCCCAGTGCATGAAGTTCGTACACTCAGGGGGATCCCTCAGTCCAGCCTGTGCCCTCTCCACTCGGGGGATGTCTGACTGACGACTTAGTCCTGGGGAGAGCTGGCCTAAGCTGGCAGTTGGACATCCTTAGCACTGCTGCGGAGGTGGGAGAGGCTCCTTCCACCTCCACTGTGCTCACCAGCCGTGAGCCTGTATTCTGGCTGAGCGGAGCTCCCCCTGTGGGAGCACACTGACCACCAGAGGGAAGCTCCTGTGTTGAGTGTCTGCCCCCAGGTGGTCAGTGTGCATCATAGCGACTAATCTTCTGTTGTTCGGTCGATTTGCATATTAGCCTTTTATTATATAGGACTAGAGGCCTGGTGCAAGAAATTCATGCACGGGGTGTGTGTGTGTCCCTCAGCCCAGCCTGCACCCTCTGTCCTTAAGTTTATTAAATTTTTTAGATTAATTTTTAAAAATATGCTTTTATTGACTTCAGAGGGAGGAAGGGAGAGGGAGAGATAAAAACAATGATGAGAGAGAGAATCATCAATTGCTTGCCTCTTGCATGCTCCCTACTGGGGGTCGAGCCCAACTAAGGCATGTGCCCTGACCGAGAATTGAACCACCATCTCCTGGTTCATGGGTGGACACTTAACCACTGAGCAACACAGGCCGGGCCTTTTTTTTTTTTTATTAATGTATGTGAGTATATGTGTAAACAAAAATGTATGTGAGTATATGTGTAAAAAAAATTTGCTGTAAATCTGCTTGATACAGTTGTAAAAAACTGTCAAATGTGTTGCAACTCATTACATTTTGTACAAAATTTTTTTTAAAAAATCCTGACCTGCGGATATGTTTATTGATTTTTAGATAGAGTAAGGGAGAGAAATGGAGAGAGAGAGAGAGAAAGAGAGACATTGATGTGAGAGAGCTCTGACTGGGGATCGAACCCGCCACCTTTTGGTATATGGGTTGATGCTCCAACCAACTGAGCATCACTGGTCAGGGTTTTTATAACATTGGTTATGAAAAGAGATAGCTCTAAGTAGATTTTTTTCCCCTTCCTAAATTACTAACCAGTTAATGTGATAATAGTGTATTAAATAGTCTTTTCCTTTCCTAATTATGACAACTATTTCTAAATCTAGAGACTCATACTTTCTAAGGAATTTAAAAATACTTAAAAATCTTTATTAGGGAAAATTTCTAAATACACAAAACTAGAATCAATAGTATAAGCAACCCCTCACATAATATATTTTTTTTTAATTTGAGTTGTAACATATTTTGCTATTGGATTGTAAATTATTTTCATTAGTTTGAATAATTATCAAATATTTCCCATAATACCAGAGATATTTGTGTGCAATATTCTTATGGTGATAATCATACAATGTATATTATTGTACATACATTCCTGCACTGCATAATGACATTTTGGTCAACAACGGACCACTTATACGATATGGTACTATAAGATTATACGGAGCTGAAAAATTCCTACTATCTAGTAATGGCATAGCTGTTGCAACTCAAGGCATTACTCACGTGACTGTGGTGGTGCAGGTGTAAACACATCTACTGCACTGCCAGTATAAAAGTATAAGACATACACTTATGTATGGTACATAAAACTTCATAAAGACAGTAAATGGATTGTTACTATTTTATGTACTTACTATAGTATACTTTATACTTAAAATTTTTTTTAAATTCTCACCTGAGAGTATATTTTTTTGTGTGGTTTTAAAAAATATTTTCATTGATTTTTTTTTTTTTTAGAGAGAGGATATCTTTTTTATTAATTTTATGAAGAGAGGAGTGGGGAGAGAGAAAAAGAGAGAAAGAAACATCAATATGAGAGAGAAACATCAATCAGTTGCCTCCACTACACACCCTGACCAGGAATCGAACCCACAGTCTTTTGGTGTATGGGATGATGCTCAAACCACCTGAGCCACCTGGCCAGGGCTATACTTTATGTTTTTATTGTTATTTTAGAGTACACTTTTCCTACTTAAAAAAAATTGCTGTAAATCAGCATGCTCTGTTACTTTGACAGCAGCCTCTTATGTCTCATGCTCATATATCAGCAGCCTCATATGTCTCATATTACTCAGGCTCCTGATTGCATCATTTTCTCTTGTGTTTGATTGAATTTTGTGTTGTTGTGTATGGTAACCTTTTGTACAGGTTTGTAGCCTAGGAGCAGTAGGCTGTACTATGTAGCCTGGCTACGTAGTAGGCTAGACCACTGAAGTTTGTGTAAGGGCACTCTGCGTTTGCACAATGTCAAAAATCACTTAACGATGAATTTCTCAGGATGTATCCCCATTGTTAAACCGTGTGTATAATCTTTACATGTGAAAAATAAACATATAAAGTAGATAATCTTTTTTAAAGTATAAGGAAAGTACTTCTTACAGAGATTTAGAGGAAGAATGGGGATATTCTAAGTTATAATAAAAAGGATTGTTGGTTAATGGAAGAAGAATATTAGTATGTTTGTGGTACAGATAGCCATAAATATTTAGGATATCATTTAGTAGATTTTCCAACAATATTGATTAATACAAATAATTTCAAATTTTCACCACAAAGCCTTATTTTTGGTTGTAAAATAGCTTTCTATAAAGTGACTGAGCTTGTAATCTTTTCTAATGTCTGACAGAAAATAGGCTGACAGTAAATGTAGTTTAAATGAATATTTTTTGTGTTTTTTTTTTTTAATGTAGGTAACCTTAATCTTAAAATTCCATGGAAAAACCTTTATACTCAACCAGTTGTAGCTGTACTGGAAAACATTTATTTACTCATAGTGCCTTCTTCTAGTAAGTCAAATTTTAAACATTATAATTTAAATTACTCTTTTTTGTAGATGGAAAATCTTTATATTTTATTGTATTCAAAATATTTTGGGAATTTTTTTTGTGATTTTTAAAAATATATGCATTTGGTGCTAGGTAATTGAATTAAATTGGGTTTCACACTAAATTTTTGTATACCTGGAATTAGTGATTATTGTCTTGTATGTTTTTTGGAATGAGTACATTTAAATTTAATGTAATTAAGATTCTCCCTTTTTATGCTTCCTTTAGTAATAAAATATGATTCTTTAAAAGAAGAAAAGCAACTTTTGGAAGCAAAGCAGCAGGAACTAAAAAGAATAGAAGAAGCCAAACAAAAAGTAGCTAATCAAGGTAAAGAAAATAAAGAAGAATTGAAATAAGAAATGGAGAAAAGACCAAAATATTGATCACATTTGAATATTATTTTTCTTTGGAAGCACTGAAGTTATTTAACAAATATGAGAGAATCTTATTACATGGGGCATTTTAATGCATTTAATGTGTTCTATCATGTTTATAAAAATTTTTATCTATTAGACATTTATCTTAGGGAAAATAATATACCAAGCTTATAAGGGAAAGGTTAGTTTTTAACTACAATATTTAATTGGATCAAGTGTGTTTTCTTACCTTTCTAGCCTTTTCCTTTTTATTCTGCTTTTATCAGGTCACCTTTTGGATATGCTGCGTCCCTTTATATATTTACTAGAGGCCTGGTGCATGAAATTTGTGCACAGGTACAGTCCCTAGGCCTGGCCTGCAATCAGGGCCATCTTCCCCAGCTGCCCACAGCCAGCCCCACCCCCCGCCGCCACTCGCTCCCGGTTTCCCGCTCACTATTGGGTGACCCATGGGGGGAAGGGACCGAGAGGTCGGCTGTTCCCACCCACTCGCTGGCCCCACCCCTGCCATGGGTGGCCATCAGGTGATTGGAGCCTGCCGGCTGGGGAAAGGGACCAAGAGATGGTCAGTGCGCCTCATAGTGACTCGTCCATGTTCTGCCATTAGGGTCAATTTGCATATTACCCTTTTATTATATAGGACACTTTCCCAAATCTGTTTATTTATCCTCTGGCTTCACATCCTTTCCAATTCAACCTAGACCAAATGGTCCATTACTTCAGTTCCTTCTTTTGTTGGCAGAAGAGATGTCCTGCAGAAATCTAATTCCTTTCTACTTGTGCTGCATGCAGCATCATCAGCTATTTTTACTCAGACTCTAACTTCTCCCTCTAGTGAATCCTTCTTCTTAACATGGAGATATACTGTAGCCTTTCTTAGCTTCTAAAATAGTCATTTTCCTAACCTAGTCATGTGTTTATCTTCTCTATCCTTCATTTAAAAGTTAAGCATCTTAAAAGTAAGGTAGATATATACTGATTTCACTATCCTTGCCATACATTAATTTTTTAGAATAAAAAATATAACCCAATATTAACTTTTTACCTGTTGACAAACAGGTAAAAAATATAAAGGAGATTTAATGCAATTCCTGGCAACACTTTTTGTAATTATTTTTTCTTCTCTGTCACAGTTCTTTCATATCTTGTGTGGTCATTCATATCTACTTATTTTCTGGGTTGTTTTTTTTTTTAAATGGTAACATCTTAATGGGGATGAAATGGTTTCATGTAGTGTAGATTTGCACTTCCCTAAAAATTAGTATTTGAGCATCCTTTTATGTGCTTACTGGCCATCTCTATATCTTTGGAGAAATGTCTATTCAAGTATTTTCCCATTTTTTAATTGTGTTTTTTTGGGGGAGGGTATGTGGTCAGAGTTCTCTGTGTATTCTGAATATTAATCCCTTATTAGATATGTGATTTGCAAATTTTATTCCTTTCTGTAGGTAGCATCTTTACTCTGTTGATAGTCTACAAGGCCCCAAATTTTAAAGTTTTCATGAAGTTCATTTTGTCTGCTTTTCTTCTGTTGCCTGTGCCTTTGTTATCATATATAAGAAATTATGATCAAATCCAGTTTCCTATGTTTTCTTATAAGAATTTTATAGTTTTAGATCTTACAGTTAAATCTTTGATTTTTTTAAGTTCATTTTTATATTTTGTTAGATAAAGGTTCAACTTCATTCTCTTGCATGTGAATATCTGGATATATAGTTTTCCAAGCATCATTTCTTAAAAATACTGTTCTTTCCCATTGAATAGTCTTGGCACTTTTTTAAAAAAGTTATTTGAGGGTATGTGAAGATTTATTTCTGGGATTTTTAGTTTATTCATTGGTCAATACCACCCTGTTTTGATTACTATACTTTTGTTGTAAGTTTTGCAATTAGGAAGTGTGATTCTTTCAGCTTTGTTCTTCCTTTTCAGGTTTATTTTAATTATTTGAGATTCCATATGAATTTTACGATGGATTTTTTTTTCCTGTGCAAAAAATGTCATTGATATTTTGATACGGATTGCTTTGAATCTGTAGAGTCCTTTGGGCAATATTGATGTGTTAACAATATCAAATCTTCCAATCCATGAATATGGATGAGATGTCCTTCCACTTATGTCTTTTAAATTTTTTCCTAAGTATTTTATTTTTTTGATGCTATTATAAAGGGAATTATATTTGTAATTTACTTTAAGATTGTCCATTGATTGGAAATAGATATGCAAGTGATTTGTTTGTGCTGGCTTTGTACCTTCCTACTTTGCTGAATTAGTTTATTAGTTCTAACAATTTTTGTGTGTGGAATTATATAGGGTTTTCTTTATAAAAGATAATGTTATCTGTGAACAGAAATAATGTTATTTTTTTCCTTTCCAATTTGTATGCCATTTATTTATTTTCTCTTGAGTAATTACTCTGACTAGAATTTCCATACTATGTTGAATGGAAGTGGCAAAAGTGGGCATCCTTACCTTTTCCCTGAACTGAGAGGTAAAGCTTTCAGACTTTCACTATTGAGTATGATGTGAGTTTTCACCTGTGATCTTTATTATGTTAAATTAGTTTCCTTTTATTGCTAGTTTATTGAGTGTTTTTATTATGAAAGGGTATTGACGTTTATCAAATGTTTTTTCTTAACCAGTTGAGATGATCATTTGTTTTTTTCTTTTATTTTGTTGATATGGTATATTAAATTGATTGATTTTCATAAATAGAGCCATCCTTCCATTGCAGGAATAAATTGTATTAAATCATGGTGTGCAATCCTTATAATGGGCTTTTATTTTTTATTTGTTAACATATTGTTGAAGTATTTTGTGTCAGTATTCATTATGGATATTGATCTGTAGTTTTTTGTGGTATGTTTGTCTTGCTTGTGTGTCAGATTAATGCTGATCTCATATTGAGTTTGGAAATACTCCCCTCTCTTCAGTTTTTTGGAAGAGTTTGAAGTGGATAGATGTTCTCTTTTAAATGTTTGGTAGAGTTCACAAGTGAAGCCATGAGGTCCAGAGCTTTCTTTTGTCAAGAGATTTTTGATTACTGATTTGATCTTCTGTGAATTATCTGACTATTCAGATTTTCCGTTTCTTTGTGATTTTGCCTTGGTAGATTTTGTTTTTCTAGGAATTTGTCCATTTCATCTGGTATTACAGTTTGTTAGTAAAAATTTTTCATAGTACTATCTTATAATCATTCTTTTTATTTCTGTAGAATAAATAGAATAAGTAGTAATGTTCCCACTCTCATTTGTGACTTAAGTAATTTCAGTCTTAATCTCTTTTTTTCTTACCTATTTAGATTTTTTTTTTTTTGGAAAAGAGAGCTTTTATTGGCATTTTTAAGTGGAGGAAATAGGGGTAGTAACTAGTGGTTATTAAAGGCATATTAAAAAATTAGGAACCTCAATTTTTTTATTCTTTCTGTTCCCCTGAAAAATATTGAAACTGGAGATAGCAAATAGGTTTTAGAAAAAGAAACACCTGATGAACTTCCTTCATCATTGCTGTAAAGGAGAGAGGGTAATATCTTGTATCTTCCTACTTTGTATTCATCAGGAGAATCGTATTCAACTATTTTATACACCTAACCACAGACAACTTATGATGTTATCTCTAATTTTAAGGGAGATTCCATCTTTGCTGCTTCCTCTAGCTTTTTTCGTATAAACCTATTATAATTCTTACTTAATAATCTTAGTTGTTGTCCATATCTTTATGTACTCAGATATAATTAACAGAAGTTTATAAAATTTAATGCCAATAAATTTTGCAAGATTGGCTTTAGTTTCACTGAACAAGAAACTAGTTTGAAAACTGTACTTAGTTGCCTTTGAAAATCTCTTGGTATGGAAGATTTTTGAAAAGCAAATCTACAAATATAGATTTTTTTCTTTAACAAGGTAACATTTGTATACCTCAATATGTGGACATTTATAGAATATATTTTTCATTCAAGTTTAAAAAGGAATATTTGCAATTCTAGAAAAACTCCTGGTGGAGAAACAAGACACTTTTACAGAAAAATTAATTACTCAGATCATAAAGAATCTTCAAGTGAAAATTTCCAACATTCATATTCGTTATGAAGATGATGTAAGTATTTTAACAAATGAATCTTGTTTTTATATTTATATATATTCCACTGTTTATGGAAACCTGCTCTGTAGTAGCCCATCTATTAGATCCTGGGAAGTGAAGGAATAGGGCTGAAAATAACATAATCTTTATTTTCTATAACTATAGTTGTAATTTGCAGTCCTTCCTGCCTTGGTTACAATTCCCTAAAGTGTTCAAACATCAGATAATGAAGGAAAATTCCTATCTTAGTACCTGTGATAGGTGGGATTATGAATTTAGCTATTATATGGTTTTAAGAGACTTTAAATTATACGGTATTTATTTCCTGGAAAGAGCACCGGTCTAGGAATCAGTAGAGCAAGATTTAACTAACTGATCTCAAGTAGATCATGTATTCTCTCTAAAACACATAATGATTAGCTTCTCACAGTACTATTATGAGGGTCAATCATTTTTTGTAAGCTTTTTTTGATAAAGTGTAAAACATTATGCAGATGTATTATTTTAGAACACTAATGCATTGATGCTTAATATTTTAATTAATATGTGTCAGAAAAAAATATAGAAATAAAAGTTGTTCTGGAAAGTATTAAATGTTTTTGAATGTTTGAAATTGCATTCTGTAATGTAAATTTTGTTCAACTACTAAAAATCTGAGAAAAATGTACTGTGTTTCCTTTTTAGATCACAAATCAAGAAAACCCACTGTCATTTGGTATTTCTCTTCAAAATCTCAGCATGCAGGTACTTTGTTTAAAAATAAATTTAACCATATTTAATTGTGTAGTTAATCTACAAATTGCTATTCATTTATGCAAGCATTAGAAATAGATGTCTATATAGAATTAGTACCTATAATACATGGATTGGATTGGAACTGAGGATAGGTAATTTCACATTTGAAAAAATGGTTGATAACCAAATTCAAGTTAAAATACGAGGGCCTATTATCATTTGCTAATTATTGATATTTGATAATTTTTTAAACTTAAAATCCATCACTTGTTTTTTAAATATATTTTTTATTGATTTCAGAGAGGAAGAGAGATAGAGAGAGAGAGAGAGAGAGAGAGAGAAACATCAATGATGAGAGAGAATCATTGATCAGCTGCCTCTTGCATGCCCCACACTGGAAATCGAGCCCACAACCTGGGCATGTGCCCTGATCAGGAATTGAGCCATGAGCTCCAGGTTCATAGGTTGACGCTCAGTGCTCAACCACTGAGCCATGTTGGCCAGGCCCATTTCTGAGAAACTTTTAGAAACTTTAAGTCATGAAAAGTACAAAGAAACAAGCCACCGTGTCCTCATCATTATTAATAATGTGGAATACTGATAAAAACTCTCAGCAAAGTGGGAATAGAGGGATCATACCTCAACATAATAAAAGCCTTAAATGACAGATATACAGCCAATATCATACTCAGTGGGCAAAAACTAAAACCATTTCCCCTAATAAAAGGAACAGGATAGGGATGCCCATTTTCACCACTACTGTTTGACATAGTATTGGAAATGCTAGCCATAGCAATCAGACAAGAAGAAGAAATAAAAGGCATCCAAATTGGAAAAGAAGAAGTAAAGCTGTCATTATTTGCAGATGACATGATATTGTACATAGAAAACCCTAAAGACTCCGTAAAAAAAACCTACTAGACTTAATAAATGAATTCGGCAATGTAGCAGGATACAAAATTAACACCCAGAAGTCTATGGCATTTTTATACACCAATAATGAACTCGCAGAAAGAGAAACTAAAAAAAAAAAAATCATACTTACCATTGCAATAAAAAAGTTAAGATATCTAGGAATAAACTTAACTAAGGAGGTAAAAGACCTGTACTTGGAAAACTACAAGACATTGAAAAAGAGATAGAGGAAGACATAACCAAATGGAAGAATATACTGTGTTCATGGATTGGTAGAATCAACATCATTAAAATGTCCATACTACCCTGAGCAATTTATAGATTCAATGCAATCCCCATTAAAATACCAATGGCATATTTCACAGACCTAGAACGAACACTCCAAAAATTTACATGGAATAAAAATAGTAGCCACAGCAATCCTGAGAAAAAAGAACAAAGTTGGAGGGATCACAATACCAGATATCAAGCTATATTACAAAGCCACTGTTCTCAAAACTGCCTGGTACTGGCACAAGAACAGACTATATAGACTAATGGAACAGAACAGAGAACCCAGAAATCGACACAAGCTATTATACTCAATTAATATTTAAAAAAGGAAGCAAGAGCATACAATGGAGTCAAAACAGTCTCTTCAGTAAATGGTGTTGGGAAAATTGAGCAGATACATACAAAAAAATGAAACTAGATCACCAACTTACACATTACACAAAAATAAACTCAAAATGGATAAAGGACTTAAGTAAGATGGGAAACCATAAAAATCTTAGAAGAATCCATAGGCAGCAAAATATCAGACAAATGTCATAGCAATAGCTTTACTCTAGGACAGTGGAAACTAAGGAGAAATTAAACAAATGGGACTACATCAAAATAATCATCTGCACAGCAAAAGAAACCATCAACAAAACAGTCCACTGTATGGGAGAACATATTTACTATCTCTGATAAGGGTTTCATCTCCAAAATTTATAGGGAACTCACACAACTTAACAAAAGGAAGATAATCCAGTCAAAAAATGGGCAAAGGACCTAAATAGACCCCTTATGAAAGAGGACATACAGAAGGCCAAGAGACATGAAAACATGCTCAAAGTCACTAATCATCGGAGAGATCCAAATCAAAACGAGAATGAGATACCATCTCACACCTTTCAAAATGGCCATCATCAACAAATCAACAAACAACAAGTGCTGCTGGCAAGGATGTGGGAAAAAAGGAACCTTCATGCGTTGTTGGTGGGAATGCAGGCTGGTGCACTCACTGTGGAAAACAGTATGGAGTTTCCTCAAAAAGTGAAAAATGAAACTCCCATTTGACCCAGTAATCACACTTCTAGAAATATATCCCAAGAAATCAGAAACACCAATCAGAAAGGATATATGCCCCCCTATGTTCATGGCAGCACAATTTACAATAGCTAAAATTTGGAAACAGCCTAAGTGCCCATCAGCAGATAAGTGGATTGAAAAACTGTGGTACATCTGCACAATGGAATACTACTCCACTATTGGAAAGAAGAAACTTTTACCATTTGCAACAGCATGGATGGAATTGGAGAGCAAAATAAGCCAGTCAGAGAAAGATAAATATTACATGATCTCACTCATATGTGGGATATAATGACCAACATAAACTAATGAACAAAAATAGATCCAGAGACAACGAAACACCGAACAGACCGTCCAACCTCAGAGGGAAGGCAGGGGTGGACGGGGGATGGGGGGGGTTGGGAGGGTGCAGGGGGAGGGCGTGGGACGGTGTAAGAGATCAAGCAAAGGACTTGTATGCATGCATATTAGCCTAACCAATGGACATGGACACTGGGGCAGTGGGGGCTCGTTCTAGGGATGGGAGTGGCCAGGAAGGGGTTAGTTGGGAAAAAGGAGACATATGTAATAACTTTAAACAATAAAAATAAATAAAAAAAGATTGCTAGTGGAACATAAAAAATAGACACCAAGGGAGTTAATTTTTATAAAAAAAAATTAAAAAATGTGGCATACTTTATGTCTAATTTTTCAAATTGAGGAGTTTTACAAGTCTAGGAACACACAGAATTATGAAACATTCACTTTTAATGGAAAGAAAAATTGGTAAAATTGTCAATTTGTTTAAGTTTTAAATACTTTAAAAGAATAAACTGTTATGAATACAGTTTAAATTCCTTTGTCCTCTACTGCTATGCTTTCCTCTAGCTCCGGAGATAAACATCCTAAGTTTTTACACTTTTATATAATATAGCCATTAAAATTATATATAGTATTTGGTAGGTTTTGAAAAGTTACATAAATATTTTATGTGATTCTTCTATTAAGTTCCCCTTTTCTCCTCACAATGTGTTTAACATCTATGTTGCCACATGTAATTTATAATTCATTCCATTTAACTGCTGTATAGTATTTTCTTTACATGCTTGCTTTTGTTGTATTCATTAGCTTTTTGTGTATGACTTTTTTTTTTTTTAAAAAAAAACAACAAAAAAAAACATGGTCTACTCTAAGAAATGCCAAATGAAAAGTTACTCAGTAATGTCGGTGGGGTAAAATGTCAAATGCTCCGCTGAAAAATAAGGATGGATAATGATGGAGAATTAGCTGTTGTAATTAGCATTGTGAAGGCCATTGGTGACTGTGACAGCAGTGATTTTGACCATCACCTTTGCAGGGCCTTGGAAACTTGTTCCCCAGCCCAGACCTATTCCATTAGAAACTCAGGAATGGGCCCAGCAATCCATGTTTTAAAAAGCCCTCTATGTGATACTATTGCATAATAAAGTTTGAGAACCACTTTTCTAATCCATTTAGTTCTGTACCAAAAAAAAAAATGAAAACCATCTTTTTAAATAAGCATCTTGATTCTCCTCAGGGGCTTTTTATTGCTTTTATAATAAAGTCTATAGTTTTGCCTTCGAGTCGTTTATAATCCTTTTGTAATCTGATAGCAGGTAAGATATCTGATTTCAACTCTTTTCATTGTTTTACATTATGTTTTCAGGCCATACTGGGCCATTTTACTTCTCTGAACATGTCAGATGTTCGCATATCTTTCTAGAATGAATAATATTCCCTATTGACCTTAGAATCAGTAATTTCTATTCATATGTTATATATTAGGTTAGACATCATTTTCTCCATTTTTAAAAATAATGGTTTGAGGCTTCTACTGTATTCTCCCAGTATTGTATATTTAACCTCTGTAGTGGCACTTACTTGATTGTAATTGTTTCTTTACGTGTTTGCTTTTCAATCAATAATGAGCTCATTGAAAGCAGAGACTTGTGGTTCAGTTATTTTTTGAATGTTATGTTTTCAAATACATTTTCAAGGGGAAATTGGTGTAGGGAGTAATCGATAGGATTTATCACTCTGCCACATAGCACTTGGAAATGACACATTTATTGCCTTTCTTATTCCAGACAACTGATCAAAACTGGGCTCCATGTTTGCATGATGAAACTGAGAAACTATTTCGTAAGGTAAAGTAAATAAATACTATATTTTGTCAACTCGTTGAGTTGACAAAAGAGACTTTTAGAAAAGCTAATGTAATATATAATATGGATTTATGCAAATTGTGTTTACTTGCTTAACTCTGTTATATGACTCAATTATTTGAGGCTTCTGAAAATAGCATATGTTTATGATCTTTCAAAGAAAATGAGACAAATAATGAACTATTTATTTTTAGTTAATCCGATTGGATAACCTTTTTGCTTATTGGAATGTGAAGTCTCGGATGTTTTATCTTACTAGTTATGATGATTCATTGGTAAGTAACTTTCTTCAAATATGTGTATATACATATTTGTTGATATATTTTGCATAAAGTTTTATTCATTGTCATTTACCTAACGTACTGTAGTCAGTGGTCATTTTTTTTTCAGGCAAAATCAATTAGCATAATTTACAGAAAATAGGTGAATATATGTACCTGTATACAACCATGTATAAACACACACCTTGTTTTTTAATAATTGACATAAAATATTATATTAGTTTCAGGTGTACAACAATTCGATATTTGTATATATTACAAAATGATTTCCACAATAATTCTAGTTAGCATCTCTCACCATACACAGTTACAAAATGTTTTTTTTATGAGATGAGAAGTTGTAAGATTCCCTTAGTAGCTTTCAAATGCAATGCAGTATTATTAACTATAGTCACCATGTTGTATGTTAAATCACCATGTTGTATGTAAAATAAATACTTTATAACTAGAAGATTGTACATTTTGACTCCTATCACCCATTTTGCCACCACCCACCCCCTGCCTCTGGCAACCACCAGTCTGTTCTCTTATTTATGAGCTTGTTTGTCTGTTTTTTGTTTTTTTTTGGTTCTTTTTTTTTTTAGGTTCCACATATTAGATACAATATTTGTCTTTCTCCATCTATTTTACTTAGTGTACTGCCCTCAAAGTCTACCTGTGTTGTCTTAAATAGCAAGATTTCCTTTTTTTTTATGGCTGAATGATATTTTGTTATATATATATACACCACGTTTTCTTTATTTATTCATCTGTCGATGGATGTTTAGGTTGTTCCCATATCTTAACTCTTGTAAATAATGCTGCAGTGAACATGGATGCACATATCTGTTTGAGTTAGTGTTTTTGTTTTATTTGGTAAGTATCCAGACGTGGAATTGCTGGGTCATATGGTAGTTCTATTTTAAATTTTATGTGGACTCTCCATACTGTTTTCCATAGTGGTTGCACCCATTAACATTGCACAAGCGTTTCCTTTTTTCCAGATCTTTTCAAATACTTGTTATATCTTGTCTTTTTTATAATTCTTATTCTAACAGGTATTAGGTGATATTATATTGTCCTCTGATTTGCATTACCCTGATGACATGTGAGGTTGGATATTTTTTTATGTACCTGTTGGTCATCTGTATGTTTTCTTTGGAAAAATGTTTATTCAGAACTTCTGCTCATTTTGTAATCAGGTTGTTTATTGTTTTTACTTATGAGTTTTATAAGTTCTTTATATATTTTGGATATTGACCCCTTATCAAATATATGTATAGTAAATATTTTTTCCTATTCAGTAGATTGCTTTTTTATTTTGTTGATGGTTTCCTTTGCTGTGTAGAAGCTTTTTAGTTTGATGTAGTCTCACTTGTTTTTGCTTTCGTTGCATTTAATTTTGGTGTCAGATCCAAAAAATCATCACTAAGACCAACGTCATGGAGATTACCATGTATATTTACTTCTAGGATTTTTATGGTCTCAAGTCTTACATTCAAATTTTAATCCGTTTTGAGTTAATTTTTGTTTATGGTGTAAGATATTGGTACAATTTTATTATTTTGCATGTGTCTATTCAGTTTTCCCAAATTTAATCTTTGTTGTAAATTAATTGACCAATTGTATGGGCTTATTTCTGGGCTCCCTATTCTGTTCCACTGGTCTATGTGTCTGTGTTTATTCTAGTACTACATTGTTTTGGTTACTACAGTTTTGTAATAGAGCTTGAAATCAAGGAGTGTGATGTTTCTAGCTTTGTTCTTGTTTCTCAAGATTGCTTTGGTTATTTGGGATCTTTTGTGATTTCATACACATTTTATGATTGTGCTTTTTCTGTGAAAAATGCCATTGGAATTTGGACAGGGATTGCATTGAATCTGTAGATAGCTTTGGGTAGTATGGATTTTTTTTTTAAGCAATATTAATTCTTACAGTCCTGAGTGTGGAATATCTTTCCACTTACTTGTGTCTTCAGTTTCTTTTAGGAAATTCTTACAGTTTTCAGTGTACAGGTCTTTTACTTTCTTAGTTAAATGTATTTGTAAGTATTTTTTTCTTTTTGATTTAGTTGTAAATGGAATTATTTCCTTAATTTTGCTTTCTGATAGTTTGTTACCAGTGTATAAGAAATGCAACCGATTTCTGTATATTGATTTTTGTGTCCTGCATCTTTACGGAATTTGTGTATTCTAATATATATATATATATTATTTAAAGGACAACTGCCACATATATATATATGAAAGCCTAAGTGACCATTACAACCAGATGTCTGGCCAGTAGCTATGACACGCACTGACCAGGCTGCAGACCCTCAACGCAGGATGGTCAGTGCGCTCCCACAGCCAACCTCCTGTGGCTGGCCAACCTCCCACGGTCCCTCGCCCCTGGCCAGCCATCCTCAATTGGCCCCAATTGCCAGCCAGGCCGAGGGACCCCACCCATGCATGAATTCCTGCCCCAGGCCTATAGTGTTAAATAAAAGTAGTGACACGGACATCCTTGTCTTGTTCCCGACCTTAGAGGAAAACTCTGAACTTTTCACTGTTGAATGTTATATGAGCTGTGGTTTTGTCATATATTCCCTTTACTATGTTCAAGTGTAATTGTACCTCTATATCCACTTTGGTATAGAGAGTTTTAATCATAAATGGGTATTGAATTTTGTCATATTTTGTATATGTGCCTATATATAAACATGTTTAAACATATATCTTAATATTTCTAAGGTATTCTTTTATGAGATAATTGTCTTTAATGAACTATTATCCATACCACTTTAATATTTTCTTTTATCAAAATCCTTCTAAGTTTGAGTTATTTATTTTTTATAAATTGCTTTTAAACTTTTTCATTTGCATACAATAGGATTTTTTCAGATAAAGATATATTGTCATTAAATAAAAGCAATTTATCTTTTAATAGGACAGCTTGAGGAATGGCATTGTTGATGAAAATATTGTTCCAGAAGGTTATGATTTTGGTAAGTATGTTTCCTAAAGTAAAAATTGCAATTTTTATTTTATTTTATTAATTAATTTATTAATAAATTTTAAATGAATATTGTTGATGTAACTGTGCCTTTTCATGTTAATATCTCATGTAATTAAATGTATTTGTGATATACACACACACACACACACACACACACACATATGCAAAAGAAAACACATATATGTCATTCATTGTTGGGGAGCTTTTGGCTACATATCAAAACCAGGAAAGGAAAATGTCCAATAAGAGTGATTGTTAATAAATTGTGAGTTCTCTATTTAATAAAGCTATGTTAATTCTTTAAGACATTTTAACATGGCAAATACAATTTAATAAGGCTAGATGCTGCAGTCTATAGTGTGACCTTACTATTTTAAAAATGTGTAAATTTTTTCTTTGTTTTTTCTGATTTTAAATAGTCTGAAATGAACATGTAGTATTTTAATAATCAGAAATAAGTTATTAAAATATGCAGTGAAAAAGAGTGCTCTTTCTTCTATCCTCAAGGCACTCAATAAATATTGATTGGTGATGGATAACTCGGCTGACAGTGTTGTTAACCATAGACTATCCTTCCTGAAATTATTTCTTTTTTTGGCTTACAGACAACAATGTGAATTATAGATAGAAAAAAGATAACAGAAACTTTTTCACCAATTAAATGACAGTTCATCTGACCAAATCATAGCATTGTAGAAATATGAAACTGTAAAAGAATATATAAGACATGAAAATCAGTATTTTCAACTTGATCCTTTTAGTACTATGAAACTCTTGAAATGTAACTCAGTTTAATTTATTAAAATTTATATTATTTTCCAGTATTTCGCCCCATATCTGCTAAAGCCAAACTTCAGATGAATCGCCGATCTGATTTTGACTTTTCTGCCCCCAAGATAAAATTGGATGTTGAATTACATGACATAGCGATTGAATTTAATAAACCACAGGTGATTTTTTAAATGGTATTTTAAATTGTGAGTTATAGTTTGATAAAAATAGAACTAAGATTTTAAATTTTTTTCTTTTAAAAAATTTTTTTTGTTCAAAAATTTTTAATGTTGACATTATTCCTTTCCCCCACCTTTGCCCCCCTCCATCCTCCCCTGCCTACCTCTTCCTTGGCCTTTACCAAATTATTGTCTATGTCCATGGTATGCATATGTGTTCTTTAGCTATTACCTTCACTTTCTTTGTCCAGTCGCTCCCACCTTCCTCCCCTTGGGCAAAGGCCAGTTTGTTATATGTATTTCATATTTATGCTTCTGGTTCCCTTTTATTTGTCAATTTATTTATGTTTTTAAAAAATTCATAGTTACATGGTAAAATTTCCATTACAAAGTTTAACTTAGCTTCAATAATTGGGAAAAATCTGAAACATGTAAGAGCTTTATTTTTTTCATCCTTCAGTATTTCAGTCTTATGGAGCTTCTTGAATCAGTTGATATGATGACGCAAAATCTGCCATATAGGAAATTCAAACCTGATGTACCTGTTCACGGCCATGCCAGAGAATGGTAAAATGTCTTAAATTTTTTAGATTGAAGTATAATTGATATACAATTTTATATTAGTTTCAGGTGTACAACATGATTCAAATTATCACCCTTAGTTACCATTCCTACCATATGGAGCTACAAAATTTTTCTTGTGATAAGAACTTTTAAGATCTACTCTCTTAGCAACTTTTAAATATGCAGTGCAGTATTATTAAGTTTAGTTGCCATGCTGTACATCATATCCCCATGACTTATTTATTTTATAACTGAAAGTTTGTAACTTTTGACCCCCTTCATCCATTTTGCTCACCCCAAACTCCTGCCTCTGGCAACCACCAACCTATTTTCTATACCTATGAGCTCATTTCCTGTCACCTAAAGATTCTATATATGAGTGAAATCATATATTTTTGTCCCTTTTTTACTCACTTCACTTAGCATAATGTTCCAGGGTTCATTCATGTTGTCATAAGTGGCAAGATTTTTTTTTATGGCTAAATAATATTCCATTATTGTGTATATATTACCACATTTTCTTTATTCATTCTTTCGTCAGTGGATACTTAGGTTGTCTTCATGTCTTGGCTATTGTAGATAATGTGGCAGTGAATGTGGGGGTGCATATATCTTTTTGATGTAGTCTTTTCATTTTCTTCAGGTAAATTTCCATAAGTGGATTTGCTCAAACTAAAACTTTTTTAAAGATTTTAAAAATATATATATTTTATTGATTTTTTTACAGAGTGGAAAGGAGAGGGATAGTTAGAAACATCAATGAGAGAGAAACATCGATCAGCTGCCTCCTGCACACCCCCTAATGGGGATGTGCCCGCAACCAAGGTACATGCCCTTGACCGGAATCGAACCTGGGACCCTTGAGTCCGCAGGCGGACGCTCTATCCACTGAGCCAAACTGGTTAGGGCCTTTTTAAAAAGATTTTAAGAATATAACATAAAAGTGAATTTCTTGACTTTTTTAAGATACTCTAAAGACCAACACAAACTATAGTTTGATTTGCAATTATAAATTACTTAAGGGATTCTTTATAATGGAATTTATAACTGGAGTACTAGAATAACATTTATTCACTGTATTTTTTGAATTATTGAACCATATTCCAGTTTTTTGTCTAGCAGTGTCTTTAAAAGTTTCAAATTTTTGTATTATACACATTAAACATGTTATTAAACCTGAAAAGGTTACGGGCGTATATAAAGTACTACCCCTTTTTGAAATTCAAAGTCTTTACAGTTATTAAGCTCTTGCATAGTTTCTAGAAATTGCAATTACTCTTTCAGTTGACTATTTCAATTATTATTCATGGGACTAAAGTGCTGTTTGCCCATTAATATTTTAATAGTTTTTCTGGAGACATATTTATTGCAATAAAATTTAAGGATTTTGCTTAAAAACAAATATGATGGGAAAAAGCAGGTGCTCACATTACATACCATTTTCATATTCTTTGAATGATAGTTATGTACGCAGAAGCAATATCAATTTATTTCATACTGTTGGTTTGAGGGTGTTAAGTGTAGGGTTTTTGATTTTGTTTTTTAACTAGGTGGGCTTATGCTATACATGGTATTCTTGAAGTAAATGTTTGCCCCCACTTACGGATGTGGTCATGGAAACATATTAGCGATCATCGGCAACAAATGAAGCAATATAAAGAACTCTATAAGAAAAAACTAATAAATAAGAAGCCACCTGTTGAACTTCTCAGCTGTTTGGAGGTTTGCATTTTAAAAAATTGTTGAATATTTTGTGCCTTATAACTTCTAAGTCTTTAGGGACTTCCTCATTATTTGTTCTAATTGTGGAAATCTGTAACCAACCCAGAGGCCTCTAAAAATTAAGCATTTATATTTTCCTACGTCTTGAGAAAGTCTCCTATCTCAAAAAACATTCTCTCTCTTTTACTTACATTTTTTTCTTACTCCTGTTTAAACTCAGTTGGGTGATAGAAGCTTTGGTGTTATTCTCCTGGGAGCTTTTGGAAGATGAGATTATTCTGAATCTGGAGAGATTTGGGTTCATGCAAATAATAACTTGAAGCCTTATATCATTAAGACACTAGAGGCCTGGTGCACGAAATTCGTGCATAGAAGGGTGGTTCCCTCAGCCCAACCTGCACCCTCTCCAATTGGGGACCCCTTGGGGGATGTCCAACTGCCCGTTTAGGATATCCTAACCTGGCAGTTGGACATCCCTCTCACAATCTGGGACCACTGGCTCCTAACTGCTCACCTGCCTGCCAGCCTGATCACCCCTAACTGCCTCTGTCTGCCAGCCTGATCACCCCTAACTGCCTCTGTCTGCCAGCCTGATCACCCCTAACTGCCCTCCCCTGCTGGCCTGGTTGCCCCTAACTGCCTCTGCCTGTCTGCCTGATCGCCCCTAACTGCCCTCCTCTGCTGGCCTGATCTCGCCCCCAGTGGCCCTCCCCTGCTGGACTGATCTTGCCCTCAACTGCCCTCCCCTGCTGGCCTGATCTTGCCTCCCAACTGCCCTCCTCTGCTGGCCAATTTGGTTCTGATTGGTCAGTTTCTATGCCAGTCAGCATCAAAAGCTCTGCCTCCTAGGCAGCCATTGGCTCCCCACAGCACCCAGATTTGGTTCTGATTGGTCGGTTTTTATGCCAGTCAGCGTCAGAAGCTCTGCCTCCTAGTCAGCCATTGGTTCGTCACAGCACCCACATTTGGTTCTGATTGGTCAGTTCTTATGCCAGTCAGTGTCTCTGGGCTTATCAACGGGGCCTGATCAGAAAGGCAGGGCTGATCAGCAGCCCTGGTGGAGGCCTGGAGAGAAATGGAGGCATGGCTACTGGCCAGACTGGGAGAGAAAGAGAGAAGCAATTGCTAATCAAAAGCTGCCACAGAGGCAACGGATCAGTCCCTGCTTCTCTCTTCAGGCCTCTCTCTGGCCCTGATTCACAGCCCCCTTAGCAGTCAGTGCTGGAGCACCACGCCTGCAGTGGAAGCAGTCAGCGCTAGTTTGCCATGGCAACCCAGCGCTGACTGCAGGACTGACTTCCGGGTGGTCGAGCCTTGGTCATTACTGGTCTTTACAACCCAGGGTTTTTATATATTAAGATTTTTAACCTCAAAGGCTAAAAAGTTTTTGTACATTGATTCCAAGTTCTCTGTTGTTTCTGAAGCCTTACACATGTCACCACTGCATTTCCCCTGTGTAAACCATCTAACTGTGCATTAATCAAATACAATTTCCTATCATATACATTTTGCTTATGCTTATAGCCAAGTCTGTACTCATGTATTTCATTTGCCTTTCCTCATCTTTGCTTTTCCAGTTTTACTTATAACTCAAGTTCTGCCTCAGTCCCATCTCTTATATGAATTTTCCTGAATTTTCTGCCCAGATAGAGCTCTTTTTCTTTTAATTTCTAGTCTTTACCTGCAACTTTACCTTTAATTATTTATCTTGAGAGTTCTCTAAGTATTCGTCATCTTATCTTTTAGCATTACAGTGGTATATTCTAGAAGGAACTGTTTTACAGATGGATGAAGTACAGCTTAAGGACACTAAGAGGAGTTAACTTCTTGAAATTAATGTAACTGTTCTGATCCAATTTGCAACTCCTAAAGATTGAGTTTTATTTTTGTTTTTGAGGTAGGAGACTTTCTCAAGACCAAGACTAATATAAATGCTTAGTTTTTAGAGGTCTTTGGGTTGGTTACAGATTTCCATACTTAAGCCATTTTTCCCTTAGCCTAAATCCTCCAAGCCTGCTGGACAGTAGCACCCTAAGTTGTTTTCTAGATAATAGTGAGTCATGGTTGCTTGTCTTTGGGAAAAAAATTCTTTGCATGTGAAACTCCCAAATGTAATCATGGAAATAATGTATGGAGATGTGATGAGAGATTTAGCTTTTATCGGCTTATTTTAATAGCCATAACAGCTTTGAAAAATGTAAAATTTAAAAACAAGTTTTAAGTGTGTCTAGATCTACTTGAAGCATCTTGATGATGGCATAGGAACTGTGCACGTTATATGAAGGTTTTATAAATTGTATTTTTAGTTGAAAGTGACACTGTGTTTACCCTTACCTATAGTTAAAACGCAGATAAAAATCATTTTAAACAGTGCATGTTTGGTATCTTTTAGTATGTATCTGTAAATCTTATGGAGTTGTAACTCATATGCATGATGTAAGATTTCTTTGTTCAGAAAGTTTTTTATCATTACTAATTTCCAAGCTGACATTGTTTCTCAGAATTTAACCAGGAATATTATGTTGATGGATGATCTGTTTTCTGCTTTCTATCATATCTTTAGTATAGCAATTTGACAGGTTATATATACTAAAGTTATTTATAATTGTTTATGTAAATACATTTTCCTTTATATTTTCAGGAGTTGGAGAAGACTCTGGATGTATTTAATATAACTATAGTGAGACAACAGGCAGAAGTTGAGGTAATTCCAGATTATCTTTCAGTTAGTAAAAACAAATCTAGAGTCCATATAGATTTAACAGGTGCTGTGATATTATTAGTATTGTGCTGTAATATACTGTTTCCTAAAACAGGTTCAAATTTGCTTTTTTGTGTTTGTTATAAGAAAATTTGATTTAATGTTTTGCCACATTCATTTAAATCAGATTCTGTTGGAAAAATATTATTTCTAGGTTATTGGATTTATACTCAGAGTAAATGTGAAGATGAAAAACCAATTTGATTTTTTTTAAAATTACCTTTCCGTGTAAGACAGTGGGGTTAACTGCCTTGTAATACTAAATTCTTATGTTTGGCTAATATTGCAGTTACTTTATTCTGTTGTCAGTTTGTATAATGTTTACATTTATTTATTCAAGTAAACAGGTTTTGGAAATGTCAGGCTTATATTTCTTTAGATTGTTAAAGGATAATTTGTCATTTAATTAAAAATTTATATATTTTAGGTAAAGAAAGCTGGATACAGGATATACAAAGAAGGAACAAAAGATTCAGAGGAAAATAAAGGATGGTTTAACTGGTTGTGGAATTGGTCAGAACCAAAAACTAAAGAACAGCAGCCCGATGTTAAACCCGGAAGTATGTTCATTTTATTTTATAGTAGTGCAATTAATCATCAGGTATGGTAATGTAGTTAATCACCAGGTATGAAAATTGTTTTGCAGAAAATTCTCTCTCTAATTAAATATTATAAGTATATATGCATATGATACATACTTTATTCTTGTTATCAATTAAATTACTACTAAAACATTATAAATATATGACTAGTAAAAATTAAATAATTTTATTATTTTACTAGTGTTCACAACAGAGTTTTATGCCCAGGGATTTGGTAAATGCATATAGCACAATAACAGATAAATAAAGATTTCAAAAGTGTATAAACCATTGTAAATTTTTATTTAATTGATTTCTTGTAAAGATTTTCCTAACCAAATGCTTAAGATTAAAGCATTGAGGTCTTAGGGGCTTAGGTTTACATACTGAATCTATCACTTATTAGCACTGTGTCTCTGGTAAGTTATTTAGCTCTTTGAATCTCAGTTTTATTAATTGTAAAACTGGGGGAAATTATGATATTAGTACTGCTTACTTTTTGTGCTAGGTGTGTTGCCTAGCACAGTGCCAAATATAGTTAGCCATTTTGTAAGCTCTTGGTTGATACCAGTATTTAGAAATTTATAGTTTTGGAGAATAATCCTTCTGAAATTGCCAATGTCATTCTAACATTGTGATTATAATTTCTTAAAAGTATTATCAAAAGAGTAAAATTTACATTTAATTTATTAAAGGCATCTAAATTATGGGTTAGTTTTATCTTGTTATCAGTTAAAAACATAGAACACTTTGTTTATAATTTGTAGGTCTTGAAGAAATCTTGACACCTGAAGAAAAAACTTTACTCTATGAAGCAATTGGCTATAGTGAAACAGCAGTTGACCCAACCTTGCCAAAATCAGTAAGGTTTTGATGCCTTATATCTCACTGTTGAAAGATATTTTTAATCCTTTTGGAATTATGTTACTGACTTGTTCTGTGATTTTCTTCTGGGTCTATAAATATTGTTTTTATTTTAATTTCCAAGGTAGGGATAAATGTTGTCCCATACTTTGTAATGTTATAGGGTGATTCTTTAAGTTATAAGGGTTGCTTTTAAACTGTTTTCTGGTTTTTGGAAAGAATAAATTTTGTGAATAGGATATGAATAAGAGTGTTTGATATACATACATATGTGTGTGTATTTAATTTTATTTATCTGAATATACTCTAGTTTGAAGCCATGAAGTTGTACATGCACTTGAAAAGTATGTCTATTGTTCTAAGAGAAGAACAACAAAAACGTGAGCTGTTAAATATTGTAGTAGAAGAATTTAGCACTTGGGTTGTACAAAGACCAGGAGCACAAGCAATAAAGTAAGTATTCATTTATTTTCTTTTATCTTTTTAAAAAAATATATTTTTATTGATTTCAGACAGGAAGGGAGAGGGAGAGAGAGATAGAAACATTAATGATGAGAGAGAATCATCTTTCAGCTGCCTCCTGCATACCCCATACTGGGGATGAGCCTGCAATCTGGGCATGTGCCTGGACCCAGAATCGAACCATGATCTCCTGGTTCATAGATCGATGCTCAATCACTGAGCCATGCTGTCCCGGTTATTATCTTTTATCTGTAAGAAAAAATTCACTGTGAAATTGGAAGATAGATTACAATTTTACCGTATTTTCTAAAGAGTACTATGGCTTAATATATCCTTTTGTACTTTTAGGAACTTAGATTTTTTTCAGTAATATATATATTTTATAATTATTAAAATAATACATATTCAGTAGAACACTGTGCATGCTCAGGAAACATAGAAGGACACTAAAGGATAATACAAAAATCTCAGCCACACTATACAAAGAAGAAACAACATTAATAGTTTGGTGTTTATTTGGAAATGTATTTCACTTTTGTTTTTAAAAATGACTTTACTTCGGGGAAAAAAGGTACATCTGCAATACTTTGAACAATAAAGATTAATTAAAAAAAACAAACCAGGAACACAGACAATAGGGTGGTAAAGGCCTTGGGTGGGGGGCCGGGGGTGGGCTGGGATAGGTCAATGAGGGAAAAGGGAACATGTAATACTTTCAACAATAAAGATTTTAAAAATAATAAAAAATAGCTTTACTGAGATATAATTCACATATACAATTCATCCATTTAAAGTGTACAATTCATTTGTTTGTGACACTGTATGCCACATTACATTGTTATGTTTATCAGGTAATTCCAGAACATTTTTACACCCTAAAAAAGAAACCCTAATACTCATTAGTTGTCACTCCTCATTGCCTCCCTCCCTTGTGTCAGCAATAACTAATTTACTTTATTCCTAAGACTTTGTTTTGGGCATTTAATATGCACAGAATCATGTAATATGGCCTTTCTGTCTGTCTTTCACTTAACCATATTTCAAGGTTCATCCATGGTATAGCATTCATTTTTAATCCCTAATAGTATTCCAGTATATGGATATGCCACATTTTGTTTGTCCATTCATCAGATGATGGGTAATGGATTATTTTCACTTATTGGGTATTATGCATAATGCTGCTATGAATATTCATGGACAATATTTTGTGTCATTAAGTTTTAAATTACCTTGAGTATATACCTAGGAGTAGAATTGTCTCACATGGTAACTCTGCTTAACCTTTTGAAGAATTGCCAGACTTTTCCATTTCTACCAGTAGTGTATTAGGTTTCCAATTTATCTGTATCATTGGCAACACTAATTTTTCCTTTTGATTATAGCCATCTTAATGGGTATAAACTAGTCTCATTGGTTGGATTTGCATTTCCATTTCCCTGATTGCTAATGAAGTTGAACATCTTTTCATATGCTTAGTCACTATATTTTTTTGGAAAAATATCTTTAAGTTCTTTTGCTCATTTTCTTTTTTTTTTTAAAATTAAATCTTTATTGTTCAGATTACATTTGTTCCTCTTTTTTTCCCCCCCCATAACTCCCCTCCTCCCAGTTCCCGCCCCACCCTCCGCCCTCACTCCCCACCCACTGTCCTCATCCATAGGTGCACGATTTTTGTCCAGTCTCTTCCCGAATCTCCCACTCCCCTTTCCCCCCCAAGAATAGTCAGTCCATTCCCTTTCTATGTCCCTGATTCATTATAATCACCAGTTCATTCTGTACATCAGATTATTTATTCATTTGATTCTTAGATTCACTTGTTGATAGATGCATGTTTGCTGTTCATAATTTGTATCTTTACCTTTTTCTTCTTCTTCCTCTTCTTAAAGGATACCTTTCAGCATTTCGTATAATACTGGTTTAGTGGTGATGAACTCCTTTAGCTTTTCCTTATCTGTGAAGCTCTTTATCTGACCTTCACTTCTGAATGATAGCTTTGCTGGATAAAGTAATCTTGGTTGTAGGTTCTTGGTATTCATCACTTTGAATATTTCTTGCCATTCCCTTCTGGCCTGCAAAGTTTCTGTTGAGAAATCAGCTGACAGTCGTATGGGTATTCCCTTGTAGGTAATTGAGTCTCTTTCTCTTGCTGCTTTTAAGATTCTCTCTTTGTCTTTTGCTCTTGGCATTTTAATTATGATGTGTCTTGGTGTGGTCCTCTTTGGATTCCTTTTGTTTGGGGTTCTCTGCGCTTCTTGGACCTGTAAGTCCATTTCTTTCACCAGGTGGGGGAAGTTTTCTGTCATTATTTCTTCAAATAGGTTTTCAATATCTTGCTGTCTCTCATCTTCTGGTACCCCTATAATTCTGATGTTGGTGCGTTTGAAACTGTCCCAGAGGCTCCTTACACTATCTTTGTATTTTCGGATTCTTTTTTCATTTTGCTTTTCCGGTTGGGTGTTTTTTGCTTCTTCGCATTTCAAATCTTTGACTTGATTCTTGCGCTCCTCTGGTCTGCTGTTGGGTGTCTGTATAATATTCTTTATTTCAGTCAGTGAATGCTTAATTTCTAGTTGGTTCTTTATCACAACATCGAGGGTCTCATTAGATTTCTTGAGGCTCTCATCAAGTTTATCGGCAGTTTCTAGCAAATTATTGAAAGCCCTCAAAAGTGCGTTTTTTAGCTCTATATCCTCCATTTCTGTCATGTTTTTTTGTCTCCGCATTTTTTATGCTTTCTTGGTGCACCCCCTTGTGGTTTTGTGCGCAGTCTTGTTGTAGTTAAGCCTTAATTGTTGTAGGTGTCACTGGGAGGAATTGACCTCCAGGCCAATTGGCAGTGAGAATCAGCTGTGTCTGCAGTGGGAGAACTTCTGTGCTGAAGACACCCTTCTGGGGCAAGACTTGCTTCAGTGGGGCTTTGGTGCTCACTGAGTCTGCCCCCTGAGTGTGTTTCTTATGAATCTGAGGAGTTGTAATCTGGATGGTCCCACTCTGACTGGGTACACTGGCTCTTGGATCTAAGGAGGTGCTAATTAAGCCTCTTCCTGAGGTTACCCAGCAGGAGCTACAAAGAGATATGCAGATTCCCCTTCCTTTTTTGGGGGTTTGGGGGTGCCCAGATGAGGCCCACCTGTGAAGCAATGCAAGCTGCTGTGGGGCCTTGGGCCTTCTTTGGAAGTTCTGGGTCTGTCTGGCCCAGCTGCAATTTGTTAGGTAATTTTCAGGTTGCAAAGGACCCGGGCATTCATATGCAAAAGCCTTTGCAGCAGCCTGGATGGGGCGGGGTCTCGGAATCAACAGGGCGGAGCAAGCAGCTATGGCTGATTCTCAGCCCTGCCCTAAGGGGCCCCGCGTCTCAGTGTCCCGGTAATTGCTGCCGGCACCTCTGAGGGAAAGCCGTCCTCAAGTTCTGAGTTCTGCCCACTGCCAGACCGTCCAGTTTCTCCCCGTATGAGCCCTGGGACCCCAGAGACTTCCCGGAACCGGAGTTCAGAGCATTTGGGAGCTTGTGACTCCCTCCCGATTCAAAAAGACAGCCGCGTCCTCAGGTGCCGCCCCTTTCCCCGCGCCGGGCCTCCATACCTCTGCACTTTACTTTCGTAGCTCCTCTGAGTCTGTGTGCTCTTCTCTTTCCTTCTAGTTGTAGAATTTCCACTCAGCCAGCCTTCCTGTGGTTCTGGATGATGACCGTTCTGTCTTTTAGTTGTATTTTTGAAGTTGTTGTCGGGAGGCAGCAATTTCCGGTGTTTACCTATGCCGCCATCTTGGTTTCTCTCTGCTCATTTTCAAATTAGGTTGTCTTTATTACTGAGTTCTACGTGTTCTTTTTATATTATTTATATAAGTCTCTTATCACATAAAATATTTTCTCTTAATTTTTCCCATTCATTGTTTTCTTTTAATTTTTAATGGTAGTCTTTTAAGCACAAAGTATATCTATTGCTAATATTTATTCTTTTTTCATGCAGATTTGAGACCAGAATAGATTCCTTTCATGTTACTGGCCTACCAGATAATTCAACAAAACCCCGCCTCCTGTCCTCATTGGATAATGCTGCATCACTTTTCCAGATTACATTTGAGACAAATCCATTAGATGAAACTGTTGCTCAAAGGTGTATCATAGAAGCTGAACCTTTAGAAATAATATATGATGCAGTAAGCATTTTTTAAATTTCTAAATTTCTAAATTTTAATATATTTCAATTTGGTTTGATTTTATGCCTAATTTTAATGATACTTACTTTTCCCAGAGAACAGTGAATAGTATAGTGGAATTCTTCAGACCTCCGAAAGAGGTAAATCTAGCACAGCTCACTTCAGCGACTTTGACAAAACTTGAAGAATTTCGTGATAAGACAGCAACAGGTAAAAATGCCAGTATTACATACTGAATCTTGTACTAAACTCTTAGGCATTTAAAGCTGATTTTAGTAATGTATTAAGTTTCTTTCTAGACTAGATACAGTTTAATTGAAACTAATTTTATACTTAAATTTAAACGCAGATATAACAATTATTCCTTACACTCAGGTCAAACCTATTAACTACATTCAAGTTAATTACAAAATTTTGTTGGGATTTTTGAAATTGTGTTTGACAGAAACTGGCCTTTGAATTCTTTTATAAAATCATAGGACTTCATGCAATGGTCTTTTTGGTTTAATTACTGCCCCTTTGCCTTTCAGTTCTCTTGTGATGTTTTCTAGCCTCTACCTGTTCTGAACAAAATTTTTTATTGAAGTATAAGGTTTAACACATTAAATAAACTACATCACTTAAATTTTTCAATCCAGCTATTCAGAATTTTACATATTAGTGTGCTATTGTCATTTTTATTTTCTCAGAGTTTATGTTAAAAATATCTGATCCTCATCATAGTTCTTGTGTGGGTTTGGTTGTTGTTGTCTTTTGTGAACTAAGGTCCCTTTCTTTTTGAATATCAGATGTCCTAAACTTTATAAATTAACATTGCTTATTGATTCAAATTGATGCAATAGCTGCTTACAGAATTTCATCTCATGGGGTCATTATAATTTGATAGTTGATAGTAATTTTAGATTTAACAGCCCATGCTAGATTTGAGACCATAAAATAGATTAGTTTGGTATATAAATCACATGAAAGTGAATGAATTAAATTTATTAGAATAAAACACCTCAAGTTAATGAAATATCTGAGGAATGGAGAACTCTGCTTTGTTGCCTTTTCTGTTTTACATATGGTTTTATTGAGGTGATTTAATTATCCAGGATTTTTTCTCGTCTCAGTAATGTCATAAGTATAAAGAATTATTGTTCAGTATGGTAGATGTAGTTGTATTAAGTTCATGATTTGGAAAGAATTATATAGATTCTAATATAGGGGTTATGAATAAATGTTTCATAATACTTAATTTTTTTAGATATATTATCTCCTGAATATTACCTAAAATGTTTTTTTGGGGGGCTTAAAAACAACATTTATTTGAAGAAACATTTTAATTTTGTACTTAGTTATATTTAATTAGGAGTGTATATATTAACTAACAAATACTTTTACTTGATATTGAAAATAATTTGCTCAAGGTCATTTTAAAATGAATTCTTATTTCACATTATTTTAAGATTGTGCTATCAGTTCATTTAATAACTATTTTTTGAGTAATTTGTGAAAAATATTCATTGTGAAGATTTAATTTCTGCAGGTCTACTGTATATTATTGAAACACAGAAAGTTCTTGATCTCAGAATTAATTTGAAAGCTTCATATGTTATTATCCCACAAGATGGAATTTTCAGCCCTACGTCAAATCTGCTTCTTTTGGATCTTGGTCATTTAAAGGTATATATTAATAATATTTATCTTGGAATATGGTACTTAGGGTATTTCTTTGTTTAAAATATGTTTTGTTTTTTAAGACAGTTTGACTTCGTATATTGGTTTTTAGACTTATGAGAAATCTTTTCTGGTGAATAAAATGATTTCATTTAATTAGGTAGTTTTCCTACATTTCGAAAAGCAAAATGAACTATTGAACTCCACAGGTCAGAGGTGAACCAAAGAATTACAATTATATGTAGAATTTGAGAGTAATGCCTAAGGAGTTGATTTTCTTTTCAATTTAAGTTTATTATTGGATTAATTACAATATAGAGAGTGTGAGGGAGTTCTGGAAGTAATCACATAATCTTCATCCTTCTGAATTTTTGTATGTATATAACTTTAGATACTGATATTTTAATTTCTATTAAATAATCCTAAATTGAGAGATGGTTGCCTTGCATTTACCTAATTTACATAGTTCTATCCACTTATGTATATTTTTCTTCCTTAGTTTTTTTTTTTTTTAAATATGTTTTGATTGATTTTAGGGAGAGGGAAGAAGAGGGATAGAGAGAGAGAAACGTCGATGAGAAACATCGATTGGCTGCCTCCTGCACGCCCCGTACTGGGGATCAATCCTGCAGTCTGGACATGTGTCCTGAGCTGGAATCGAACCTGTGATCTCCTGGTGCATAGGACCATGCTCAACCACTGATCCACACAGGCTGGGCCTTCCTTAGTTTTGAATAGAGAATACTTTTTTTTTTTTTGTATTTCCAGATTTGCACTGTTCAGGGGTGGGAACCTTTTTTTTGCCAAGACCCATTTGTATATTTATAACATAATTTGTGGGCAATACAAAATTATCCACTTAAAAATTATCCTGCTATATTTGGTCAAATAGTCAATTAAGTCACCCCTAATGCCTTGACAGGGCCAGATCATATGATTTCATGGGCCTTATGTGGCTAGCGGGCTGATGTTCCCCACCCCTGGTTTATATAGAACCCCCTGACTATATACGGTTGATTAAGTTGATTAAAATAAAGTAAGATAAAAATTTAGTTCCTTAGTCACATTAGCCACATTCAAGTGTTTAATAGTCACAAGTGTCTAGTAGCTACTGTATTAAACAGCACAGATGGAGAACAATTCAATATTGTAGAAAGTTCTATTGGATAACACTGCTCTATATCATTAAATGTAGAGGAATAGCTGTAACTATTTAAAGACCCAAGAAAGATGGATAATATTAGAATGCTCTTTCTGGCTTTCTAACAAATATGTGCCTTTTCTTGACATTCTCCTTTTTTCTGTTTTATTCTTCAGTTGATAATTATATAGACAACTGCTGAATTTACAGTTATAATATTTATACAGCTAATTATTCATATTTTAATGTGGTTATGGAATTGGTTCAAGGCAGTCTGTTATAGTTGAGAGAGCATAAGGTCAACTGTAAGGATATTAATCTTGTTTTGTGATCTTAGGCAATTTGCTTAATTTTTTGCTTAAAAGTCATTACCTTTCAAAGAGAGATACTGAATTTTGATTGTGTACACATGAGCTATATAAAATCTATATGTATGTATATAGTTTTATTTAAAAACCTATATACATATATATTTGTGTATATACCAGTGTGTGTGTGTGTGTGTGTGTGTGTGTGTGTGTGTGTGTGTGTGTATGTATGTAAGATCTTGATATACTGCTGTGGAGTGATCTCCGAGATACTTATGTGAAAAAAGAAAAGTAGCCCTAACCGGTTTGGCTCAGCGGATAGAGCGTCGGCCTGCGGACTCAAGGGTCCCGGGTTTGATTCCTGTCAAGGGCATGTACCTTGGTTGCGGGCACATCCCCAGTGGGGAGTGTGCAGGAGGCAGCTGATCGATGTTTCTCTCTCATTGATGTTTCTAACTCTCTATCCCTCTCCCTTCCTCTCTTTAAAAAATCAATAAAATATATTTTAGAAAAAAGAAAAGTAGTGTGCATAGTACATCAATAAAGGGGAGATACAAATAAGATACAAATATAACTTGCTTGGGGTCACATAAATGACAGAGTTGGGAATAAAATTCAGCTGTCCTAATATTTAATCCTGGACTTTCAGTTCTTATTATAAAACTATTTAAATACCAGTCATCATGCCAAAGAAATGTTTTATAAGCCTTTTTGTTTTTAATAAAAAGGCTTCATATCAGATTTTAAAATAATTTAGTTGTATTATTCTCCAGAACTAGCTTGGTTCCCTTCTTTTAATATAAAGAGTTAGGAAATATAACAATATATAAAAATTCACTTTATATCTAACCTTCTTCTTACACGTGTCATGGATAAAGATTATTTTTTTGTTTCATTAATTCTCACCCAAGATATTTTTTTCATTCATATTTAGAGAGAGTAGAAGTAAGGGAGAGTGGAGGGAGGAGAGGGGGGAGAGAGAGAGAGAAACATTGATGTGAGAGAGAGTTGACATCCACTGGTTGCCTCCCACAGGTGCTCCAACTGGGGCTGGGATCCAACCTGCAAACCAGGTATGTGCCCTTGATGGGGAAACAAACCTGCTATCCTTCAGTTGGGTGTGCGAACACTCTACCCACTGAGCACACCGGCCTTGGCTAAAGACATTTCTAATAGCCTTATATGTCAGCTTGTGAGTTTATCCTCCCCAGTTAACTTTTTATATTATATTCTGAAAGATAAAAACCTGATCTTTTCATTTTGGAATATTTTGCACCGTCTAAACTTTTAAAATTAACTTCAAGGTGACAAGCAAAAGTCGTTCACAATTACCAGATATGAAACAAGGTGGGGCCAGACTTGAAGAGATAATGCGTAGAGCTTATGATTCCTTTGATATTCACCTTACAAGCATTCAGCTGCTTTACAGCAGAGTTGGTAAGTACACAGTGCATTATGTATTGTTCATTTTGCTGAAGTGATTAATTAGGTGTTTAGACAGTTTCTCTGAAGACCTTCATTCTAAATATGTTGGAGCTTCCATAGTTTTTTAGAAGTATGTAGTCGATAAGAGTAATATCTAAACGGAGTGATTTTACCCCGCAAAAGATACTGTCAGTGTCTGGAGACATTTTTGGTTGTAACACATGGACAGTCGGGGCACCACTAGTATTTAGTGGATGAAGGTCAGGGATGCTAGTAAACATAGAATGTAGAGGAATGTCAACAAAGACTTAATTTGGCCCAAATTCCAGTTGTGCTGATATTGACAAATCCTGATCTAGACCAGTGTTCTCCAATATTTGCATAAGATTAGAAAACATTGACACATTTTTAAAAATATTTGTATTACACAGTGGAATAATCAGAAGAGACTACTCAAGAGTGAATGCAACCAGCCTAGGCATCCCCAGCCATAAATAGCCACTGCAAGATGGAGGAGGATCCCTATCTTAAGCATAACTTACCCCATTCATTCTTTTGTACTAATCAGGAGTCTCTGATCCACCAGACCTAGTCGTCAGAGCCAGAAATTCACTTGTCAGGAGCTACTAAAGAATAGTGAAAGAGCCCTGAGAATTTGAGCCCTCTTTCCACTGTGTTATATTGCTTTTGAATTCCTTGGTGTTAGTAAACATTCAAATAATTCAACAAAGGTGGATTGGTGACTGTTTTTAGAGATCTCTCTGTGTGTATATAGTCACATTTTAATTGAGCTAACTAATGAAAGGAGAAGCAATAGAGAACCCGAAGTAATGGTTATTAAAAATGTTAGTTTATATAGGACTGGGACATTTTTGTTTTATTTGTCTGACTATATTTGCTTTAGGGTAATGAAATTGGTTTTTGTTTTTATCATATTCCAGTTGGTGTCAAAGGAGTATAGTGGGTGGCACGTGTAAATTATTTATAGAAAATTCATAAATTTTTTTCAGTAAATAAATTACTAAATTTTGGTATGTTTGGTACATGTTGGTCACTAGTTTTTGAAGCCCATTAGCTTATACTTATATTTAATATATTGAGATGCTTGTGAAAAAAAATTAAAATACATCATTATTGTCTGAAAAGTATTGGAATTCCTTAGAATGTTTTTGAGAAAAGTATTGGAATTCCTTGGAATGTTTTTGAGAAGCATTAACTATTCTTTAAAAAGTATTTTTTGAGCAAAGGTTTTTGACATTAGGTTACTTTCTGTAATTGTCATATATTCTTTTGATAAATACTGAAATACAGACTCTGAATATCATATTTTTTACCTGTAAATTGAGAAGTGAAGAAATATGTCTTTTATCTCAATATATTTAGAATTCAAAAATTGTCATAAGATCCATTTTATTACCTATCTCCAAGAATCTAATCTTTTGTTCGCTTGGTTTTTCTTGACTGAGGATTTTATCTGACTTACGGAATTATTAGGTTCAAATGAGATCATGTATGTAATGTATTTCACTGCATATCCTTTTGCTGTTTTTTTCAATATATGTACCTATGAGTATATGGAATATGCTTGTGTGTTGCTTATTAGTGGGAAGATTTTGAATGCGTTTTTAACATGACATTTATATCCTGTTTTTTCTTTCACTTACCCATAATATTTTGGGCACTTGAATCCATGACTTTTAAAAAATATGTATATTTTTATTGATTTCAGAGAGAAAGTGAGAGGGAGAGAGAGATAGAAACATCCATGATGAGAGAGAATCACTGATCAACTGCCTCCTGCATGCCCCACACTGGGGATTGAGCCCACAACCTGGGCATGTGCTCTGACCGGGAATCGAACCGTGATCTCCTGGTTCACAGGACAACGCTTAGCCACTGATCCATGCCAGCCGGGGTGGAATCCATGATTTTTATCTAATGTTCTAAGGCTACGCTGTCAGTTACTTAGCATTGCCTTATTGAAAATTTAGGCTTTTAACACTGCATGCAGTGAATGTTGCCAGACCTGCATGTAAATTTCAGCTTTTGTTACTCCCTAGCCTTTTGGCCATAAGCAAGTTATAAATTCCTCTGTGTCTCAGTTTTCTAAAATGAGATGGTTATACATCATTGTGAGAATTAAGTGAAAGTTTAAACATTGCCTAGAACGGTACCAGTTATAAATCTTGAATAAATGGCAGCTTTTGTGAGTTAATACTGAAAAACTGCGATCTTCCCTACTTTAGTCATTATTGCCTTAGAGCAGTGGTTCTCAACCTGTGGTTTGCGACCCCTTTGGCGGTCGAACAACCCTTTCATGGGTGTTGCCTAAGACCATCCTGCATATCAGATATTTACATTATGATTCATAATAGTAGCAACATTACAGTTATGAAGTAGCAACGAAAATAATTTTATGATTGGGTCACAACATGAGGAACTGTATTTAAAGGGCCAGAAGGTTGAGAACCACTGCCTTAGAGCCATGTTGGGTTATTTGGTAAGGTATCTGGCTGGTTACAGTGATTACCAGTGAATGCGCAGTAGATTTGATTAAAACTATGTTGTTGTTTCTTATAAGCATTTTTCCTATTAAAACACAGTCTTGTGAAGCAGCAAAAGTAAAATGTGAAAGGGAAAAGAATTTACCTGCCAATTGTTGTGTGTGTGTACCTGGGCATGTGGTATTAAAGATTATCCTGATGTGGGTGGGAAGGTTTCCCCATATCACGCAGTGTGTGACTATGAAGTATTAAAAATAATTTTAGGTTTAGTGTCTTTCAAATTACACATGTGTTAAATATACTGTTTTCTCTAATTAGGTGATAATTGGAAAGAAGCACGAAAACTCAATGTGTCTACACAGCATGTTTTGGTACCTTTGCACTTCAATGTGGAATTCTCTAAGGCCATGGTTTTCATGGATATAAGGATGCCTAAGTATGTATTGTTTGTTTCATGTGGTAATAGATTTTCTCAGTAATTCTGAAGCTAAGGCAATACCGTATTTCATTGATTCTCAGTCCTCAGGCTGTTGCTCTATCAACTGAGCCAAAACAGCTAAGACCAATATGTTGCCTTTTCTGATTAGCATCTTTCACTTAGTAACATGCATTTAAAGTTCTTCCATGTCTTCTCATGACTTCATAGCTCATTTCTTTTTAGTTCTGAATAATATTCCATTGTCTGATGTACCACAGTTTATCCAGTCACCTACTGACAGACATCTTGGTTGCTTCCAGGTTTTGACAATGCAGTTGGAATATAAAGTTTATGTGGATAAGCTTCATTCATATGAAATTATGAGTAAAGATGTTATAAACATTTGTGTGCTGGTTTTTGTGGGGACATTAAGTTTCAACTCCTTTGGGTATATACCAAGGAGCTCAGTAGCTGGCTCTATGGTTAAATAATGTTTACTTCTGTGAGAAGCCACCAAACTTCTTCCAAAGTGGCTGCACCTTTTTGCATTTCCAACAGCAACGAATGAGAGTTCCTGCTGTTCCACACCATTGCCATTATTTGGTATTGTCAATATTCCAGATTTTGGTCATTCTAATAAGTGCGTTGTGGTATCTCATTGTCTCTTGTAGAGCAGAAGTTTTAATTTTAATGAGGTCCAGTTTATCAATTTTTATTTTTTCATGAATTGTGCCTTTGTATAAAAAGATGTCATGGCCATGTCTGAAGTCAACTAGGTTTTCTTGGATTTATCTTTTGGAGTTCTGTCGTTTTTGTTTTACATTTAGGTCTGTAATCCATTTTGAGTTTTGTGAAGGGTTTAGGTCTGTTATCTAGATTCATTTTTCTTGCATGTAGGAGTCCAGTTATTCCACCACCATTTGTTGAAGTGAATGTCTTTGCTCCATTGTATTGCGTTTGGAGCCTGGTCCAAGATCAGTTGACTGTTTTTTTGGAAGTCTATTCCAGGGCCCTCTATTCTGGCTGAGTGATCTATTTGTTTACTCTTTCACTAGTATCAGTGTCTTATTTACTGTAGCTTTATAGTAAGTCTTGAAGTCAGGGAGTGTTCTTCTCCTTGTTCTTCTCCTCCAATATTATGTTGGCTATTCTGTTCTTTTGCATCTTCATACAAATTTTAGAATTATTTTGTTAATATTCATTAAATAAGTTGCTGGGATTTTGTTCATGATTGCATTGAATCTACAGATCAATTTGGGAAGAACTGACATTTTGACAATATTGAGTCTTCCTACTTATAAAATGGAGTGTCTGTATTTATGTAGTTCTCTGATTTCATTCTTCAGAGTTCTACAGTTTTTCTCTGTAGATCTTGTATATATCTTGTTAAATTTATACCTGAGTATTTCTGTTAGGGGCACTAATATAAATAATATTGTGTTTTTAATTTAAAATTCCACTTTTTTGTTGGTTTATAGGAAAGGGATTGACTATTGTATGTTAAGTTTGTATCTTGCAACCTTACAATAATGGCTATTAGTTCCATGGCTATTAGTTTTTTGTTTTGTTTTATTTAATTTTGCTTTTGTTTTATTATTTGGGTTTTCTACATAGGCCACGTTTCATCATTGAACAACAGTTTTATGTTTTCTTTTCCAATCTATATGGCTTTTATTTCCTTTTCTTGCTTTATTGCATTGGCTAGGTCTTTCAGTACCATCTTGAAAAGGAGTGATGAGGGAGATATCTTTGCTTTATACCTAATCTTAGTTGGAAAACTGAGTTTCTTCACTACTAAGTATAATGTTAACTGATGATTTTTCCAGTTGAGGGAATTCTCCTTTAGTCTAGTTGACTGAGAGTTCTTTTTTTTTTTTTTATGAATGTATGTTGGATTTTGTCACATGTATCTATTTATATGATCATGTAATTTTTCCTTTTCAGTCAGGTCCGATTTTTAAAATTGGTTTTAGATGTATAATCTCTTAGACAAGTTATTTGAACTTGCTATAAAGCCTTAGTTTCCTGATAGGAACTATATACATATGGGAACTTTATAAGAAATAGGGAACAGAAATAAGTTGACTCCCTTTTGGGTTGTGAGACTATTTAGCATAATGCATATCAAGTGCTTTACTTAATGCCTATTATGTAATTAACACTTGATAAATAGTCATTGTTAACTGTCCTTGGCAAATAATAAAGAGATAATAAACATAATAACATTAAAAAATAAGCTTCTGAAAAAAATGAGATTATTTTATCTAATGAGACTGGTCAATAGGTCAAATGTAAATTTTAGTGGAGATTATGGGATAGTTTGTCCATGGACTGTGGATAATTTTTAGTGGTAAAATCACATTTGATTATTTTTGGATAATTTAAGGGAAACAGTCTCATCCTTTTAATCAATTCACTTAAATCAGAATGAAAATTGCTTTATAGTGATTCCTCTCTTTTTGAAATAGATTCAAGATTTTTGGAAAGTTACCACTGATTTCTTTGCGAATCTCAGATAAAAAACTGCAAGGAATTTTGGAATTGATTGAAAGCATTCCAAAACCCACACCTGCAACTGAAGTACATGCCCCTGTCAAGCCATTTCAGGTAATGTTATTTACAAAATTAACAAAAGCAAAAATTAATAAGAATTCACAAATAGTATTTTAACAACCCCAGAAATTTAGGGTAAAAACAACTCAATTCATTATGAATAGACCTTTAAAAATTACTACATTTTAAAAGAGCAAATGATGAAGTAAAAAATGCATATCATAAAGAAAAGTGATGTCTACCTATCTTCACTTTTCCAGCCTCTAATTTTTCTCCTCAGTGATAACACTATTAACCATTGCATCTCTAGTTTTCTTAAAATGTTTATGGCATATGCTAGTACACACACATACAAACATATGCACCTGTGTGTATGTGCACATACAAGTATATATATTGTGTTCTTAAAATTTACGTAAGTGGGAGCATACTTACTGTTCTGAATCTGTATTCTTTAATCATAATTATCTATGTTACACACCTTAAAGATATTTTCGTGTTAGCACAGATCTACCTTATTCTTTTTTATGGTGATATACAGGATGGGGCAAAAGTAGATTTACAGTTGTGAGCACAGAGTTTATTTTGGTATTTTCCATATGAACCTACTTTTCCCCAGCCTGTAGTATTGAATTATGTGAGTATACTATCCTTTAACTAACATAATCCGTTTTGATGGGCATTCGTATTGTTATGAATGTTCATAGTTATAAAAAAATGGTTTTGAACTTCCTTATTCATATATTTGGGTATATTTTTAATTATTATATAAATTCCTAGAAGTAGAATTGTTGAGTAAAAAACTATAAATTTTATAATTTAATGAACTTTGCCAAATTTCTTTTCTAATTTGAGTACTAATTTATAGTCCCACCAATAGTAAATAGTAAATATTTATCCATTCTCATTAATCTTGACTATTAACAAATGTTAAATTCTATTAAATGAAAAAATGTTATCTTGTGGTTTTGATTCGAATTTCTTTATAAATAATATGGAACCTATTTTCATAAGTGTATTGGGTATATGCATTTCTAATTTTGAAAACAGCTGTTTATGTCTTTTGTTGAGTTACGGTTTGCTAGCTAAGGAAATTAGCACTTTTAAAAAAAATTTGTTATTTTTTAAAATCTGATACATTTATTTTTGCCATGCCAAATTTTTTATATTTTATGTAGTCAAAGTTACTAGATTTTTCCTTAATGATTTCTGGGTTTTATATTATATGCTTTACCTCTCCTTACAAATGAATTTCAAAAAGAAAATATCTATTCCCCTTTTTCTCTTTTTAACATTCTGATAATTTTAGGTTTAACATTTTACTTTTAAAATAATTTCAAACTTATAGAAATCTTGTAAAAATAGTGTAAAGAAGTTTTTTTCTCAAACCATTTGAGAGTAAGTTACTGATATGTTGTACCATTACACTAAACACTTTAGTGTGTTGCTATATTTTTTCATAGTCTGTTGCTGAGCTTATTTATTTTTTAAGAGCAGAGGTTTTAAATTTGATGAAACTTAATTTATACTATATATATATATATATATATATATATATATATATATATATATTTAATGGACGAAGCTTTTTATCTCATCTGAAACCTTTGCCTAACATGTGGTCAAAAAGTCCTTTAATTGTCATTCTATTACTTTTTGTCCTTCATGGTTTCTGACAAGAAATCTGTTAATTTAACGATACCTAGTATAAGGAGACTGGCTTCTTCTCTCTTTGAGTGTCATTTAACTGATTATGTTTTGGTATGGGTCTATTTGAGTGTATGTTACTTTGATTTTAGTAAACTTGTATTTTTTTAGATTCATGTATTTTATCACATTTGGCTGTTATTTTTTGACTATTATTTTTGAAGACTTTTCTTCTGTCCCATTTCTGTTCTGCTGGGATTTTCATATTGCATATATTTACTCCATGGTGTCCCACAGGTCTCATAGGCTTTGTTCACTTTTCTTTATTCCTTCTTGTCAATTTTGATTGACCTGTCTTAATTTTCTGATTCTTTCTTCTGCTAGCTCAAATATCTTATTGAAATTCTCGAATGCATTTTTTTAGTTATTGTACTTTTCACATCTAGAATTTTTGTTTCATTTCTTTTTATAATTCCTATCTTCTTATTGATATTTTCTACTTATTGTGACCTCACTATTTTATTTTTCTTTAGTTCTTCACAGTTCTTTCTAGCTGAGAGTATTTAAGACAGTTTAAAGTTTTTGCAGTTAAGTCCAATACCTGTAATTTCTCTTACACTGTTTTCTGCCTTTTTTTTTTTTTTTACTGTGCATGGGTCATACTTTCTTATTTCTTTGCATGCATTATTGTATGGTAACCTGACAAAGGAATTAGGAGAAAAGAAAGCTCAGCTTAATGCCTCCTTAACACAGATGTAAAAATCCTTAACAAATAGTACAACCAAATATTTTGATATGTAAAAAGTATATCATACTATAACCAAACACATTTATTCTAAGAAAGCAAATATGGTTCACCAGTCTGTGTTATTAACCACATTCATAGAGTAAAGGAGAAAAAATATCTGATCATCTCAGTAGAAGAAGAAAAAGTATTGACAGAATCCAACAATCATTCATGCTAAAGACTGTTAACAAACTGAGGGGGAAAAGTAGCATCCACTACCTGGTAAAGAACATCTTGGATAAAAACCTATAGCTGATATCATTCTTAATTTGAAAAACACTAAATGCTTTCCATATCATCTTTTCATAAGATCAAGAATAGTGCAAGAATATCTTTTCTCACCACTTCTATTTAGACCAGCCGTGGGCAAACTACAGCCTGCGGGCCGGATCCAGCCCGTTTGAAATGAATAAAACTAAAAAAAAAAAAAAAGACCGTACCCTTTTATGTAATGATGTTTACTTTGAATTTATATTAGTTCACACAAACACTCCATCCATGCTTTTGTTCCGGCCCTCCGGTCCTGTTTAAGAACCCATTGTGGCCCGCGAGTCAAAAAGTTTGCCCACCCCTGATTTAGACTTATATACTGAAGGTTTTAGCCTCTGCAGTAGTCAAGAAGAATAAAGACAGGATGGAAACAGAAAATAAAAACTATCTTTATTTGCAGATTATATGATCTTTTATGTACAAAGTTCTAAGGAATGTGGAAAAATACTGCTAGAAAAGTAAGCAGGTTTCAGCATACATTATCAATGTAAATAGTTGTTTCTAAAAATGAAAATAAGAAAAAATTCCACTTATAATAGCATTAAAAGAAGTTAAAATACATAGGAAAAAATTAACAAACTACAAATCTTATATACTTACAACTATAAGACATTTCTGAAAAAAAAATTTAAATAAGACCTAAATAGATGGAATGATATACATAATCAAGCAAGGTTGGAAGATTGACTTAATTAACATGACAGTTTTCACCAAACTCCATAGGTTTCTTATAATGAAAATACCAAAAGACTTTTCTTCTGGAAACTACCAAGCATCTATAAAGTACATATGGTAATGCAAAAGATGCATATTAGCCAAAACAATTTTGAATAAAAATAATGTTGGAGAATATCCAATACTTGATGTTAAGGTTTATTTTATAGCTACGTTATTCAAGAAAGTGCTGTAGTGGCATAAGAGTCTATCTGTCTATCTGTATAAAAGCCTAGGTGACCATTAGGACAGAATGACCGGAATGACCGGTCACTGTGATGCGTACTTACCACCAGGAGGCAGACTCTCAACGCAGGAGCTGCCCCCCAGCCCACAGGCCCCAATAGCTGATGGGGCCTGGAGGTTAACCTCCTGGTCTCTACCCTGGCCAGAAGGCCCTAATCACCTGATCGAGACCAGACAGCCAATCTCCCAGTCCCTCCCCTCGGCTGGCAGGTCCTGATCACCCTATCAGGGCCGGGCCCCAGGCTGGGATGGGGAACCGGGAGTGGGTGGCGGCAGATGCGGGTGGCGAGGGAAGGAGGAGGGGGGAGGCGGGGAACCGCGCAGTGGTGGTGTGTGGGCAGTGAGGGAAGGAGGAGGCGGGGAGGCAGGGAACTTGAATGGCCCTGAATGCCAGTCAGGCCTAGGGACCCCACCCATGCAGGAATTTTGTGCACTGGGCCTCTAGTAGACATATAAGTAAATAAGGTAAAATAGAGTCCAGAAATAAATTTACAGAGTAATATATGGTTAATATATATTTGTTTTCTTACAAAGTTAAGTCCAGTTAAATAGGGGGAAGAATAGTCCTTACAACAAATGGTTCTGAAATAACTATTTTGTGTGTGTGTGTGGGGGGGTGAGTGGGGGGGAGGGTCAACATTTACCCTTAAATGGTAAATGAAATTTAACTTAAAATAGAACATAGACCTAAATGTAAATGGCTAAGGGTATAAAGTTTCTTTAACAAAAAAATGTAAGAGAAAAATCTTTGAGTCCTTGTGGTAAGTAAAGATATCTTGGGTTTTAAAAAATGCAAATATGGAAGAAGAAAAAAATTACAGTTCATAAAATTAAAATTTTCTGATTTTTGAAAGAAACTTAAAAATGAAAAAGGCAAACTGATCAATTGGGAAAAAATGTTTGCAACACATAACTTAAAAGACTTATCCAACATGTATAAGGAAGCCAACAGCCAAATAAGAAATGAGCAGACAGACACATGACTAGGTGTGCCTTTGTTACTCATCAGGAAAATGCAAAATAAAACAATTCTTTTATGACATTAGTTGTCAAAAATTTTAGTACATTAAAAATTAAAATTAGGGCATCATAGTCATTACCTTTTGGAAGTATGTGTAATGATTCTGGAGAGCATGAGGGAGCTTCTGAGTTGCTGGTAATGTTCTGGATCTGGATTTTGGGTGCATGAGTGTGTTTACTTCTTGAAAATTTATTGAATTTTATACTTAGAGTTACGTACTCCTATGTAGTAGTTTACATTTTAATAAAAATGTTTTCCCAAAATGAAAAGGATTCCAGAGAAGGGACAAACACAAAATAACCCATGAACCTATATTATGATGTGTAACTATTGTGAAAATTGTCATTAAAACTAGGATGAAATTGGCAGTGACATTGGCAGTATTTAAAATGTTTGAAAATGTTAAGCATTTGTGAGGTTATGGAGCCATATAAATTTTAATCTGCTGCTGATGGTAGTGTAATCTGGACAAAGAATTAATGGTGTATTCATCAATGGGATATAGTATAGCAATAAGAATGAGGAATTCAATATAGATAAAATTAGAGATTATTTTGTAGAGTAATGCACAGGAAAATATGTGCAATATTTTCTTCTTCTGCAGTATAGAAAGATGCAGAGGTAATATTTAGAAAATCATTCATAGGTTAAAAAACACATAAGCTAAATAAAAGCAAGATCATGATCAGTGGTAGGGAATGTGATCAAGGAGGAGCACATCAAGTGCTCCTAGGTGAGGTATGGTATTGTTTTGTTTCTTGGCCTGGGTAGGAAGATTCAGGAGTGTCTTTTATTATGATTTTTAAGCTGTATTACATGTTTTTGTATGCTATATTTCAGAGAACAGTAAAGATATTTACTGAAATATCTTTTAAAAGTTACAACTGCAATTCCTCAACTAGTGAGGCTTTAAATATTGAGATTTTTGTTTGTTTCTCATGGATGTCATGAAGGTGGCTTCCTTATTTTGTAAGATGTTAAGTTTAGATATATCTAAGATCTCTTTCTACTCAAAGCCTCTGAACAAAAAAAATTAAAATAGTTCTGCAGTTTATATTTAGCTCTGATATTGTAAAAACACTTCTTTAAATATACATTTTATAATTTAATTGTCTAATTCAGACTGGATTTCTGTTTCTTTTTGGGGGGGCATCACAATTGTCTTAGAACTCTGAATAAAAAATCTTTGTGCTAATAAACAATGAATTTCTTTTCTTTCAGATGCAAAGGTCCACTTCTTTGGGAGCACCACAGATTTCACAGAAAGTGATTCCTCTCTTGGAACTTGCAGGTGTTGAATATGGTAAAATGAAAACCGCTTTAGGAAATTTTCCTTATTATAAATATCTTTACGGGAATAATTTTTATTTTGAAACCATATAAAAATTTCAAGGAATAGCAGACATTTGTATGTTTTCCAGAAATTTTACTAAAATTTCTTTAAAACAGTATAATTTGGATGTTCCTTAAAGTTACTCTTCCAGTGGGAATTTTGGTACATAAAAGTTGACCTCAATTGCAAGGACCACTGGTAATTAAATTATCTTAATTCTGCTGTGAGCTAAGAGATCCCATGAAACTTTGTAGATGTCTAATTCATAATGTGTTACTTAATTATGTGGAGAATTTTGTTATTATAAGTTTTTAGATGTTGTATTTTCCTTTTTTATTAAAGGAATAAAATCAAGTCTTAATATATACTTACACATGAAAAGTGCTAAATATTTTGACATAAAAAAACTGCTTTTTCTTGGCTACATTGGAAATAAAAATAAATGTATTTTTCAGTTTTTAAGACTTTTGAAATTGCTAAGTGTTAAATAACAGAAATTGCTATATTGATTCTCAGGTTTCTAGAGCATGTTTTCTTTTGTGTGTGGTGACAAGGAGGGAAGGGTAGGGAGGGGAGAGGAGGGGAGGGGATGTTTGTGAGATTATCTACTCTAAATTCAGTCGTAGGTTATTAGGGATATACTTTAGCTGGTTTTAGCTTCCTTTAAACTTTCTTTTAATGGTTTTACTAGTTTTTGAGTTCTTTTTCAATAACAAATTCTAAAAATTTATAATCATATATATATGTATGTGTGTGTGTGTATGTGTGTGTGTGTGTGTGTGTGTTATATCCTATATAATAAAAGAGAAACATGCAAATTAACCATCCCTCTGCTACACTCAAGCCATACCCAAAAGCCATGCCCACCAGCCAATCAGGAGGGAGTATGCAAATTAACCCAACTAAGATGGCGGTGGCCACAGACCTGGAGCAAGCAGGAGGCTTGGGTTGCCCCCGGCAATGGAGGAAGCCAAGCTTCCTGCCTGCCCTGGCCGGACCTGGGTTCCGCTCAAGGCTACAAAGTTTCAATTATAGAAGATAAATAAATCCCAGAAAAGAAAAAAAAAAAAAGGAGAGGCTGGGAGCTTGGGTCGCCGGGGGGCTTGGCCAGCCTGAAAACAGCCATCAGCCTCTCACCCAGGCTGGCCACACCCCATGGGGTGAGGGTCCCTGCTGGGGGGCTTGGCCAGCCTGGGTGTGGCCAGCCTCACTCAGGCTGGCCAAGCACCCCAGCGGGACCCCCACCCTGATCCGGAACACCCTTCAGGGCAAACCAGCCGGCCCCCACCCATGCACCAGGCCTCTATCCTATATAATAAAAGGATAATATGCAAATTGACCCTGACAGCAGAACAACTGGGAATGACTGGTTACTATGACACACACTGACCACCAGGGGGCAGACGCTCAATGCAGGAGTTGCCCCCTGGTGGTCAGTGTGCTCCCACAGGGGGAGCTCTGCTCAGCCACAAGCTAGGCTGAAGGCTACCAGCACAGCGGTGGTTGCAGGAGCCTCTTCCGCCTCCTCAACAGCACTAAGGATGTCTAACTGCAGCTTAGGCCTGCTCCCCGCTGGCAAGGGGACATCCCCCGAGGGCTCCCGGGTTGTCAGAGGGATGTCTGACTGCCAGCTTAGGCCTGATCCCCTGGGGAGCGGGACTAAGCCAGCAGGTGGACATCCCCCGAGGGCTCCCAGACTGCGAGAGGGCACAGGCCGGGCTGAGGTACCCCTACCCCCCTCAGTGCACAAATTTTTGTGCACCGGGCCTCTAGTCCTATATAATAAAACCCTAATATGCAAATCGACTGAACGGCAGTACGACCAGTCGCTATGATGTGCACTGACCACTAGAGGGCAGACGCTCAACACAGAAGCTGCCCCCTGGTGGTCAGTGTGCTCCCACAGGAGGAGCACTGCTCAGCCAGAAGCCTTGAGCCTGGCTCACGGCTGGCCAGCACAGTGGCGATGGCGGAAGCTTCTCCCGCCTCCTCAGCAGAGCTAAAGAACCCTTTGGGGGATGTCCAGCTGCCGGCATGTAGTACTGGGCCTCTAGTGTGTGTGTGTGTGTGTGTGTGTGTGTGTGTGTGTGTGTGTATGTATGACATAGTATTCCATCTCAGTTTATTCATTCAAACTTCCAGACCTGCCTTCTGCTTTTAATATTGCAGAGTTTGTAACTAAGTCCTTTTTTGATCTCCAGGTAGAATGAGCATGTTAGTGTGTTCCTCTGCATATTCATAATGTGGTAATTATTCACATTGTCATTTGCTATAAAATTTAACCAGTTTTAGATAGACCAATGATTTTAAAAGGTGATGTTCATTAAGGTAAACATTGCATTTTATAATTTTCAATACTTTCTTGTCATCAAGAGTGTTATTTGTTCAGATATAATCTCTGTATTTTTAAGATTTCTTTTTTTATCTTTATATTAATAAAAAAAAGACCCTAGTGTGTTAGTGTTCATATTTACTTTAGAAAAATTATAAATGTGTTATTAAGTAAAGCATTGGTTATTGACTTAAACAATGTTCTCTGATATTTAGAGTCAGAGGAGGAATTTTATGATGCGCCATGTAGTCCCGTGGAAGAATATTTTCAGTCAACAGGTAGCATTAAAAGTTATCAACAAAATAGGATTCCAGAGCTGGATTGTTCAAAAAATATGATTCAGTATAAAATAAGATTTGAAGTGCCAGAGGTATGTACCATTGTAAAATTAATATTTGTTTCTTATTTCTATTCACAACTTATTTATATAGTGTTATTACTAATAGGTACTGTTGCTTTCATTCTGTTTAAGCTGAATCCAGATGTTATTCTGTTGTCCTTCTTTCCTTTTTTTTGTGTGTATATTGTATGTTTGTGTGCTTATAAAATCTTTCCTAAATTTTAAATACATATTTATGTCATATGCATACCTCATAAATCCATATGTAACCATCATCTACATAAGCAGTTGTTTGATTTAAATAATGATCGTTTCTTTTTTCTTCTCCAGGTATCGATTCAATTTTATCACCTTGTTGAAGATTGTGAACTACCTGTGGTAGAAATTGTTGTCTTAGGATTGGGCACGGAAGTAGAACTTCGAACATTTGATTTGAAAGCCAATGCCTTTTTGAAAGAATTCTGCTTAAAATGCCCAGAATACTTGGGTAAGAATCTCTGTTTTAAAATAAGTAATTTTACTATTTGACTACCTACTGTGGAGTTTTTAATACTCTAGGCATTAAATAAGTATATTTGCTAAAACATTCTCAAAAAAATATTATATTATGAATTAGTATATATCTACTTATATAAAAACCCTGGTTGTTACATCACGACCTGAGGTGCGACCAACTGGAAGGAAGTCAGCCCTGCAGGGGTTGTTTTGGAAACGGCTGTACCCTCCCCCGAGCTGTTTCCCCGAGCTGTTTCGGTAAGGGTGAGGTTTGAGGCAGGAACCCGCCCTTGGAGCTTGGAGGCATATCTTTATAAAGTGAGCCGCGCCAGCACGGCCAAGAGTGAGCCTGAATGGGGGCGGCTGAAAGGCTTAGAAAAGACAGACAAGAGAATGAAAGCTGAGTCTCGGTGGGACGTGCTTCTCTGAGAGACAGTGACCACGCCCACAGCCATGTCTTTATTTTATAGCAGATGCCACGAGGCAAAGTAAGGGCATGACCAAGATGTTTACAACATTCTCCTGGGTTTCAATCCTACTCAACTACATGCACCTGAACTCTATCAAGCCTACATCACTCAGGCACGTGGGGCCATGTGTTTGGACTATAAGTTCAAGCTTACAACTATAGCTGTTGGCTATAATTGTGCTGGGAGGGCCCTGCCCTCCAAGCTGGGTCTTGCATGTGGCAATGAGAGTACTGTGCTCTTTCATCAGCCCAAGGTTTGAACCTGTCCAAAACACTGTAGCGGCTCCCCACAATAAAGTTTTAATACGTTATATTAGAGGTTGTGGTGGTACTGTTTTACCCACAGCATCTACAGGAATTGCTGCAAATTTACTTCTCGGTGGAAGAACCTTTCATTCCCAATATAAATGACCAATTCCATTAAATGAAACTTCAATTTCTAGACTCAATACAAACAGTGAAGTTGCTAAAACTATTAAAAAGGCCCAACTTCTCATTATTGATGAATGCATCATGGCATCCAGTCATGCTATAAATGCCATAGACAGATTACTAAGAGAAATTATGAATTTGAATGTTGTATTTGGTGGGAAAGTTCTTCTTGGAGGGGATTTTTGACAATGTCTCAGTATTGTACCACATGCTATGGGATCGGCCATAGTACAAATGAGTTTAAAGTACTGTAATGTTTGGGGATGTTTGAGAAAGTTGTCTCTTACAACAAATATGAGATCAGAGGACTCTGCTTATAGTGAATAGTTAGTAAAACTTGGAGATGGCAAAGTTGATAGCAGTTTTCATTTAGGAATGGTTATTATTGAAATCCCCTGTGAAATGATTTGTAATGGATCTATTATTGAAGCTACCTTTGGAAATAGTATATCTATAGATAATATTAAAAATATATTTAAACATGCAATTCTTTGTCCAAAAAAATGAGCACGTTCAAAAATTAAATGAAGACATTTTGGATATACTCGATGGAAATTTTCACACATATTTGAGTGATGATTCCATTGATTCAACAGATGATGCTGAAAAGGAAAATTTTGCCATCTAATTTCTAAATAGTATTACTCCTTTGGGAATGCTGTGTCATAAGTTAAAATTGAAAGTGGTGCAATCATCATGCTATTGAGAAATCTCAATAGTAAATGGGGTCTTTGTAATGGTACCAGATTTATTATCAAAAGATTACGACCTAACATTATCGAAGCTGAAGTATTAACAGGATCTGCAGGGGAGAGGTTGTTCTGATTCCAAGAATTGATTTGTCCCCATCTCACACTGGCCTCCCATTTAAATTAATTCGACGACAGTTTCCTGTGATGCCAGCATTTGCGATGATTATTAATAAATCACAAGGACAAACTCTAGACAGAGTAGGAATATTCCTACCAGAACCCGTTTTCGCACATGGTCAGTTATATGTTGCTTTCTCTTGAGTTTGAAGAGCATGTGACGTTACAGTTAAAGTTCTAATTACTTCATCACAAGGGAAATTAGTCAAGCACTCTGAAAGTGTTTTCACTCTTAATGTGGTGTACAAGGAGATATTAGAATAAGTTGAATCACTTTATCAGTCATTGTTTGCATCACTGTTGTTTTTATATCATGTTTTTGTTGTTTTTATATCATGTTTTTGTTGTTTTCATATATTTTTGTCATTTTTATATCATGCCTCTGTTGCTGTTATATCCTTTTGTTACTGTTTATTAATAAATTTATATATTATTTTCATATACATTTTACTAATTTCCTTTCATCTCTCACTTCTATTATAGAGAAAGGGCAAATAGCAATATTAAAATATTTCTGCTAAGTAAATACCTTTTAATGTGCATGAATTTCGTGCACCACGCTACTAGTATATATATAATCTTTTATCTTACACTTGGGAATCTAGGTAGACCAGATAGAAAAAGAAGATAATTTTTTATTATTATGGACAATAAAATAGTCATGGTTAAATTTTATTTATTTATTTATTTAAAATATATTTTTTATTGACCTTTTACAGAGAGGAAGGGAGAGGGCTAGAGAGTCAGAAACATCGATGAGAGATAAACATCGATCAGCTGCCTCCTGCACACCCCCTACTGGAGATGTGCCCACATCCGAGGTACATGCCCTTGACTGGAATCATACCTTGGACCCTTCAGTCCGCAGGCTGATGCTCTATCCACCGAGCCAAACCAGTTAGGGCAGTCATGGTTAAATTTTAAATCTATTTAACTTAAGCCTTCAACACTGAATTTGTTTCCTATCCTATATAATAAAACACTAATATGCAAATCGACTGAACAGCAGAATGACTGGTCACTATGATGTGCACTGACCACCAGGGGGCACACACTCAATGTAGGAACTCATCCCTAGTGGTCAGTGCGCTTCTGCAGGGGGAGCGCCACTCAGCCAGAAGCCGGACTCACGGTGAGCACAATGGTGGTGACAGGAGCCTCTCCCGCCTCCACAGCTGCGCTAAGGAGCAGCAAGCCTGGCTTCTGGCTGAGCGGCACTCCATGTGGGAGCGCCGCTCAGCCAGAAGCCGGGCTCACGGCTGGCAAGTGCAGTGGTGGTGGTGGGAGCCTCTCTCACCTCTGCTGCAGGCGGGCAGTAAGGAGCAAGGGGTCCCAGACTGCGAGAGTCCTGGACTGTGAGAGGGAGTCTGAGTGCCGGCTTAGGCCCGATCCCTGTGCACTGGGCGTCTAGTTGATACTATAACATATTACCACAAACTCAGTGTCTTAAAACAATACAAATTTATTATCTTAAATATCTTTAGATCAGAAGCCTGACGTAAGTCTCAACAAGCTTAAATCAAGGTGTCAAAAGTAATTTCTTTTTTGGAGCCTCTAGGGCAAGGGTAGGGAACCCTTTATCTGCAAAGGGCCATTTGGATATTTATAACATCACTAGAGGCCCAGTGCATGAAATTCGTGCACTGGTAGGGTCCCTAGTGGCTAGTGGGAGCTGGCCGGGGTACTCCCTTTCTTCCCCTGGCTGCCCCAAACCATGACCTCCTGTTCATAGGTTGCCGTTCAACCACTGAGCAACACCAGTCGGGCTATTTTCTGTTTCTTGATGATTTAGATTTGGAAGATTGTATATTTCTGGGAATTTATCCATTTCTTCTAGGTGTCCAGTTTGGTGGTGTATAATTTTTCATGAATACGAAGTCTCATGATCCTGTGTATTTATGAGCTATCTCTTATAATGTCTCTTTTATTTTATTTAAGTTCTCTCTTCTTGGTGAATCTAGCTAAAGGTTTGCCAATTTAATCTATTTAAATTTGGAGGATTCTGTGGAATATGTTGCATTTTTTCCTCAAGAGTAGTATGATTGTTTTAATCCTTCCTTCCAGAATCTAGATGTTAATTTCTTACAGCATAAGTAATTTGGTGATGATAATTTTATGGGATTTATATATAATACTCTTTTCTAGCAGGTTCCCACTTAATAGATTTTGAATAGAAGCAATAATACAACTAGTAATATCTGATTATATGGTATAGGGTTTATTTTAATCTATATTAATATACAGGAAAACTTAGTTTTTCATAACACCCTAGTTGATTTCTTCTCAACAATTAGGTTTTCCGGGAGTCTGATAATTTTTTTTGAATCTATTTCAGTAGCTTAGGACCAGAATTCTCTTCATATCTTTTTCATTGTTCGTATTAGCCATTATGCCTTTTTAATTGATTGCTACTTTTTTTTTAAACCTTACTTTCTAACTAGGTTTGGCAGGATAGAGTTTTTAGCATTTTGCATAAGAGAAGGGAAAGAAATTGTGAGGAGAATTACATTTTTAAAGTTTAAAATAAAGGACAATAGACCTGACCTGGGTAAGATAGAATCCAAAGCTCTGAACTGATATAGGAAATTCTTCTTTTCCAATTTTATGTTTAATAGCATTGCTTGCATTTATTCTCACTTAGTTTTACTATGAAAGAATAATTTTAAAAATTATTTTTAGATGTAAACGAAAAGCCAGTTTATTTGATTACAACACTAGATAACACAATGGAAGATCTGTTAACACTGGAGTATGTGAAGGTAAGCAGTACCATTTATATCTGCTTGCTGTGGTAAATGTGCAGCTGAAATGTTAAATCAAATTTTGTAAGTTTAGTGATACTCAGTTTAATCATGATTCTATTGGAATCTCTATAATGCTTAAAACTTTGAGTTTTTGTTTTGTGCTCTATTAAATAGAACACTTCATATAGCAAATGAGAAGTCTTCGTCTAAGTAGAAATAACCTGCAGTTTTTCCCCCCATCAGGGTATCAAAAAGAAAGAAACTCTTTAATCTTTATCCTATTTATTGTGATATATGATGTGAGATGAAGCTTTCACTTCATCTCACATCATATATTTCCTACAATTTGTCTGAAATTACCTAATTATCCTGGTGTCAGTGACTCCTGGTGTCATCTCTTTTCTATTGACTTATGATATCCACTTTATCATGTGTGTTTTTATATATACTGTGGTATACTTATGATTTAGTCCATGATTTCATTGACCTATTTTTATGTAAGTGCCACATTATTTTAATAATTACTTCATAGTAAGATAATGCTGAAAGAGTAATTAACACAGAATATTTAGATATTGAGTGGACAATTCTGTCACAAATTTTGTTTTCACATACAGGAAGAATTAGGAAGGACCTTACATAGTTGTTGATGACAATGATTGTTCTCCATACTTGATAATATTTAATTTTTTACTCTTGATAACTTAATACTTGCCATTTGCCAAATTTCTTTTGCTCTGTGGAAGCAGTTGTTCATTTAGGTAATTATACATATAAATAGCTGGAAGTTTTTTATACATGTCTATTAGGACCATTATGTAACTGTATTTACATAAGTTTTTTAAAGATTTCTAACAGATTTCTTTTATTCTCTTCGGGTAGGCTGAAAAGAATGTACCCAACTTGAGAAGTTCCTTTAATAATGTTGAACAACTGATTAAGGTATAAGTGAATAATAATTTTTTAATTAGGTACAGTATTTCTAAGTGAATAATATATTATGAAATTTATTTTATAGCTAGAACTCTAAGATCCTTGAGGATAAAAATGGAATATTATAAATTGGATCCTTTGTACCACAAAGCCTAGTGCCTTATAACAGAGCAGTCAAATAAATATTGACATAGTACTAAAATCAACTTTGTTCTTTAGGTGAATTTTTCCTCTTTGGATATTCATTTGCATACGGAAGCACTTCTGAATACAATAAACTATTTTAATAATTTCATTCCACAATTGGAGGAAAAGTCAGCCTCGGTGCATGTTGCGGAGACAGAAGACAAAGGAGAGGTCATTAAAAAAATAGGTATGTTTTTTTAAAATTCTTTTTTTTTTTTTTTAACCAAGTAGATTAATAAATTTATCTTTGGCTCTGTTAACTTACAATATTGTCTTCAGAATTTTATTGCCTAACTTAAAAATCTAGAAAGATTCATTATATACCAGGCTAATTTTAGAAAATAATAGTAAAGGAAAATGATTACTGATGAAGAAAATGTGGTTTTTATTTATTCTATCATTCTTTAAGTTGAAGATTATACTATAGAAGTATTTGGTTTATATTAAAATTCATGCATTTTATATCATTACTTTAAATTAATAAAATAGAGCTAATAATTTTTGAGTAATATCAGTGTATATTTTTAAATTAGAGTACTTTTTAAGCTGGGAAAAGTTGCAAGTTTAATAATGACAGGTATCACCTAGTAATTATTAACTCTCAAAAGATTTATTATTTTGTAGCCAGCAATCCTAGTTTCAAATGTTAGCCTCATCTAGCATCCTTTTTTGTGTGTGTGTCTGTTTGCTTTTGTTTGGCTTTTTGTTTTCATTAGATTTGGTTGTTTTTTTAGAATTCCTAATTTATAAGGGAATTTCTTGCTTGTTTTCAATTGAATTGCAAATCAGGTTTTTCTCTAGCATTACTTTTATTTGTTGTGATATTTTACTTAAGTGTAGCGAGGTAGCTATAAGTTTTTCCTTATGTTTTACAATATGACTTTATTGCAGCTTCAAGACGATACAGGCATGAAGATATTACCTTGCAGATCTTAGCAGAATTATCATGTTTACAGATCTTTATTCAAGATCAGAAACATAACATTGCTGAAATTAAGATTGAAGGTAATAAAATTTCAGAAAAATAAATCCAAAACTATTACATGAAAGAAAAGACATTTAACCATTCTTTTATTTTCGTAGGGCTTGATTCTGAGATAATTATGAGGCCTTCAGTAACTGAAGTAAATGCAAAGCTAAGAAATATAATTGTTTTGGATTCTGATATAACAGCTGTATATAAAAAGGTATGAATTTATTTCTTTTAATTAACAGTACATTTTTGAATTTAATTTTCTTTAATTAGTCATGGGTATAAATTAGTTGTCTTATTTTAGCTGTGTGGCTTATTTTATCTTTGGTTTTGGACTTAGGCATAATTGGGTTCTTATCTCTACTCCTAATCCTGAATTCTGTTTCTTTATATGTAAAACTAGAGGCCTGGTGCACGAAAGCCTGTACCCTCTCACAGTCCTGGAGCCCTGAGATCTATCGTTCAAAAGAGGTGGGCCCCACTCAGTTGGGACTCTGGGATGGATTGCCCCCCACCCACCCCCAGCCAGTTAGCCTGGGTCTCCCTCTTTGGGACAATCAATCGCAGGGCTCTACCGTCGATATGCCCCAAAGGGGTAGGCCCTGCCCATCCAGTCAGGGCACTGCAATGGATCGCCCCCACAGAGGGAGACCCCGCCCATCAGCCGCAGCGCTGCCAGTGGCCTGGCCCTCCCTCTTTGGGGCGATCATGGAGCCCCCCAGATTGATCGATCGCCCTGGTGGCCGGTGGCCTGGGCCTCCTCCTGCAGGGCGATCATGGGGTGATAGCCGGGCCCCAGACCAATGGCATTGCACCTGCCTTGGCTCGCCTGGCACCAGTGGGTGCCATAGCATGGTCGTCTGGATGGTCGTTTTGCTGTTCAGTCATTTGGTCAATTTGCATATTATGCTTTTATTATTATAGATGAGGATTAAGTATCTTATAAATGAGGTAAATATAAGTAATCACTCCTAGAACATAGTTGCAGGGGAATGGGGGCAGGGCTGTGGAGGGATGGGTAAGTAGTAAATGCCCTTTTCACTTTTTCTTTTTCTTTCTCTCCTCAAAAACTATGAACTTTGTAATGCATTTCAGATTTCACGGGCAGAGTGTCTGAAGTCATATCGAATGAATGAGATTTTAAAAAAGTTTATTTTCATCATTGCTTACTGGTGTAGCTGTTACAGTGTTAAGAGTCCGTTGAACTGGATGGCTAGTAGTTGAAGGATGGGTATTTTGTTATTGGCTGTAAGACTGTAAGGTTCTTGAATTAGATACTGTTGTGTAGTTGGACACATAATTTTTGAACAGTGGAGCATTCAGGTAAGATGGTATATTTAAGGTAGTCAAGAGTATCAAATAATAGTAGGATAAGAAAAGGCTGAGGTACTTGGTTAGGAAGTCAGAGTTTGGAGTGTGACAAGAAGAAAGGAACTAGAAAAATAGGTTTAGCCAATAATACTGATGAGATACTGTGATGACCTGATTTTTATATTAAACAAAAGTCCTCATTCCTTATATTTTCTTACTAAAACTTGCTAGCATGAGATAACAAGAGTTCCAAAACAGCAAAGATACATGACTCATAAGAATGAGGTGTGGTTAGCTTCTATTGCTTTTGTTTTAAAAATCATAGTGGTTAGAGCTTTGAAGAAGACATCCATTTTATTTGCCCTATCTGGAAAGTAAAGCTCAAATAAATGCATTTACTAAAAGTCATACAAGAAGTTAGAAATGGAACCAACATTATCACTCATGCCCTTTTTCTTCTTTTTTTCTGTAATTTTATTTTTAATGCATCTATAAGGTTAAAATCCAACTTACAAAAAAGGCCGCTAATGAAAGTTTCTCACTTCTATCTTTTTGCCCCACTTCTGTTTTCCTGTCCTTATTCCTTGACTTTGATTCTGATGTAAATGACTTTTAAACAATCTACCTGGTTCTGTAGGTCACTACATGTCAAGAGAACCAGAAGGACAAAGCTTTTTGCACTAGATCACAGCTTCCTAGGTAACCGAGGTTGCTGTCAGATTCAGAAACGAAGATGGGACAGGGAGCCATGGCAGGGGGCGCAGAGGATGGACCGAGACCCGCCCCTGTGCCCACCTCAGCCTCTCGGCCCACAGTTCCTTTCAAGGTGCACAAATTCGTGCTTTGGGCCCCTAGTATTTAAATAAGAGATTTGGCTATGTTCCAATAACATTTTAATTTATCCTATCTAATAAAGAGGGAATATGCTAATTGATCCTCATGCCGTCGCCTAGATGGTGGCACCCACAGCCAATAAGGAGGGAATATGCTAATTGACTGCCCCACCATCAAATATGGCAGTGCCCACAACCACAAGATGGCGGCACCCAGTCCTCTCAGCCCTGCTGGGGCAGCAGGCGTGTGGCAAGACCGGGCCCATCCCATGCGCCTGCCTCCGGAGTCCCCCAGTCCCCTCAGTCCCCAGCCGCCCAGGGCCGCCTGAGGCTCAAGTAACCAGGGCCAGCCAAGGCTTGTGCCGCTGGCAGTGGCAGCAGCAGAGGTGTGATGGGGCATCGCCTTCCCCTGATCGCCTAGTTGCCTCCCACCCATGAGGGCTCCCGGACTGTGAGAGGGGGCTGGCTGGGCTGAGGGACCCCCCCTCCAGTGCATGAATTTCATGCACCGGGCCTCTAGTTGGATAATAAAATATAATTTTGATATATCACAAAATATTTTTTGATATTTTCAACTTCTTAAGAGTGTGAAAAACATTTTTACTAAATCCTACTGGTTGTAGTTGTTTAACTGACCAATATTATGGGGAGGGATGTTATTTTTTTCCTTACTGATTTGTAGGAATCATTTATTCTGCATATTATTTCTTGATTCAAATACTATTTTCTTATTATAATGTCTTTTGATGAACAAAAGTTCTTAATTTTAATAAAATAAAATTTATCATTTCTTACCTTCTTGGTTTGAGAATTTTGTGTTTTCTAAACCATTCCATTCCTTGAATTCATACAGGTATTACTCTATGTGATTTTTCTAAAAGTTAGATAATTTTGCCTTAAACTTTTAGGTCTTTAATTCTACTTAGAATTTTTTTTTATATGGTTGAGGCTATAATTTCACTTTTTCCACACTGAATTTCCTAGTACCATATATTGAGATAGCCATCTTTTTCTCACTCATCTATAGTACCATGTCCATTAAATATGAGATGTAGATATGTGAATAGATTTGTTTCTGAGCTCTCTTTTATTTGTTTATCCTTGCATCAGGAGCAAATATATAGTATTAATTTGATGCTGGATACTGTTCTAAGTGCTTTATAAATGTTATTTAATCTCCCGGTAAATTATTCTTCATTTCAGCTCATGTATCCTTCATTTCTAACTGGTTCTTTTTTATGGTTTTCATGCTTTTTTTTTTTAATGCTGTTGAAGTTCCACTAAGTTCATTTTGCATCCTTATAACCAGTATTTTGAATTCTGCATCTAGTGGATTGTCTCCATGTTGTTTAGTTCTTTTCCTGGAGTTTTGTTCTGTTTTGTCATTTGAGATATGTTTCCTTGTCTCCTTATTTTGATAGCCTCCCTGTGTTTGTTTCTGTGTATCAGGTAGAGAGCTGTTATGTGTCCCGGGCTTGGTAGAGTGGTCTTATGTTGTAGGTTTTCTCTAGGGCCAGGGTTACAGCCTCCCTGATACCCACACTGGGCACTGGGGTCATGTAGGAGGTACAGGCCCAGGTCTGCTGCTGGCTATGTTCTGCCCAGGGCCTCCCAGCATGAGCTACAAAGTGGTCTGCAGATGGATCCTAATTTTAATGGGCTTGGAAGTGCCCAGGTAAAGCCAAACTGCAAACCAAGGTTGGCTGCTCCTAGCGCCAGGTTTGGGGCCCATTAGCAAGAAGTATGGGGCACCTGGAGTCCAGTTGCTGCTTGTTTGAGATTGTAGGAAAGTCTGAAGCACAAACCAAGACAGGCCATTCATATGGGAAAGCCACTGGAAACAGCTTGGATGGGCCATAAGTTGCATGGGGCAGGGTCTCAGAGAACCATCCAGGTGGGCTGAACAATGTGAGCCAGGTTGATGAATTCTCGGATGGCACCTGCCTGCCCAGCTCTGTGTATGATGTGTCAGAAAAAGAACAATGGTCTCTGCCAGCACTTTTTTTCTGGTAGAAACCTGCCCCTCCAGTTCTCACCCTGTTGTCAGTCAATTCAGTTCCCCCTGCTAGTCCCTGGTGCCTTTTGAGCTGCTGCATCAGTGCTGGAGCTCAGAAGGAGCAAGTCTGAGTAAGTCCTTCAAGAGGAACTGTCTGGGACTCCAGAAGCCCTCCATCGCACCCAGCCACAATCTCTGCTGTTTCTGCACCCAGAAGTTATGGGTTCTGGTGTGTGGCTGGGACCCCTCGCTCCTCAGGAAATTTCTGTAGCTGAGATATTCCTCCCAATTTTTATCCTTCCTACATGGGTGTGGGACCAACCCCTTCAACCCCTCAGCCAGTCTCAATGTGGCTTCTTTAAATCCTTAGTTGTAGGACTTCCATTTAGTTATATTTCAGGTAGTTCTAAATGATGGTTGTTCGGTAGTATCGTTGTAATGTTGATGTGGTTGTGGGAGGATGTGAGTACTGTGCTTATCTACGCTGCCATCTCTGGAAGCTAGCTCCACCATTTTAACTGGTATTGCAAAATGTGTGACTTTAATCTGTAGGTAATTTTTGGTTTGCAATTGAGATGACTTCAGAAAACTAATAAGGAACAGAAAATTTCATTAAGTTGTAGAGGTATAGAGTTTTCCCAAGTTTGATAGTGACCAAAAGTTCATTTATATGGCAATTCTTACTACATAAGTAAAGACACTAATTGAAAATGTAAATTCTGATAATTTTCCTTTTTTTCTCCCCATTTATAAAATGTTGGCCAGACCTACTAAATGGATTTCATGGCCCACAAAGGGAGCTGCCACCACCAATTTCAAAAACTTGCAATGAAGGTTCTGATAAAGGGGTTAGAATTGTTGCCTTATATCTATTTGGCTTGACTACATGGGAGATTTTCCAAATATGTTGCATTGCTTGACTACATGGGAGATTTTCCAAATATGTTGCATTGCTTTGTTTTGAAGACATCATTAAGGCTGTTTATATCACTGGAAAAGAAGTTTTCAGCTTCAAAATCCTTTCTTATGTGAATGCAACTTCAAAATCCTTTCTTATGTGAATGCAACTGCTGATTCCGCATACACAGATATGAGTGTGGTTGACATAATTTTTATATTCTATATTGGTAAGTATGTTAATTGATTTTTTAATTGATTCTTTCCCGCTAGTTGGAAATTGTTGTGCATCAACCATACATGAAGAATAAATAATAATTTCTTGCTTGATTTTTACCACCTAATTTTTCATAATTGTTTGAGTACCATTTATTATGACTGAAATGTAAAATACTTTATGTAGTATTATTTTCACATGGGAATATCCAGTTAATTGAAATATATATTTTAGATATTAACATATTAAGTATATGTACATTATATGTCATATATGTCATATATGTTAATTGAGTTTTTATTTTATACATCATTAGTTTTTATGTTTTTGCTTTACTTAAGTTTCAACTCTAATGAAAAATACTAAAAATATAACTTAAGTTTGTTGTTGTCTCAGGTTATTATTTTAAAAATTATATTTTCTATTATGTTATAATTCTGTGACTGAGGCTTTAAGAGCTTTAGATTTAATCTCTGTATGATACACTCTAAGGTATTTGAATTACTTTTCATAGTTTATTTTCCCTTGTGGTTTTTTCATTCTGTCACTTGATGTTTTCTCTGGTGAGTGTCTTACCTGTCTCTATGGCTTCACTATTCATTCTTTTAAAATGCTATCTCTTAGTGTTGGTGTATAAAATGGATAACTAGTTGATTCTAAGTACATAATGTTGCCGTTTTTTTTATCTTTTTAATTAAGGTTACCATGCAATTTTTCATATACCCATAAATTTGTTTGTACACCAAAACATAAATATGAACAAATATTTCTTGTCTAATTTATTTTTTAAAATTCCTAGTTATTTGCTAAATGATTTTTAAAAATATTTTTATTGATTTCAGAGAGGAAGAGAGAGAGATACATCAATAATGAGAGATAATCATTAATTGGCTGCCTCCTGCACACCCACACTGGGGACTGAGCCTGCAACCCTGGCATGTGCCCTTACCTAGGATCAAACTCTGACCTCCTGGTTCATAGGTAGATGCTCAACCACTGAGCCATGCGGGCCAGGCTCTAATTTCTTTTTAGAACTTGAAAGAATTTTGTCAATGAGCCTGATGTGATACCCTTTTACTAAAAAATTACTGAAAATGAAATCTTTTTCTAAGTATGAAAATTAAATGTAACTTTAGGTATATTTTATGTCATTGCGGTGTTTTTTCCAGAATTCAGAAATTAGAAAAGTTTAGCATTCTTAAGGAAATATATTTTAATTTTTTATCTTACAAACATAAAGAAGCTCTCTGCCAGTTGAGTTTGTACAGGGAAACACAATGTAATTGGTTAGCATTTAGGAAAAATGAGACAATGAGGGAACTAGATATCAGTGAAATATTGCAATATCCACATGTTACTTGTTCCAGGGACTAGTTTTTCAATGTTCTGCTATATCTTTGTATCTTTATCTCTGTGTTTCTCAATTTTTATGCAGAAGATTAAGATTTAATATTGGCAGTCAGACTTCGAATATATACTGCCTGGTTGTACCAAGAAAATTTTTTTCTTATGGAGGTAAAATCATTACCTGCCTTATACATTTAATAAGTCTTATTCATTAATGGTAACCTTGTGAATATAATTCTGTTACCTTTATAGGCTTTCATAGATAATTTTCAAGCAGTTAAAGAAGCCTTGGCTGAGGCAACTGTCCAGGCAGCAGGAATGGCTGCTACTGGTGTAAAAGAACTGGCACAAAGGAGTTCTAGAATGGCATTAGATGTTAACATCAAAGCCCCAGTTGTGGTCATCCCACAGTCTCCAGTTTCTGAAAATGTCCTTGTTGCTGATTTTGGACTAATTACAATGACCAATACATTCCATATGATAACAGAGAGCCAGTGCAATCCCCCACCCATTATTGATTTGATTACAATAAAGCTGAGTGAAATGCGACTATACAGGTAAGCTTTCCAAAAATATATTTGTATAGAGTGGTCATTTTCTAACTTTTTACATTACAGGCTTTAGTATCCTGAGTCTTCTGTTTACAGTATTTTATTTCATTATAACTATACTTATAATTTTGTGGAACTCTTTCCTTAAGTATTTTTGGTAAGATCAATTATAGTCTTCTAGTTTTTAAAAACTTAGAAATGTATATTTGAAAATTTCTTTTTAGATAAATTAATTATCTCAGGAAGCATATTTGTGCTTATTTGTAGTTTTTGTTGTTAATACTCAAGTGAGGATATTTTTTCCATTGCTTTTTAGAGAGAGAGTGGGAGAGAGGGAGGGAGGGGGAGGGGAGAGGGGGGTGAGAAAAAGAGAGAGAGAGAAACATTGTTGTGAAAGAGGCACATCTGTTGGATGCCTCCTGCAGGAGCCCAACCAGAGCCGGGATCAAACCTGCAACCCAGGTTTGTGCTCTAACCACTGAGAATACTGACCAGGGCTGCTTATTTATAATTCTTTATAAATTATAAGGTTATGGAATAATTGGAGGAATTCCTAATAGCATACATTTATTCACTTCACAAACACAGCATTATCCAAACTACTCTATCAGCTTTGTGCTGTGAATCTGATGTTCTCGTTAAAACAAAATAAAACAAAATAAAATACACACAGTAGAATACAACTTTATGAAATCATTGGGCATAGAATTATGAGTTAGGAGAATAAATGAATATCCAGATATTTCCAGAACTTTTTACTGTGTTTTTGTGCTATTTCTAATCACTACTCTAGATTTAGTGCCCTGTGCCTTTTCAGCTTGGATACATCTCTGTTTATACCTCTCACTTGCCCTCTTCTTTTTTCCTCTCATTTTTCTTTGGTCTTATTCTATTTGTTTCTTTTCCTTTATTTTTGCTACTTCTCTTGACTGGCCTCTGGCTGGTCTGTCTCCCTCAATCTGTCTGCTTTCCATCAGTTGAGTACTTTTTTTAGAAAAGCAAGAATTTATTGACCGCAACAAAAACACACTTAGCACAGTGAAATAAGGAAGGAATAGCAATTGAGTATTTTTAAAGCAGTTTATTGAGATATAATTGACATATAAGCAATCACATATCTTCGAAGTGTATAATATGATAAGTTTTGACATGGATACACTTGTGAAAGTTTGTGTACATTGTAATATTTCTTCTTTAAATATTTGGTAGAATTCACCAGGGAAGCCATCTGGTCCCAGGGTTTACTTGTGGGAGATTTTTAAATACATTTTAAATATATTTTCCATTTCCTTAAACTTATGTCTATTCAAGTTATTTTTTTTCTTGTGTGGTCTTTTTAAAATTTTTTCAAGAAATTTGTCCATTTTGTTCACATTGTAGAATTTTATGGTATAAAGTTGTGTATAATGTTTCCTTCTTATTATTAATATACACAGGGATTTTGCCTCCCTCATTCTTGATATTTATAGTTTATGCCTTTTTACTAATCAGTTTGGTTAGAGGTTATCAGTTTTATTGATTTTAAAGAACCAGCTTTTGGTTTTCTCTCATTTTTCTCTTTTCTCTTTCATTTATTTCTGCTTTGATATTTATTATTTCCTTCTGCTTATTTTGGGTTTAATTTTGCTTTTTCGAAGTTTCTTTACGTGTTAGCTAATGTTGATATGAACATTTCTTCTTTTATAATTTACTGCAGGCATTTAGTACTAAAATTTTGGAGTTTTTCTCTGTAGCTCTCTTCTTTCTGGCATTTTACTGTTCCAGCTCTAGCTAGCTGCCTTGGTCACAAGAATTCTCAGTGCCATCTCATGAATTACTGTCCAGTGCTTGATGTCCTATGTCCTTTTACTTCTTTTTAGAAAATTTGGCCTTTAATTTGCATTAAAATAAGTTTCTTTAAATATTTCAGTTACAAGTTCTAATAGTGAAGACATAATAGATGCTGCAGGTACTCAGTATTGGCTCCCATCCCTTCCCCCACTCTCTCTCCCAAGCTTTGTTTTTTCACTCAAGATTCAAATGGGCACTCTCCACTAAATAAATGGCTCCCGGTGCCACTTATTTCAGGTTACACATTGTAAACAAGTGTTCTTTATGCATGCCACGTTTATTGCATTTTGGAACTTTTTGTTGTGGATTTTGCTGTTCAAATTGCTGCCAAGCATATAGTGCCAGTTATAACCATAAAAGATTAGAAGTGGATTAATTGTATGGATGTGAGTTGTCTCAATAATACTATTTAAAAAGCTAAAGGAAAATAATATGTAAGTATCAGTAATAGGGTAGAACACAACTTTCTAATTTAAGCATTGAAGGAATAAGAAAAGTAATAAGGGAAAAATACCGATTGGGTTTGACTGTACAAGAATGTAATTTTCTGAATATTAATTAACAAAACAAAGTTATAAGGGAAATAGAATATGGGGTATTAGCATCTTTATCAAAGGATAAAAATCTTTAAATATTTTAAACCAGAAAGAACAAGATAATTTGAAAAATTGGTAAAAAACACAACTAGATGATTCTTTAAAGGAGCCAATAAACAGCTAATAGAAATGTTCATACACACAAATTTATTGATTTCTACTATTAGTATATAAAATGAAAATTTTAACTTTTTGTTACTATCTGAGTACATATGAAACAGTTTGCAATAATTTTCTCTCTCCTTTTAGGTCTCAATATAGTAATGATGCATACCAGGAAGTACTGGATATACTACTGCCATTAAATCTTGAGGTGATTGTTGAGCGAAATTTAGCCTGGGAGTGGTTCCAGGAAGTTCCTTGTTTTAATATAAATGCTCAACTAAAGCCTATGGAGGTAATTTTTCAGATACTTGTTGATTCATTTTTTTTTGGTTAAAAGATATTGCTTGGGGACATATTGTTTGGGTGTAGAAGTTATATCTTTATTAATCACCTTTGTCAGAATTGAAATATTAGCTCTATTAATCTAGAATTCATAGAATATTCTCCATTCATTCATTCAACAGATATTTGTGTTCCTACTGTGTTAGATATTGGAGATACAGTGGCAGAGAAGCAAGACATTGTCTTTGGCTTTGTGGACTTACCAGTCTGATGCAGGGGTTGGTGGTGATGGGAGTCCAGAGGTGTGATAGATAGTAAAAAGTACACATGTACATTATTAAAATGGTTTTAAATTGTGGCAAATTCTATGAAGGAAACAAATATTAGGATGTTATAAGTAGTCAGTTGGATACATTAACATGGAATTTAGTGGAGATGTCTAGGCAGGATAGAATTTGGTGTTATCAGCAATGGGAATATATGGAATAACCTAGAGAAAATCGTAGAAGAATGGAGAGGTTGAAGATGAAAATTGCAAATGGGTCAGGACCTTAGGCATAAATTAACCTCACTATTGGTTAACATTGCTTCACAGATCCCTAATGTACCTATCCACAAATTCATATTGTTCCCTCTTCACTAGATGGAACTATTTCACATGTTTTGCTGAAGTGACAGCAACATATGTTGTGTCTGCAAGGTTTCTTTTCCCAGTCCCCGTCCCAAGTTTCCCTATTTCTTCCTATAAAAATGTATTAAAAAAGAGAAAACAATTATTTTAAAGATTTAAGATTTTTAACTTAAAAGTCTGTTTAGAATTTAAAACCTCTCAACTGGAAGAAAAATGTTAAATTCTTAGTATATAGATCATATGGGCATCTTAACTTATAGATGGAAAGTACCCTCTTAAGATAAATAATTGAAGTCTCTTTGTATAGGTAAGACAACAGATTGAAACTTATAAAAGACTAGAGGCCCAATGCACGAAATTTGTGCAAGAGCCTTGGCCCCAGGCCCCGCCCGGGCCTCTGCTGCCTCTACTGCGGCCCCAGCCTGCTGAGGCTTTGTCCAGAAGGAAGGACGTCCGGAAGGACGTCTGGTCTAATTAGCATATTATGCTCTTATTATTGTAAATAAGTAGCATGCTGAGCAAATCCTCTTCCCACTGGACACAGTCATTAGGCAGATTTATGTGGGGTGGCAGGATACTGTTTTCCTTCACTCTTCCCCAGGGCGAATCCATGCAGTATCAGGTAATATTTCAGGTCATCTGCAAATGCCTGGCTACCTTCCAGGACTGATGAAATTGGGTCTTTGCTTATCCTTATTCACATGAATAGGCAGCAGTTGTTGTAGACCACCCCTTAGAATGCATTTAGACTAAGTACTGCAGCTTGTGATTTCTGTCTTGTCAGATGTTTGGGGATAGCACACAGACTGCCCTGACATGTAGGAGCCATAGAGCAACAATCTGGGGGTTGTTACCATTTTTCCAACTTCTGCACTGAGCTGTTAGCAAGAGTGAGAGTGATGATTAACATCAAGAACTGGCAGGCATTCAATATACGTGTACTAATTGAAAAGTGTTGATTTAGAAATTATATTTTATTTCAGTTTATAAATTTATATGAACATACTGTTTTTGCAATGACTGCTGCATAATAATCACAAAATAAATATTTTTTTAAAACCCAAGTAGTAGGTATGTACTAAAACAACATAAATAGCATGAGTAAGGTACACATGGATTTAATCTTAAAACACTAGATTAGTATATAGGAATATCTTGTTTTATTGTGCTTTGCTTTTTTGTGCTTCACAACTTTTTGCAAATTGAATGGCAAACCGGCTTCGAGCAGCAAACTTATTGCCACCATTTCCCCAACAATGTTTGCTCACTTCACATCTGTGTCATATTTTAGTAATTCCCACAATATTTCATACTTGTCTATTATTATATTTGTTTTGGTGATTTGTGGTTAGTCATCTTTGATGTTACTATTGTTATTGTTTTTCGGCACCACCAACGACACCCATATAAAACTGTAAACTTAATAGATAAATGTTGTATGTTTTCCGACTCCTCTACCAACTGCCCTGTTCAAGCTGGTTTCCCTATCTCTCCCTCTCTTTGGGTCTTCCTATTCCTCGAGACACAGTAATGTTGAAATTAGGCCAATTAATGACCTTACAATGTCCTCTAAGTGTTCAAGTGAAAGGAAAAGTTGCACTTCTCTCATTTGAAATCAAAAGCTAGAAATAATTCAGCATAGTGAGAAAGGCATGTCAAAAGCTAAGATAGGCTAAAAGCTAGACCTCTTGCAACAAACAGCCAAATTGTGAATGCAAAGGAAAAGTCCTTGGAGGAAATTAAAAGGACTACTTTAGTGAACACACAAATGATAAAAAAGCAAAACAGCTTCATTGTGGATATGGAGAAAGTTTTAAGGGTCTGGATAGAAGATTAAACCAGGTAAAACAGTCTCTTAAGCTAAAGTCTAATCCAAAGCAAACCCCTAACTCTCCAATTCTCTGAAGGCTGAGATAGGTGAGGAGGTTGCACAAGAAAATTTTGAAACTAGCAGTGGTTCGTTCCAAAAGTTAAGGAAAAAAATCTGTCTCTATAACATAAAAGTACAAGGTAAAGCAGCAAATGCTGATGTAGAAGCTGCAGCAAGTTATCCAGAAGATCTAATTAAGATAATTAATGATGGTGGTTACACTAAACAACAGTATAGATGATATGGTCTTATATTGGAAGAAGATATACCATCTAGGACTTTGATAGCTGAAGAGGAGAAGTCAGTGCCTGCCTTTAAAGCTTCAAAGAATAAGCTGACTCTTTTGTTAGGAGATAATGCAACTGCTGACTTTAAATGGAAACCAATGCCCATGAACCATTCTGGAAATCCTAGGGCCTTTAAGAAATATGCTAGATCTACTCTGCCTGTGCTCTGTAAATGAAACACCAAAACCTGGTGATAGCACATCTGTTTACAACATGGTGTGCTGAATATTTTAAGCCTAGTGTTGAGACCTACAGCTCAGGTAAAAAAAAGATTCCTTTTAAAATATTACTGCTCATTGACAATGCATGTGGTCATCCAAGGCCTCTGATAGAGAGGTACAACAAGATTAATGTTGTTTTTAGACCTGTTAGTACTACCTTCTGCAGCCCATGGATCAAGGAGTAATTTTGGCTTTCAAGTCTTATTATTTAAGAAATATATTTTGTAAGACTATCGCTGCAGTAGATAGTGATTCATCTGATGAATCTGGACAGAGTAAATTGAAAACCTCCTGGAAGGATTCACCATTCTTGATGCCATTAAGAACATTCATGACTCGTGGGAAGAGGTCAAACGTCAACATTAACACAAGTTTGGAAGAAGTTGACGCCAACTCTCATGGTGACTTTGAGGTATTCAGGACATCAGTGGAGTAAATAACTGCAGATGTGATGGAAATAGCTACAACACTAGAATTAGAAGTGGAGCGTGAAGATACGACTGAATTGCTACAACCTCACGATAAAACTTTAATGGATGAGGATTTGCTTCTTATGGATGAGCAAAGTAGGGTTTCTTGAGATGGATTCTTCTCCCACTGAACATGCTGGAAGATTATTGAAATGACAACAAAGAATTTAGAATATTACATAAACTTAATTGATAAAGCAGTAGCAGGTTTTTGAGAAGATTGACACCAATTTTGAAAGAAATTCTGTGGATGAAATGCTATCAGATAGCATTGCATGCCACAAAGAAATTGGTCATGAAAAAGAGAATCAATTAATATGGCAAACTTCATTTTATCTAATTTTAAGAAAATTCCATAGCTTCCTAAACCTTCTGCAACCACAACCCTTATCAGTCAGCAGCCATTAACATTGAGGTAAGACCTTCTAATAGCAAAAAAAAAATTGTGACTCGCTGAAGGCTTAGATGATGGTTAACACTTCTTAGCAATTCAGTATTTTTTAAATCAAGTTATGTACATTGGGTTTTTTTAGACTTAATGCTTACACTTAATAAACTATTATATAGTGTCAACATAATTTTTATATGTACTAGGAAACCAAAAAATTTGTGTGACTCACTTTATTTTGATAGTCGCTTTATTGCGATTGTCTGGAATCGAATCCACAATAGCTACAAGAAAAGCCTGTATCGTCTTTTCAGTGCAGTCAAAGAAAACCTGATGAAAACAAAATTGTTAATTTTTGTGGAATTAAATTATCCCCTTGAGCTAATTAAACATATCATTGTAAAACTCATAGGTCTTTTTTATTTTTATTTTTGCAAAATGGTTTTTGTATTAGAGTTCTCTAGAGAAATAAAACAAAGATGATGTGTGTGTTTGTGTGTATACTTGGCCTGTGTGCATTAGACTGACACTGAGGTCTAGGAGGGGTCAAATGTGATCACCACGGTGGGCTACAACAGCTGCTTACTACTAAGTGAGTCAGGGTAGAGATAGACTCAGTTTCATTCTAGTGGGTCTGCCCCAAAAGGCAGTTGGGCATTTGTAGATGGTATGCAGCATATATAAGGTGTGTGTGTGAGTGTAAAATATCTAGGAAAATATTTGACCAAATATCTATATACTGTGATCCAACCAAATTGACATAAAATTAACCATCACAACTTTCAGGACAGGTCCTATGCTGGTGATTTTAGGCTAAATTCTCAACACACGAGGTTTTTACTTACTGTGTTGAGTAAGTTTGATAAGTGAACTAAAGCATGATACTAAACCACTTAAGCCTCAACTTATTATAAAGTCAGGATTATATTCATTACACCTAATACTTGTGAGGTTCAAATAAAATAATTCATGTAAAACACATTGTGAACTATTTTTCATCATACAAAGGAATTATTTTTTATTCTATATTTAAAGATTTAGCTGTTTACTAACCAAAAAAAGACAAAGTAGATGAATATTTAACCAAGTAAGTTTATTTTAAAATTACTAGTTTATTGGTAAGTTGTAATACAAATAGTTCATTATTCATAGCTTCATTGATATTGTATTTAACCTTGTTCTGTATTTCACAAGGTACTAAAACTCATGTGCTCATTTAAAACTGAATATTCAGCCGAAACCGGTTTGGCTCAGTGGATAGAGCGTCGGCCTGCGGACTGAAAGGTCCCAGGTTCGATTCCGGTCAAGGGCATGTACCTGGGTTGCGGGCACATCCCCAGTAGGAGATGTGCAGGAGGCAGCTGATCGATGTTTCTCTCTCATCGATGTTTCTAACTCTCTATCTCTCTCCCTTCCTCTCTGTAAAAAATCAATAAAATATATTTTTAAAAAAATAAAAATAAAACTAAAACTGAATATTCAGTTAGTAGAAATATCTCATGTGTAAAAATTGGTTTTGTAGAGGATTGAAATGAAACAATTATTTTTATTGTATGTGAATTTTTTACTACATGAAGTAGTAATATTAAAATAAGCAAATCTTATTTTTTTAACAGTTCATTCTTAGTCAAGAAGATATAACAACTATCTTTAAAACATTATATGGTAATATATGGTATGAAGGAGGTGGCAGTGTCCCACCAGCAGGAGTGAAAGATCAGAGTAGTGTTACTGGTGGAGGCACTAACACTTCACATCATTCAGGAGGTATGTTCTTGACCTTAAACTCTTTCTCTTCCCTCCCCACCCCACCCTCTTTCTTCTTTCCTTCCATTCTCTATTTCTAGTTTTGGAGTAAAATAAGATTAATAAATATTTTTGAATTATTTAATCCCATTCAGGTATCTCTAAATTGTTTATTATTAGTTGTTCTGTTGATTTTTCCCATTGATTCAAAATTCTCAGTCCTATTACAAAATTCCTTCATATTTATGCTTATCTATCCCAACATGGATCCCCTTTTTCAGTTTTTTTCTCCTTCCTTCCTCTTCTCCCTTATTCCTATTGCAGCATTTATCCCAGATGAGATATTTTATATTGATAATAGCCATATCAAAGTATTAGAGGTGTCAAGAGAGGATGAGCATGAATAAATTTTGGATTTCAACAAATATTTAAAGGGTAGATGGAATATTTAAAGAGACAGAACAGAGGGAATCATCACGGAGAAAGGCTGTTTATCCAATGTTGGCTATAATGTGCTATGTGGAACCTTACGGGTTCTAAGTTTAGCATCAGTACAGACAGAAAATAGGGTCACTTAGGGGTGCTGGGATGAATTTGCTTCACAAGAACAAAGTTCTCATTCTGGCATTTTGGGAGATCCCCAAACCTACCTATATTAAAGAGCAACTTACTAGCTCACAAAATCCACCCTTGCAAAGCCCTGAGATTTTTACACAGCTTTGTCAGTCAAGGAGAATCCTAACATACAAACAACCATACATTTATAACATTGTAGGAAACCCCATCTTCGCTTGTTAGAATAACCAACCTAGTCCTTTACTGTTAAATATTATTGGACAGATATGAAGAAAATCACAAGAACCTGAGCATGAAAGAAACCAACATAAACAGAATAGGTAACTGGAATTAGATATATCATCAATAAAACTGAATGGGATGGAATGGATAGATGATAAAAGACTATGGAGCCATATAGTCAAATTTCTAAGAAAATTATTTTGAAGTTAGGCTTCTATATAAGGCCAAACCATCATCCAAATGTGAAAACACAATAATTCGCAGATGTTTAGTCCCACAAAGTTTACTTCTTTCATACTCGTTCCTGAATAAATTAGTTTTAAAATATATCCTAGCAAAACAAGGAATTCAGGAAAGAGGAAGACATAGGATACAAAAACAAAGGGCCTAACCAGGAGTACATGGAAAAGGAATTCCAAAATATTTTGTTACTGGGATGTGTAGTAAAAAGTACTTCATTTTCATTAAAGAGAAATTCAGAATATCTTAAGAAAAAAAGTGGAAGAATGTCTTCAAGAAGAAAAGTAGCATAAATTCCATAATATATATAGAATGAGGGATTAATTTCAGTAATTTCCCCATTAACCATGGGAATACTTTTCAAGACCCCCAGTGGATGTCTGGAACTTAGTACCTAATGCTATGTGTATTATGATTTTCCCTGTATATATATACCTGTGATAAAATTTAACTTATATATTAGCCACAATAAATGATTAACAACAACTAATAAAGTATAGAACAATTGTAACAACATACTGTAAAAAACAGTTATGTGCATGGCTTTGAGGCCATTATTAAGTAAAATAAAGGTTACTTGAACACAAGTCTGTGATACCACAACAGTCCATCTGATAACTGACAGGACTATTAATTGACTAACAGGCAGGTAGTATATACATAGTGGATATGCTGGACAAAGGCATGATTTCACATCCTGGGCAGGATGGAGGGGTCAGCATACAATTTTATTATGCTGCTTAAATGGTGCACAATTTAAAACTTATGAATTATTTCTGACATTTTTCATTTAACACTTTCAGACCTTGGTTGACCATGGGAAACATACCACAGAAAGCGTAGCCGTGGATAAGGGGGACTACTATAAGTACCTTCCATAAGTGATACGGAGAGGAAGACATGCTTTCTGTTCCTAGGAAGGGAGAAATTGCTACAGTCAGGTGCAGAAGTGGAGGAGATTTTGCATGATTTTGAAAAATTGTTAGCATGTGAGAAGAGATTTTCTTTTGAGAGATGTACTAGTTGTAATGTAGCAGCAGAGGAACTATTATAATAAACGATTAGTCTCTTCATTGAAAATTATTACATAGCTATAGTTAAATCAGACATGGAAGACTTAATCTGTAAATAAGAATTTAAATGTTATTAGCTATGTTAACCTAGTAGTAACCATTGTTAACTGAGCAAAGCTGGAAAGAGGAAGATGGGACCAATAAAGGAAATACATGGTAAGGACTTAAAATATAGGCAGTGCAAAGGTAATGTCTAAAATGTGCAGGATGAAAAATAGACATTTAAATATATTATTTTAATCATTCATCTCTAGAAATTTTTACCCATTACCCAATTTCAACAATTAGTATAATATGGCTGCTTTTATTGCTACTATAACTCTTCTCCTCTTCTATACCCATTTGATTAATAATTCTGTTAAATCTATTTTAAGGCTGTTTTAATGAGTTCTAGCTTTCCTGATTTTTTTTCTTTTATCTAATAACTTTAATTTTTCCAAGGAACAACTGTAGTGACAGCTGCTGTGGTAGAAGTACATTCATGTGCCGCTCAAGTTAAGACAACACTAAATATGAGTTTCAAAACTGATTATCTCACCATGATACTGTATAGTCCAGGTCCTGAACAGGTAAGTTGAGGGGAAAAATATGTTTTTTACTTGATGAAAATTATATAGTGAATATTTATTAAAATGCCAATTATTAATATTTTATGTACATTTTGGAGTATCTGTTCCTGTGAGAAAACTTATTGATCTCTTCATTTTAATAATAAAATAATTTTAACCATTTCCCTTTTAAAATGAGTTATCTTTGCTATAGTTAGTGATGTGAAAACTAAAAATTTGAATTAAAGTCAATATATTTTTTGGCCTTTCTTAGTGAGCCCTTTGGAGATAGAGAATGTGGTAGTATATAATTAAAAAATGTGTCATATTTATGTGTTTGTGTAAAATTTATATTGATTTTCTCTTCTGCAGGTTTCCTTTACAGATGTTCGTGATCCTTCTCTGACACTTGCTGAATTTAAATTGGAGAATATAATAAGTACTTTAAAAATGTATACAGATGACTCAATATTTTCTGCCTTCTCATTAAAAAATTGTATTTTAGATGATAAAAGGCCTCATGTCAAGAAGGCAACTCCTAGGTAATAGTGTTCTGCGTTTTTACTTGAAATATGGTTGATATATTTTATAAAACTTATTCCCAAAGTTGCACATTCATTTTTTGGGCACATCCTTAATATCATCAGAGCTTTCAATTCAGTGAAGTCATGGTTCCCAGTCAATGTTTTAAATGTCCGGGTGGCTTGGTTGGTTGAAGCATCATCTCATACATCAAAAGGTGGCAGATTCCATTCCCTGTCAGGGCTCATACGCAGGTTGCAGGTTTGATCCCAGGTTGGGGTGCATCTGAGAAGCAACGGATTGATGTTTCTCATATCGATGTTTTTCTCTCTCCCTCCCACCTTCCCTCCTTTCTTCTCTCTCCAAAAATAATTAATTAAAGACATAATATGTCTTGTTTCAGTTATGTGCTCTTACTGGATGGTTGATAGATTAATTAAATAAAAATAATCAGTGTAATTTTTTGTGTTTTTTTCCAAATTAATTTATATTATCAAAATTATTATCAATTCAAAATTTAATGGGAAATATATGAAAAATCAGCTGAGATTCCAAATTCTGATAATTTCTTAAAGACACACTAACTAATTTATAAAACAGTTATGTTCCAGAAGTTTGTAAATCTATTATTATTTGGAGTACTTTGAGATCTTTCTACGATAACTGACTTTAGATGCTGGTTGGCTGTCAGTGAAAGGGATAAGAAGTCTCTGGGTTTTATTGGTGTGTTTGGTTATTTGTAAGCTATTCACAGGAATATTGTGTTTTTCAGAATGATAGGACTGACAGTTGGATTTGACAAAAAAGATATGATGGATGTAAAGTATAAGAAAATCAGAGATGGTTGGATGTCTGATGTAGTCCTTCAAGAAACATATATTTGTGCAAGTGTAGAATTTCTTCTGACAGTTGCAAATGTATTTCTTGAAGCCTACACCGCAGGCACTGCTGTAGAAACCAATGTTCAAGCATGGGCTGCTAAGGAAGAAGGTTAGTTATTAACTAAAATATTTAATATCTATGTTAATCAAGTGTTTACAATAGCACTTACCTTGATTAGCTTTGTAGATCAGCAATTTTCAACCTGCGTGCCACAAGAATTTTTAAAACATGAAATACCTGACTATTTAATCAGGGGCACTGACCTCTTTTCTCTTAAATTATCAAGTAAAAAAATGACAACAGCCAACATATCAGTCTCCGTTTGATACGAATGAATCAAATTTATTTCCTTTTTTTTGTCAGATTGGCAAAAAATATTTGATATGCTGCAGAATTCTAGTTTCTAGTTTATGAGATGAAAAAGGTTGAAAATAGCAGTTCTAATCGACGAGGTTAAATGAATTAATAAATTAAAATTTTATTTTTAAGAGGAAAATGTGCTTTCTGCTGGGATGTGTAGTTTCCATATTTTTCAAGGAGTAAGTATATATTGGGTTCAAAAATTAATGAGACCTGTATTAGAATAAGTACTTGTACTTAACTTCCGACAATCATTTGAAAGAATTTGTTGGAAGAAAACCTGCAGGGAGAAATAATGAACCAACCACTTATTTTCATTATTAAAGATAGTATTTCAACTTAAAACATTCTTACTTTTTGTTTTATTTATAGTTTTCTACTGTCTTTTAGATTTTTATTTGTGGTGCAGTGGAAAGAGTATCATGTTGAGAGTTAGAAACTGGGTTAGTTTTCAGCTCTGCCATGGTGGAGATTTTCCCCCACATTTTTAAATGTACTTAAGACTCTCTTCTTCAAATCTTACATTATAGATTTCTTTGGGATCTAAGATGCCTTTAGTTTTTACTTAGAATGAAAATAACATTTTCCCATAAATAATACATTTTTCATAAAATGTGTAGCAAAGATTTATAAATATTTTAAATTATTTTTATTTCTATTTTAGTACCTGCACAGATACAAGAAAAGTGGGAAGTGAATATTCTTATTAAAAATCCTGAAATTGTGTTTGTGGCTGATATGACAAGAAATGATGCTCCTGCCTTAGTCATTACAACACAATGTGAAATTTGTTGCAAGGGTGACCTTGAAAACAATACAATGACTGCTGCTATTAAAGATCTCCAAATGAGAGCATGCCCATTTCTTCCTGACAAGAGAAAAGACAGAATCACTACTGTGAGTTTACTATTTAGTTATCTGTTTTGTATTTTGTATATACCACTTTAGGAACCTACCTACAGACTTTCTAATCTTTCTTTATAAAGTACTTTTTTTTTGTTTTTTTTGGAGAGCCTAATCTAGATTATTATTTTACCACTTTGAAACTCTTTTTCATTCTTCCAGTTGTTCCTCATTTTTTTATGTATTTGTGGGCATAGTCTCACTAAGAAACTGCCTTCATCTTCACTTTTTTTGAGACCTTCCTCGCACATACTATTCTTGTCAGTTCCACACTGCTCTTTTGCCTTGAAAACTATCTACCACTTGTTTGAGATGTTGTTGCAATTTTGCCATTTTTTCATATTTTTCTCCCATCTGGACCCTTTTCCTTTGATGTATGTGTTTGCTTTTCTCCATGCAATGTATTTGAACGTTAGCCATTTGCTTTGAAATACTTCCCATTTGTATATTACTCTAGCAACTTCATGACTTTCCTCCTCTTCATAACTGATTAAAATTTATTTCTTCAGAGACATCTTTTCAAGTTAACTATCTGATTCCTAGTACTCTTATAAAACACTTATAAAAATGTTTAGTCTTTTATAGGAATAATAGAAGCATAAATGTTCTAAAAATTATCAACATAGAAATGTAAGCTGTAATTCTCTAGTTTGCAAGGCTGATGGCTCATCACTAAGAAAAGAGAGGATATAGAAAACTGAGGGCATACTGATTCCCTTTTAGGTGAATACTTAGACATTTTATATATTTCTTCTACTCACATCATTTGGCATGAATGTAGCTAGGTGATCATACTTATCTGCAAAAACAGCTGGAGAATGTGTTCTTCTTCTCCTTCCTCCTCCTTCTTCTTCTTCTTCTTCTTTTTTTTTTTTTTTTTTCCCCTCCTCCTCCTCCTCCTCCTAAATCTTGTATTAATTACTGCTCCTCCCTCCTCCTCCTCCTCCCTCCTCCCTCCTCCCTCCTCCCTCCTCCCTCCTCCCTCCTCCCTCCTCCCTCCTCCTCCGTTATTTTGTGCCCAGATAAATCTTGTATTAATTACTGTGGGGAAAAAAAAGAACAGATATCAAGACAACCAGAGGTTCTTCCCACAGTTCACTAAATGTTTTATTCCTTTGTCCATATTGATAATCCATGCTTGTCTTTTCTCACCTCCACCTCAAGGGTTACAGTCTCAGCTCAAAATCCAGGATCTTTAGATGATAATTTTCTTTGTTGAGTCTGTATGTGATTTCTCTGGAGAAGTGTAAATAGGGTAGGCTTGTCAGGTGAAGTGACTTTTATGCCAGTGCCTGAAAGATGAGTAGGTATTAGCCAGCAGAACTGAAACAGGAGGCATGGGAATGTGTTTCAGGATGAAGATATAACATGTGCAGAGAACCTGGGTTCCAGAGAGCACAAGTTCCCACCCCATATCTACTCACCTGCCAACATCTACACTTATATACTCTGACTTTTTCTCGTTATTCTGTGGTTCTCAACTTGGGGCAGTCTTCCCACCACCAAGATAGTGTTTGTAAAGTAGGGAATGTATAGTGTGCTCTTATAGGCTTCTATAGATGTTGGATAGCCCAAGATTGCTTCTTTGAAGGGGAAGCAATAGCAGCAGGGAAATAATGCATTAATAGTGAAAATCATAATACAGGAGCTGTATGGTGAGAATTAGAGTAGAAAGGAAAAAAAATAAAAGTAACACTAAAATTACAATGGATGTAGTTGGAGACAATAAAATAATACTAGTAGGGAAATAATTCCATTTTAAGATAATGTTTCTACATCTTCAATTGATCTGAATAGACTGTATTGTATACAACTTGACTGTAGTGTAGTTTTGTCACTAACATGTTGGATCAGCTGCATTTAAAAAAATACATTTTTATTGACTTCAGAGAGATGAAGAGAAAGGGAGAGACAGAAACATCAGTGATGAGAGAGAATCATCAGTTGGTTGCCTCCTGCACACCCCCTACTGGGGATCAATCCTGCAGCCCGGGCATGGAATCGAACCGTGACCTCCTGGTTCATAGGTTGATGCTCAACCAAAGAGCCACATCGGCCAGACCACCAGCTGCATTTTTAATCCTAGGGAACTTAATTAGACTTGAAAATAAAGGAGTTGGATAAGGAACAAAACAAACGTTCATACTTATTTTGGGAAGGGAGTTAGAAACTTTTTTATGTATTTATAATAGTACTTTTTGGTTTTGTTTTTTGCCTTCCCTAAGATGAAGATATAACACAAATTTTATGTTGGAAGTTGTGGATTATGTATTGTAATATGGTTATAATTTCCTATCCCTGAAGTTTCAAGAAATAATATATTGAATATGTAAGTCATGTACTAGTTGCTCTTGTTGATTTATTAGAACAATAGTGAATTTTAATGTGTTTTTTTGGAGAATGAATTTGGTTATCATATTTGTTCTGATTTATTTTTCACTTTTAATATAAGCAGAATTCTAAAATGGCCCTGAAGATTTCTACCTCCTGTTGCATGTGCCCAGTGTAGTCTGCTCCCTTTGAGTGTAGATAGGATCAGTGAATATAATTAGGTTACTAATCAGTTAATTGGGTTATCTAAAGAGAGATTCTGGATGGGCCTAACCTAATTTTTAAAATCCTGGCATTGAAGAAGTAAGCTGCCATACTGTGTGGAAAGCTGCATGGCAAGAACCTATGAGCAACTTACTAGTAGGTGTCAAAAGCAGTCTCTGGCTGATAGCACAAGCCAATGGAGATCTCAGTTTTAGGGCCACAAAGAAATGAATTCTACTGACAGCCTGAATGAGCCTGGGAGCAGATCTTTTTCAGTCAAGCCTCAAGATAAAGATGCAACCGGCTGATAACTGATTTCAGCAAGATTCCTGACCCATGAAAATGAGGAAAAATAAATTAGTATTGTTTTAAGCCACTAAGTTTATGGTACTTTGTTACTCAGTAATAGAAGAATACAGATTTTTTAAAAAATATATATATTTTATTGATTTTTTACAGAGAGGAAGGGAGAGGGATAGAGAGTTAGAAACACCGATGAGAGAGAAACATCAATCAGCTGCCTCCCGCACACTCCCCACTGGGGATGTGCCCGCAACCAAGGTACATGCCCTTGACCGGAATCGAACCTGGAACCTTTCAGTCTGCAGGCCGACACTCTATATCCACTGAGCCAAACCAGTTAGGGAAAGAATACAGATTTTTTTTTTTTTTTACCAGAAATAAGATGTAGCAATTATTTAAAATGAGGGAGCATCTTTGGAACTGGGTAGTATGCAGAATCTGGAGGAATTTTGAATAGAATGATAGAGAAAGCCTAACTTGTGTTGATCAGACTTTTGGTAGAAACATGGTCTTTGAGGACACTGCTAACGAGGACTCAGAAAGAAGGTAAAAGACATATTATTGGAAACTATAGGGATGGCTTTATATGTAGTCCCAGAAAGCTTTGAAAAATGGTATCTTGAACCCCCAACATTCTACTGGCAGGAAGCAGGAGGATAAAAAAGCAACTACTCAGCTGTGTATTTCTGCTACCTTTTATAAAGAAGGAAGAATGACTCAGGGTGGAGCTGAGAGCCACAGATAATTGTTATTAGGCTTTGAAACCTAATCAAGAAACATATTTACTTGGCTGGATTTCAGAACTGCTTTGGACAAGTGACTCCTTTTTACCTTCCATTTTTCCAACTTGATTGGGAATGTCTGTAATTGTTATCCTATGTCTGTCCCACCATTCTGTGTTAGGAATGGTGGGGGCAGATAACTCATCTTAGTTTCACAATTCCATAAAGGGAGAGAAATTGTGCCCTAGCAGCTACACTTAATAGATTATACCCAGGAATTTCATCAGGACCTGGAGCTGATTTAGTTTTAGACTTTGAGCTGGTAAGAAATAGATGAGATTTTGGATTTTTTAATCAATGAGAGCTATAGATGAGATAGAGGTATGATGAGATACAGACTTAGAAAATGTGATTTTGGACTTTGAGCTATAATGGAATGAGACTGTTAGGAACCTTAGGAGGAGGTGGATATATTTTGTGTTTGAAAGGAATATGGTGACTGGGTGCTAGAGGGTAGAATCCTGCTTACCACAGTTAAGAAAAACTCAGCTAATTTATAATTGCATTAAGAATTATTAATAAATCTAATGTATTTATAATTTTTACATCTCATCTTTTATAGCTTTTTCTGTATAGATTAATTTATTTCATTGTAATTTTATAATGGAAAAGATGCCATGATAAAATTTTTGTTCTAGTAAGTAAAATGAAATATATAATACACATTTTATATATTTCTATAGTTAAGAATATTCAAGAAGTCCTACATATTGTTTTATTAATACTGCTCATATTAATACTTGATATTATAATGAGTAAGTAAAGAGAAGTAAGAAGTGTGTTATTGAGTCACTTATTTTTCAACAGTTTTGAATAACTTGTCTATTTAATATAGTTAGCTATTACTAGGAAAGCCTTTAAATAAAACTATTTTAAGAACAATGGTAATTTAGTGTTACTGATTTTTCTGATAGGTTTTGCAGCCCTGTGACGTGTTCTATCAAGCTACTCAGACAGGCAGAGATCCACAAGTGATTGATATATCACTAAAATCACTGACACTAAAGGTAAGTTAAAATGTCAGTCATTTAGATCTTTAGTGAACTTTTAAAAAAATTAATAAACTAGAAATAAACAGTTATTACAGCAATTCTTTTAATTGTTAAGTAAGCAAAAAAGAAGCTATGTTTTAAAAATCTCTATATATAAAAGCCTAATATGCTAATTGTTCCTCCGACTATTCGACCACTCGCTTTGACGTGCACTGACCACCAGGGGGCAGATGTTTAGACCGGTAGGTTAGCTTGCTGCTGGGGTCCAGCCAATCGGGACTGGGCGAGACTGGCCGGTCATGCCCTGGAGCCCTCCTACGGTCCCTCCCCAGCTGGCTGGCCCTGATAGGCCCTGATCAGGACTGGGCAAGATGGGCCGGACATGCCCTGGAGACCTCCCACAGTCCCTCTCTGGCCCCAATTGTGCACCACTGGTGTCCCTTGGCCTGGACTGCACCCTCTCGTAATCCAGGACCCCTTGGGGGATGACAGAGAGCCCGTTTCAGCCCAATCTCCACAGGCCAGGCCGAGGGACCCCACCTGTGCAGGGAATTATATTTGCGGTTTCATGGTAATAATATTATTATTTCAACATTAATTATGATTCTTCAGCAAATATATTTAAATGTCCTTGAAGTATGTATTTTTAAAAGCTGCATAAGTAGATTTTTTATTAGTTTAAATTTTTTTCCTTAGGTTTCACCAGTTATCATAAATACTGTGATTACCGTAACTGCAGCACTTTATACAACTAAGGAAACCATCCCACAAGAAACTGCTTCTTCTACAGCACATTTATGGGAAAAGAAGGATACAAAGACTTTAAAAATGTGGTTTCTTGAAGAACCAAATGAAGTGAAAAACATAGCTCCCACAACTGAATTGGTACCCAAAGGAGAGATAATAAAAATGAACATTGATTCTATTTTTATAGTTCTTGAGGCTGGGGTTGGTCATAGAACAGTGCCTATGCTTTTGGCAAAATCATGTTTTTCAGGGGAAGGCAAAAACTGGAGTTCCCTCATAAATCTCCACTGTCAGCTTGAGCTAGAAGTAAGTAAATATAGTATTTTTTCTAGATTTTATAACAAATAATGATACATATGGAATATTTTTAGAATCTTTAAATATTTAAGCATATTGTAAATATGATGTTGGCTCAGAAACCTTTTGGAAGAAAGGTTTATGCCTTTGATAAAGTTTTATGTCTACAGTAAGTCCTCATTTAGTGTCATTGATAGGTTTTGCCATTTTAAGCAAAAGGACATAAAACCAGTTTTACTGTAGCTAATCGATATGATTGATATGAAAAAGAGTTAAAATCCTACAACATCTCATCAGTGTTGTAACAAAACATGTTGAACAAAATGTTATTTGAGGCCCTATTGTACTTTAACTTTAGACCACATGTCCACACTAAGTTTATATTTCAGTTGATTTGATCAATTTAAACACGATACATTAATAGATTGTTGTTGATTAGATTCAAAATTCTTGTTTTTAGGAATTTAATGGAATACCTTTCTTCCTTTAAAAGAAAAATAAACTATTTCTGAATCTCTTCTAAAAGCGTAATATAAAGAATTAGGTGATGTCTTATACTTTTATATAATGCATAATCTTTACACTGTAGTGAGAATCCACTAAGATCTTTAAATTTTTTGTATTTTATATAAAAAAATTGCTTTGAACCAATGTACATTTTGCTTCAGAATTTATCTATATAGAATCATCCCCAAAGCTAATTTGGTTTAAATTATTAATCGAGTTTGTCTAGTGGAAACTAATCTGATAATCTACCCTTATCAAAAAAATATGGAGATTTATAAGCTGCTATATTATTTGTATTAATACAGTTATATATTAATAGAGGTAGATATGACTGACTAGATTATAGCTGTTCAAATTTTGGCTAGAGTTTTGTATACTTTCCAGAGGATTTAATCTAGGATGTCCAGAAGGTTCAAAGAATTCAAATAAATAAACACTCATTGAATCTTGTGTTACTTGTTTTCGAAAAATCAGTGGAGGCAGACAGACATGTTAAAAAATTTCAATAATATATAATAGAGGAACACAGTCTTTTATGTTTAGCCTGGCCTGGAAGTTAAGGAAACATGATTAAAAGAGAGTTTTATCAGGTAAATTATGGAAGCTAAATTATTATGTAAAACAGGTGAGGAAAGTGCTGAGGGAGTGAATGTAGGAAACTAATGAGTGGCATGGTTTTTATATAGGAGAAATAGCACAGCCAAAAGGAATGGTAGTACTAAACAATATGGAAGATCATTTTAGCAAATTCCAGAATGCCTTATTAAAAAAATTACAAATTCTCATTATAGGTGCATTATTACAATGAAATGTTTGGTGTATGGGAACCTTTGCTCGAACCTTTAGAAATTGACCAGACTGAGGAATTTAGACCATGGAATCTTGGAATCAAGGTATATTTGAAGTCAAAAAATTATTTTAAAATTGAGGGTATCTACACCATACCAAACATACCAATTTCAATCTCAACAAAGTTCAACATTTTTCATTATTAGCCTTGCTGTATGCTTCCCTGTTTGACCTGTGCATGTAATTTTCAAACCCAAGGCCAGTGCCCTCCTGTGCTTTTTCAAATACAAATAATTATGTAATATTTATTATGTACTAGACATCTAAGTGATGTACTTTTGCTTTCACTCTTACAACAAGTGTCTGAAGACTGTACAATTTCTAACTTCATTGTAACATGTGAAAGGACTGAGACTAGAAAGGGCTTCACTAAAGTAATGCCTTTAAAGTGGGGTGCGAATCTGGCTGCAGAGGCCCTACTCATATTAAAATGCTGCTAACCTCTTGTAGGTTGCTGTTTAACTCGTGTTTCCTTTGTCTCTGAAGGATATGTATATGGAAGAAAACATATTATTTGTTTGAAATATGTTTAAAATAATTGAGTTTACGTAATCATAAGAATCAGGACCTTTAGATGGATGAAATTGTGCTTCTGAAGCAGGAGACTATGAAATAACTGGCACGTTTCCTCCCTAATGACAATTCAGTCAACCTGCAGACAGATTTTCAGTGGTTTAAAGTCAATTAAAGTAACAACAAAGGTGACCAGCTTGGCATGTCCAGCTTTTGGTATTGGATCACTGCATTTGATTTTCCACATATTTCAGACAAAGGATTTACTAGTAGATAAAAGAACATATTTGGTGATTTTAGGTTGGAATATACATGGGCCCTGGATCTGTGAATCCTAAAAAGAGGTAGATGTTATTGTTTCTCATGAGTTCTGGGTTCTAGTGGCACTGTTCTGCAACTATTGTTGGACTTTTTAAGTCCCTGATTTTCTGTTCTTTCTTTATAGCATGACCAATAGACTAAATAACTTTTCTCACTCTAAATTTTCATTTGCTATGAAGTATGTGCCTTTCATTTTCATTCTGATGCCACATGCATTTAGTAATTTTGATTTGTTCTTTTCCCTCTTCTAAAATGTGCTTGTCATTTTAGTATCACTGAGGATGAGAAGAATTCTTCCCCTAATACTGCTCTTGTGCTAGGTGACCTTATTTGGTTGATTTCCAAGTAATTCCAATAAGACAGTGGAACTGATAAACATTTTTGCTCTCTCTAATGTTACTGGGATTTATCTAAAGTTTGTTTTTCCTTTGCAAAATGAGTTATGTTGTGCTTCCAGGAACAAATTTTCCTTATTACATTTCTGTAATTTACATGTCATTTTAGATGAAAAAGAAAGCAAAAAAGGCTATTGTTGAGGCAGATACTGAAGAAGATTACAGAGTGCCAGAATATAAAACTGTCATCAGTTTCTATTCAAAAGACCAACTAAACATTACATTATCCAAATGTGGTCTTGTAATGTTAAATAATTTAGTCAAGGTAAGAAAAGACATTTGAAACTTTAAATGTGGCTGTACTACTCTGAGTTAAACCCTTCTCTTTTCTTGAATAAAAGTTTTTTATTAACTTAGTTATTTGTCATATGTTCATTAGTGTTGTGCTTGTCATTTGGTTTTCCACATTTCATTTTATTTTACTTACGATAACTCTACCTTATTAGGCATTTACAGAAGCTGCCACTGGATCTTCAACTGTCTTCATGAGGGATCTAGCGCCATTTATGATTTTAAATTCTCTTGGACTTACCATCTCTGTTTCACCAAGTGATTCTTTTAGTGTGCTCAACGTTCCAGTGGCAAAGTCATATATATTGAAAAATGAGGAAAGTTTAAGTATGGATTATGTCCGAACAAAAGACAATGATCATTTCAATGCAATGACCAGCCTAAGCAGCAAACTTTTCTTCATTCTTCTTAGTAAGTGATAAATTACCTTCCTAGGGCTTTCATTTCTTTTAAGTTATATTTTATATTCCATTTTACTCATTTCTGATATCTTACACGTTTTTTATCTCCTTCCTAATAGGTTGGAAAATTTGTTTCTTTGTTTGTAGGACTTTCATTGCTATTGTCACTATATTTTTGTATTCCAAATTCTTTCTTTATTCACTGCTTTCTTTAGAGCATGGTAATTTACTGCTTTATATTTTGGGGAAGAAAAATATCAGATCTCATTCTTAGTGCTGCTGAATGAATTCAAAATGAGGTTTGAATTTATGGAAATGACACATTTTAATGGTTATGGGTTTGTAAATGGTTTTTATGTTATGCTTATTGAAGTGGAATTTTTTTTTTTTTGGTCCTTTCTGATTCCCACAAGTTTTGCATTTTCATAGAAGTGAAAGCAAATAAATTCTTAAATTATCACTATAAGCCCTAACTGGTTTGGCTCAGTGGATAGAGCGTCGGCCTGCAGACTGAAGGGTTCCAGGTTCGATTCCGGTCAAGGGCATGTACCTTGGTTGCAGGCACATCCCCATTAGGGGGTGTGCAGGAGGCAGCTGATTGATGTTTCTCTCTCATTGATGTTTCTAACTCTCTATCCCTCTCCCTTCCTCTCTGTAAAAAATCAATAAAATATATTTTTTAAAAAATATTATCATTATATCTGATATACTCACAGTGAGTTAAATAGTCCCAAAGCCTCACCCATACCACTTTTTGATACTTTGACATTTAAATAGTGAAGGTGGAGCACATTTGAAAGGTTAATTAGACTTTGGGTAGGAGTACCAAAACTGATAACTAGTGCTCTTCTAGTCAAGAAATGATGCATAACAGTGGATAGGTTTCAGGTGTTGTCCAAGCATTGTCATTTAATTGTTCTTGTCAGTTTTACCTCTATTAGTTTTTTTTTTAAATATATTTTATTGATTTTTTACAGAGAAGAAGGGAGAGAGAGATAGAGAGTTAGAAACATCGATGAGAGAGAAACATCGATCAGCTGCCTCCTGCACATCTCCCACTGGGGATGTGCCCGCAGCCCAGGTACATGCCCTTGACCGGAATCGAACCTGGGACCTTTCAGTCCGCAGGCTGACGCTCTCTCCACTGAGCCAAACCGGTTTCGGCTCTATTAGTTTTTGAAGTAACATTTCATGTAATGATGTGGGGGGATTAATGTAAATAATGTAAAGAATTCATCCCTCAATACAGTATATGTATGTATATTAGATAATTTGTACAAAATTTTATTTAATCAAATCCTACATGTCACAAAGTGCCACATGCTGAGAAAATTAACAATGGAAAAATTGCAGCTACCTTGGTAATTGCCAAAGATTGCCTGAAGGTATTAGGCTCTGGTTATTATAATAGCAAATCCGAGATGCTTTCTTATATTTTATAAAAATTCTTCTCATTACTTATTTTGAAAAGGCTTATGAAACTTTTTTGTTCATAAGTGTTGTTGTCTTAGGTTAAACTACTGAATGAGATTTTTTTCAATCAAAACAATTTTTTTATAAAGTCTTTTGAAGGTTTTAAATAAATGTGATGGAAATGCATTGTGGTTTCTTACAGTATCTCTTTGTATACATTATGTCTATACAAAAAACTACTCTTTGTATAATCCCTTTGTATAATCTTAAATCCAAAGACTTGAGTGACTATTTATTCATAACCTTAAGAAATCATCTGATGTTTCTGATGCTTAACATCTATTTAAAATTAACATATGATGATTTACAATAAAACTTTTCAAACATATATTCCATTTAGCACCTGCTAACCACTCTACTGCTGATAAAATTCCCTTAACAAAAGTGGGACGACGACTGTACACTGTAAGGCACAGAGAATCTGGAGTTGAAAGATCTATTGTTTGTCAAATTGACACAGTGGAAGGAAATAAGAAAGTAACAGTTCGCTCCCCAGTGCAGGTACGAAATGATAGTTTTTGGGGGGTCATATGCATATTTGTGTGCCAATAAAAAACAAAAGTAAAATAAAGCAAATTGCTACCAAAACCATACAAATTATAGTAGCAGTGTAACTAATATCAAAAAGAAGAAACATTACCAGTAATTGTACTACTCTAATATGAGCAGTGATAGGAGTTTGTTCAATATACTTACAATTTTTGTATAAGACTATTTTGTAAAATCTTTTTATGGAGTATTTTGTAAAAAACTACAACTCATCAATATTTTGTTTGGGGTCTTTATAGTATGTATATATCCTTTTGTTTTAATTAGCAAATATGGTGAGAGAAAATTTATATCTATAATAATAAAAGCGTATGCTAATTAGACCGGACGACCTTCTGGATGAAGCCAGGCCTGCGAGGGACGCCTGGGTCCCAGGTGGCTGCCAGCGGCTGGAGGGAAGCCTGGGTCCCGGTTGCCAGAGGGAAGCCAATGCTGGCAGCCAGGGCAAGGCAGGCCTACTCTTGCATGAATTTTGTGCATAGGGCCTCTAGTAGATTTAATGAGGTAAAATTGATGTACAATAAGTTGCATACACTTAAAGTTGAGTTTTACACAAAAATACACCTATGAGATCTTTATCACAGTCAAAGTAATTAACATATTTATCTCACCAAAATGTTTCTTCTCTCTCTACTTCCCCGTTCCCAGGTGTCCACTGACATGTTCTCATTGTATTTTAGTTACACAATATAGAATTTATGTAACTGAAATGGAGTACAGAATGGAATCTTGCTTCTTTTACTAGGCATAATTTTGTATGTGTCAACTTTTATTAATGTTGTTATATGCAGTTGCATATTGTTGAGTAGTAATAGATATACCACATACCATTTTGTCTATGATAGGAGAAAAGAGTTGAAGTTCACTTTTTTCCAATATGTCTGGCTAATAAGTTCCATCCAAGGTTATTACTTTTCCATTAAATAGCTTTGACACTTTTGTCAAACATAAACTGACCGTATCTGTGTGGGTTTATTTCCGAATTCTCTATTTTGTTTTATTGCTCTGTTTATCTTCATGCTAATGCCACACTGTATTGATAATACTAGTACTTTACTCTGAATTTTGAAATCAGGTAGTACAAGTTGTGCCGCTTTGTTCTTTTCAGAGTTTGTTTGGGCTATTAGTCGTTTCCTTTTCCATTTTACTTTTAGACTCTGATTTTCAATTTTTATTCAAAATTTTGGATAAATACGAAATTTTTGCATATTAATTTGGTTCTTCATTGCTAGGGGAAGTACAGTTACTTTTTATATTAACTTGTGCAAACTTACTATTTGCACATTTTAGTTTTAGTGGCTTTTTAATATGTTTACTTATGGTGTCTTAAAGACATTTTTACTTTCTCTTTTCTAACCTAGATGCATATTATTTTATTTTTTTGCCTGTTGTGCTGGCTAGAACCTCCAGTTCAATTTGAATAGGAATCATGAAAGCAGACATTTTTGCTTTGTTCTCAATTTTAAGGGGAAAGTACCCACTGTTTTACCATTGAGTATGTTTTGAGGGATTTTGTTTTGTTTTGCCTTTTTTGTGTGTGTTGGTTGATTGGTTTGTTTTGTAGTTACCCTTTCTCAGGTTGAAAATGCTCCCTTCTAATTTGGTGAGAATTTTTTTCATGATTTTGTCAAATTATTTTCTGTATTTATTGAGAGGATCTTTTTAAAAATATTGTTAATATGGTAAGTTATGTTAGTTGAGTTTTAATTGTTATCCTATATAATAAAAGGCTAATATGCAAATCAACCGAAGGGCAGAACAACCAGTCACTGACTCGCACTGACCACCAGGGGGCAGATGCTTAATGCAGGATTTTTAAGTCAACCTTGCATTGCCAGTGTAAATCCCAGTTATTCATGAAGTATTATTAACCCTTTGATGCATTGTTAGTTTGATTTGCTAAAACCATGTTCATAGTTTTTGCATGTATGTTCATGAGGAATATTGGTGTAGAGTTTTCTTGTAACATTTTTCTTCTGTGAAGGTTTTTAAATATAGTTTCACTTTATTTTATGAGTAAGGGCCATTCAGAATATTTGTTACTTCTTAAGTGAACTCTTCTAGTAATTTTGTCTCTCTCATGAAATTTGTCCATGAATTGTTTCCATTTTTATTTCACTTTTATGTTTTAAGTTATTTTTACCAGGTATAGAAATACAGATTGTTAGGTTAATTTTTTTCATACTTTTAAGAAGTTATTCAATTGTTGACTGGATTACATTGTTTCTAACCAGAACTTGCTGTTATTTTTTTTTAAATTTTTATTTTATTGTTGACAGTATTACAGATGTCTCCCATTTTCTCCCTTTTTGCCCGCTTCCATCCATTCCATTTCCATGCAAGGCCTTCCCCTGCTATTGTCTGTGTCCATGGGTTATGCATATATGCATAAATATTCTTTGGTTAATCTCTTCCTGGCTCCTCCCCCTAACCCTGATATTTTTTATCTTTCCTGTTTTAGAAAAGTGTTGATATTTTCTCTATATACATTTAATATTTTTGCCCTTTATCACTGTTTTTAAGTAATTTGGTTGTGATGAATCTTAGTGAAGTTTACTTTCTGTTTCTTGTACTTGGATTTAAGTATTTTGAATGTATGGATATATACTTTTATCAATTTTAAAAAGCTTTTTTTGTCATTTTTTTCCTTCAAATACTTTTTCTCTCTTTCCCCTCTCTTCACTTCTTCACTGACCATTATTAGTGTTTAAATCTGCCCCACAGCTCACTAATGCTCTATTCTTCTTTATTTTTTTAGTTTTTTCCCTTGTGTTCATTTTGATAATTTCTATTGTTATGTCTTAAAGTTCAGTTTTCTTTTTCAATCTCCAATCTTTTCTCATTTACACCCAATGTATTTTTTAGCTCTAGAATTTCAATTTTCATTTTTATGTATATTTCTCATGTCCTTTACTCATACACTCAGTATTTCCCCTAACTTTGAACATATATATATATATATATATATATATATATATATATATAAAATGCTTAAGTGACCATTGCAACCGATCGGACAACCGAACAGGTTGCATGGGGCGACTAGGCCCGCAGGGGGGTTAGTGAGGGACTACCAAACGACTGAGCAGCAGGTTGCGTGGGGCAACCAGGCTGGCAGGGGGATTAGTGGGGGTGATCAAATGACCGAGCAGCAGGCTGCGTGGGGCGACCAGGCCGGCAGTGGGGGGCAGTGAGGGGCGACCAGGTCAGCAGGGGGGCAGTTAGGGGTGATCAGGTCGGCTGGCACAGGTGGTTAGGGGCGAACAGGCTGGCAGGGGGGCCAGTTAGGGGTGATCAGGCAGGCAGGTTAGCAGTTAGGAGCCAGCAGTCCTGGATTATGAGAAGGATATCCGACTGCTGGTTTAGGCCCGAACCTTAGGATCGGGCCTAAACCAGCAGTCGGACATCCCCCAAGGGGTCCCGGATTGGAGAGGGTGCAGGCTGGGCTGAGGGGACTCCTGCCCCTCCCCCCCATGCACAAATTTCATGCACCGGGCCTCTATTAGTTATATAAATGTTGTAATGTCGTTGTCTACTAATTCTATCGTGTATATTATATCTGATTTGTTTCCTTTTATTTATTTATTTTTTAAAATATATTTTTATTTATTTCAGGGAGGAAGGGAGAGGGAGGGAGAGAGAGAGAGATAGAAACATCAATGATGAGCGAGAATCATCCATCGGCTGCCTTCTGCAAACCCCACATTGGGGATTGAGCCTACAACCTGGGCATGTGTCCTAACCAAAAATCGAACCATGACCTCCTGGTTCATAGGTTGATGCTCAACCACTGAGCCACTCCAGCTGGACTATTTCCTTTTATTAATATTTGTTTCATTAACATTTATATGTATTAATTTTTATTGGATACCTAAAATTGTGATTTTTACCTTGCTTGAAATATAATTAATATTTCTTTTTGTATTCTTGAACTTTATTCTCCAATATAGTTATGTTACTTGGAAAGTGATCCTCTCAGTCCTTATTTTTAAACTTTTTAGGTGGGATTCAAGCAGCCTTTTAGTTCAGGGCTAATTTTGTACCATTAGTAAGTCACTGCAACTAATACCTTCTGTACTAAACAAGGTCATTTAAAGAAAAAAATGACAAAAAAAGCTTTTTAAAGTTGATAAAAAGTTTATATATCCATACATCCAAACAACTTTGGTTGGTGAGAAAAGAAACTATGTGTCAGCACCAGAAATTGTTCTGCCTTCCCTTTTTAGGTAGATCTTTACCAAGCCTTAGAATCCCGAGATTTAAGAGTGTGCCCTACTCTCAAGACTTCAGTTCAGTACTGATTAGCACATTCACAGGAGTAAACTGTCTAAGGCAGGAGGGGGGCACACCTGGCCCACGGGCCTTATAAGGCCTGCAAAATCATTTGGTCTGGGCCTGCCAAGGCATTAGGGGTGAGTTAATTAAATGTGTGACCAAATACAGCAGGCTAATTTTTAAGTTGATAATTTTGTATGGCCTGCGAATGATGTTATAAATATCCAAATGGCCCTTGGCTGAAACAAGGTTCCCTCCTATGCCTTAGATAGTTTACTTAGCTCTGTTTGACTTCTCCTTTCCTACACAGTAGCTTCAAAACTATCCAGGCAGCAAGCTGGAGCAGTTTTAGGGCTTTTCTTGCTGGATTTTGTTTCTATTTTTATTTTCTCTGCTGCTGTCTAACCAGTGTCTGAAAATCATTGTTTAGTTTTTAGGTTGAGAAGGTATATCTGGTCCCTATTATTCCATTATGGCTGAAAGCATAAATTCCTTTTCTTTCATTTATGATTTATAATTAACTTTTTTAAGATGACTGTGGGGCTGTCCTTGTTGATTTTTAAAATTTCATTAAGTAGTTAAACATTAATTTTAAGTTTTATATAGGTATTATTTTTAGAAATCAAAATGTAATTCTATTTGTGACTAGGTGGAGCAAACAATATATATAGAAATAAAATATAGTGAATTTAAGACTCCATTTAATCTTAGTTTTCAGTATGATTTTTTTAAATTAGAGGATATTAGTAAGATATAGAAGGATAAGAAATTATTCTTAATAACCAGTTTGTTTTTATCTATCCAAAGGTAAATATAACTGTTTGTAGGTTTATCTTCTATTTTTAGGATAATAATTACATGTTTACTTCTTTCCTTAATTATATAAGCAAGGTAAATATTGCTTTGATCTTTTGTTGGGGTGTTTATGTGGAATATATTTTAAATGTCTTTAGTTTATTAGATTAATGATACTAAATATTATTATTTTTCTTTTCTAGATTAGAAATCATTTCTCAATCCCACTTTCTGTTTATGAAGGGAATACTTTATTGGGAATGGCTTCACCTGGAAATGAATTTAACATACCATTAGCATCTTACCGGTGATTCTTTTTATCTACTTGTTTGCTCTACGTCTCTCATAGAGTTTTTAGTTTCTGATTTGGTAGGGATAGATATCTTTAAATTATCAAACTTTCATCAAATCTTTCCTGTTACTATCTGACCCTATATGACTTATATAAGTTTCAGGGCACTTAGTGTTTTTAAAAGAAATATTATTTAATGTATTTATTTTATACCATATAAATTATTTATGCTTTACCAGTAAATGAAATTATTACATGCTTGCAATATAGCCATTATAACCATAATCTTCTATAGGATGGACAAAAGTAGGTTTACAGTTTTGAGAATGCAAAATACAGAGTTCATTCTTACATTATTACTTATTAATTATTGTATTATTTTTCATATGAACAACTATAAACCTACTTTTGCCCCACTTTGTATATTCACAACTTTAAAAAAATATCTAATTGTGTATAATTGGTGGTTTCTGGATTTACATATACTGTTATGAAGTGATTTTTACTTTTTAAAGGTTTCTAATAAACTTTTTTTGGAATTCCTTTAGAAAACAAAATATTGCACATTTATCTGTTGATTATTTTAGAATTTTAATCAGTTTTAAATATTTAAAGTAACTTGACTAAACTTGATGTAAAATCTTATATTAAGAAAGGATATATTAAAATTGTAACAGAATACTAATGATGGGCTAGTTTCATAATTATAGGTTTAATATCATACCAAACAAGTATTATTGTTCAGGATATTTAATTTGGAATTGAAAATTTAAAGCAAGGAAATATGGAGATTTTGGAAAATAAATCCTTCCTCAGAATAAGCATCATGGTTGTCTAAGTTGCTATTCAGAACACATACTAGACATGGACACTTAGACCTATGCTACAGAAGGACGGAAACAAAATTGCAAGCAGTTTAAATATCCCCTCCCTCTCTTCATCCTGACCCATGCCTAGGAGTTCAAGACTGGATCACTAATGTTTAGAAGACAATCTAGCAGTTTTAGACACATATTTTCAGGTATTAGACCTGCTCACCCTAATAAACGTTCTATTGTTTAGACCTTCTGACCATAATGAGTATTATATTACTTAATTTGAACTTGCTGAGGGAAAAAACTTATATATTATTCAGAGAACAACAATAAAATAATTGTTTACAGTACCTGACATGTTCTAGAGAGGATTATAGGTGGATTACAAGACTTAAGATAACATGTAAGGTATGTTTAAAAATTTCTATGAAGAACCTTAAATTCATTTTGTTTTTGGATAATATTAATGGCACTATGTTTTATTTTTAATAAATTAGTATTACATTTTGTGACTATTTGTAGAAAAATTAAGCCATTAGATATCTTTATACCTTTTTGTTTAAAGCTAAATATTAATTTGTTGCATGGAAGTTAAATCAATATTTACTAGAATCATTAGTAACTAACCAGCTTGGATTTCACATTAGGTACTCTCCTATTCCAATGCTTAGACATGGGTATACTTACATTTAAGATATGAGCTGTTAAGTTAAATTAACAAATAGCTATCTTTAATTGTGGAATTTACATATACTTATCTTTAAATTTAATTCATTTAACAGTTATTTATCAAGTCTTTTTATTGTGTATATGGCACTGCCTGGCTATTCCCCTTGGGAGATTGATATATTATGTAAATACAGAGGTAGAAAATGATGGGTTGTAGAGAGTTACAGAAAGACTTATTGTTTCAGAAAACTATGAAAAACAAAGAGATTACCTAGATGAATTATAGGTAAAATATAATAATGTGGAGATTAGTGGAGAAGGACAATCTTTTTAAAAAATATATTTTATTGATTTTTTACAGAGAGGAAGGGAGAGGGATAGAGTGTTAGAGACATTGATGAGAGAGAAACATCGATCAGCTGCCTCCTGCACACCTCCTACCGGGGATGTACCTGCAACCAAGGTACATGCCCTTGACCAGAACCGAACCTGGGACCTTTCAGTCCACAGGCCAACGCTCTATCCACTGAGCCAAACTGGTCAGGGTGAGAAGGACAATCTTAAGTGCAAGGAATTACATGAACAAAGATAAGGAGACATGAAAACAAAGGCTTTGTATAGGTCTATAAAGAATAGTTGGGATATGATTGGAGTGTAGTGTGCAAGTTGGAAGATTAAATTTGAAAGATAGTTTTAAGTTCACATTGAGGTAGTTGCTCCTTCATTTTCTTGCACCCATTTATATACATTTTACCTTCATCTGTAATGTCATCTGTTTCTTCCTTTCCTCTAAGAACATTTGGTGTTCTTCCATTGTAAAACCATTCACTTCGTCAGTTCTTCTCATCCAGAACCTCTTGCCACTGAACATCTTTCTCTCATGTTTTCTCTTCATTTATTTCTTAGACTTTTCTTTAAACTTTCATATTTCTCTACTTCAAGTGTTTTCTTCAGAACAAAGATTTTTGGGAAAATTGTCACTTCTGCAGAATACTCTGCAGCCACCCTAGAAAAAGTTATGTGTGTAGGGGAGAAGGAAGTGTCTAATATTTTTTCAGAGTCCAGAGTGCCAGTAGTTGGAATTTCCTGGAAAAGAACACAGAGAAGTGGATATGGAGGGCTCAGAATTTAGTCTAGCAAGTTTAGGGCACCATTAGACATCATTACAGAAATATGTGTAGATATGAAGAATTTTAGGACTAAAGCTTAACCCTTTTCGGTCCAATTTTATTTTTGGAATTCAAACAGTCTGGTCCAAATTAATTGACGGGATTGAATGTTGAACCGGTTTGCGGTGTGGACCTCAGCCTCAACATTGGACCTGCTCCTAGCGCCTGGTCTGTTGAGTCAGCCTCGACGTTGGACCGAAAAGGGTTAAGAAAATAATTAGGTCTAGAGATAGTACTGACAGTTGTTCATCTGTAAGGAACAGTGTCACCATAATTGATCAGTTTTACAAGTACAAAAACATTTCTTAAGTATTTATACGTGGACACAGCTTAGGTTTAAAAAATTGTTAAAACTAAAATGTACCTTAAATGTAAACAAAGACAGTGATATTTAAATTTGTGAATTAATCATATGTGATGCCTATTGATTTTGTCACTATCTTCTTGTAACCACTTCTGCAACTATGCCCAACATTTTAATAAAATTAAGTATCTATTGATAGCTTTAATTTCATTAATCTTGAAAAACTGGTGATTTTTTTCAATAGAAATAATTTTTTAGTTCATGAAATTATTCATGACATTTACTTCCTATTAGGACCACATATCCAGGATAGTCAACTTCTTTAAGTTAAATGTACAAGTCAAAGATAGTTATATATGTTTGCTTTACATATGTGACCTATATGATTATGTATTTTCTGTAAGAAACCAGTTATCTTGTAAACATACTTTTTACAATTTATTTTTTAATTACAGTTGACATATATTAGTTTCATGTATACAACATAGTGATTAGACACTTATATACCTTACAAAGTGATCACTCTAGTAAGTTTAGTACCCATATGACACAATATATGGTTAATTGTAAACACATTTAAGATAGTAAGTTTATAAGATAAATATTCTTTTAAAAGCTAAATAACTATTAATTTCCTGAAAGTTAAGATGAAGATATTTATCTATTGTCTATCTTACCTATTTCTAAGAATGTGAAAATATAAAAATATATTACAATAGTATGGAGGGAGGTGATTTCATTGTTCTAAAGCTATAATCATATAATTTAATATGTTTTCTTTTAAAGGATTTCAACACATCTTTTTTAATGTTTTATGCAGATCACTCCTTTTTCTGAAGCCAGAAGATGAGGACTATCAAATGTGTGAAGCAATTGACTTTGAAGAAATTATAAAAAATGAAGGCTCTTCTCTAAAGAGGCAATGTAGTCCTATAAACTCGTCTAAGAAACCATTTATTATTAATATTGTCCCAGAAAAAGATAATTTGACATCTCTGTCAGTATATTCAGAAGATGGTTGGGACTTACCATACATAATGCATTTGTGGCCACCTATCCTACTCCGAAATCTTCTTCCTTACAAAATTGTTTATTATATACAGGTATTCTGGAATTTTGTTAAATATCTTTGTGTCTATGGTTTTGGTACTGGAGATAGGTAATACTATTTGGTAATACTCAAATGGAAAATAAATGTTTAATCATGCTGTGTAAAAATAGGATTTAAAAAATATTTTCCATTGATTCACCTTTGAAATTTGACTACTAAGGCAAATATAAATGACCTACACAAATGTGATATGTCATTTAGAAAATAGAGATGATAGAAATTGCCTAGACTCACATCATCTGAAGGTAGCTCTTTAGATGAAAACAGTTTTAGAATATATATTTTTCTATATTTTCTAAGCATGTACATTTCATATGTCATACATTTAAAATATGGATTCTAACTTTTGAAACAAGTATGAGAGTTAGTATTAAATAATATTTAAGTACTAGACTTAAGTGGAAAAATGCTGCTACATTATATTATTCTGATAATAGGTCTCTAAAAGGATTTTATGCCCTATAATGATGCTTTTTCTTTTAAATATTCTGTTTTAACAAATTATGTCTGATTTCATCAGGATTTTAATATTACATTTGCCATGCCTATCAAATATAAGAAATATCTTCATTGTAATTTATTAATTATTGTTTTGGTCATAGTGTATTAATTATTAATTATTGGTATTTACTATATGTATACACTTCTTTGATAATTTTTTTGGAGCGTGAAGTTAACATCTATGGTTTAAGAATATCTGTTTTTCTTTATATTTGGCAGATGTTCTAGTGGTTAAGAATTTGCACTTTGCTTTCAGGTAGATCGGAGATTTAATCCTAGCTCTATTACTTACTAACTTTAGGCAAGTTATATTGTCTTTCTGAATCATTTATCCTAATTTATGAAAGGGGGATAGTAATAAATCTTGCATGATTGGGATATGGGGAAATCAAACTAGATGATATATATATAAAGGATTTAGCACAGTGCCTTGTAGGTACATGATTGCCATTCATTTACCTCTCTAACAGCACCACCACTACTATTCTATTTTGTGGATATTAACATGCCACGTGTCAATAACTTAAATTACTTTTACTTTAACTAATTTAAAATCTTAAGATGAAGAGATTCCTATGTTATAACAACAGGAGGGAACCAAGTTAGAGGTGCTAGACAATATGGTGAATTATCCAGGCATACTATCTATCTATGTTTCATTCTCATAGGACTTTTAATTTGATGCTTTTAGGGATCACATTCTGTTTGCTAGCTCCCAATGGATATGACCAATTTTTAGAAAGACAGGTTAGCTGTGGTATAAAGAAGGGATTAAAGGAGACAAGAGCAGTTAGGAGACTTAAAGTGAGAGGACACAGTGGCAGGAACTAAGGTAATGAAAGTGGGGGTGAAGAGAAATGAATGGTTTTGAGAGATGCATAAGATATAATACTATAAACAACTAGAGGCCCGGTGCATGAATTCGTGCATGGGTGGGGTCCAGCTGGCCCACCCTGATCGGGGCCGATCAGGCCAGGCCAGCTGGGAGGAGGAGCCATGGGCAGTTAGCAGGCTGGTCCCACCCCCGATTGGGGGGGGGGGGCACAATCAGGGATGGGGCCAGCCAAGGGGAGGGGCTCCGAGATGTTGGAAGGCCGACCCTGCTCCCTGGTTGAATTCTGGTCGAACTCCCAGTCGAGGGGACAATTTGCATATTACCCTTTTATTATCTACTAGAGGCCTGGTGCACAAAATTCATGCACAGAGGGGGGGGTCCCTCAGCCCAACCTGCACCCTCTCCGATCCGGGACCCCTCTCACAATCCGGACCCACTGGCTCCTAACTGCTCACCTACCTGCCTGCTTGATGTCCCCTGCTGGCCTGATTGCCCCTAACTGCTCTCCCCTGCCAACCTGATCCCCCTAACTGCTCTCAGCTGCTGGCCTGATCCCCCTAACTGCCTATCTGCTCTCCCCTCCTGGCTTGATCCCCCTAACTACCTAACTGCTATCTTCTCTCTTCTTCCGCAGTGCTGGCCTTCTCCCGCGGCACCAACCTTCTCACCTCCTCCCTTCTCCCGTGGCACCACCTCCTTCTGCCTTCTCCCTTCTCCCGTCTGCGGCGCCTTCTCCCATGGCCTCTGCAAAAGGGACCGTGGTGCTGGATTGGCCCTCACAGCTGCCATGGCTGCTGGCCCTCGGCCTTGCAGCCGCTGTGGCTTTGTCTGGAAGGACCTCTGGAAGACCTCTGGTCTAATTAGCATACTTCCCTTTTATTAGTATAGATAATAATAAAAGCATAATATGCTAATTAGATGAGACAGCTGAACGACCTTCCAGACAAAGCCTGGGCTGCGAGGCTTGAGACAAGGTGCTGCGGCTGCGAGGGCCAAACCCCTTGCACGAATTTCATGCATTGGGCCTCTACTATAGGATAATTGGAAATGGGTGATGAAGGATTGTTAACAATCAAGAATGGGACTTATTTTGGATTATTATCTCTTTTCTCATGCATTTTTCATAATTTTTTAGTTTTCAAAACTAAAATGACTAATGGATAAGATTTCATCTCTTCTCATGCATTTTCCATCATTTTTTAGCTTTCAAAACTAAAATTACTAATGGATAAGATTTTTAAAATGTTTTACTAGTTATATGTATTATAATGTTTACTAGTTCCATTAGAGTTTTACATTATATTACTTAGTTTTATCCTAACAATAGTCCTTTGAAGTTGATCACTTAGACCATTTTTGAAATATGATAGCTCATATCTCGAATAATTTACCCACAGACTTGGAGGAAATGTGAAAGTTTACATAGTTGGCAGAGTTAGAACTTGAATATAAGTCTTCTAACTTGTTCAGACAGAAGTATGTTTCAAAAGCAGTTCGTATAACATTTGAAATCCTTAAATAGAATTTTTGGCATATTTATCTGAGACATTAAAAAATTTACTATATTTACTATATTTTGTTTATTACAGGGGAATGAACATAGAGTTTTTACTCTAAATGAAGGCTCTTCTGCCCATATTTGTACCGTACAATTGGATAAAGCAATACTACATTTAAAATTACTTGACTATCTTAATCAAGATTGGAAAAGTGAATATCATATAAAACCTAATCAACAAGATATTAGTTTCATCAATTTTACCTGTGTTACAGAAATGGAAAAGAATGATTTAGATATTGCTATCCATGTGACTTATAATCCTGGCCAGACAGTTGTGGCATTTCATAGCCCTTACTGGATGGTCAATAAAACTGGTCGAATGTTACAGTATAAAGCAGATGGAATTCATCGAAAGCATCCACCTAATTATAAAATGCCAGTTCTCTTTTCTTTTCAGCCAAAGCACTTTTTTAATAACAATAAGGTACGTAAAGTTTTTTAACTTTTTTTTTTTTAGCTATTTATCACTCCTTTTTAGATTTTAGAATTTTGAAGAATAAAATAATATGAAACAGGTAGAAATAACATTTGTTAAATATTTGATGTTATAAAGATTAGAATTTTGTGTTGGGAAAGGTTTAGTGCATTAACAGTACAATATTTATGCTAAGAAGCAAAATGTATAAATTTAGGTTGGAATTTTTAAAGGTACTAATGTTGTAATATCTTTGAAATATTTTTTCCTAGGTTCAGCTTATGGTAACTGATAGTGAGTTGTCAGATCAGTTTTCAATTGATACTGTTGGTAGTCATGGAGCTGTTAAATGTAAAGGCATGAAAATGGAGTATCAAGTGAGTTCATTCTCTGCTCATCAAGAAATTTTTATTTAAACTGTATCTGTTGACTACTTAATTTTTAAGGATGTTATGATAATGTAATAATTAATATGTTTTTCCTTAGGTTGGTGTCATTATAGACCTCAGCAGTTTTAACATTACCAGAATTGTGACATTTACCCCTTTTTATATGATCGAAAACAAAAGCAAGTATCATATATCAGTGGCTGAAGAGGGGAGTGATAAATGGCTCTCTCTCGATTTGGAGCAGGTGGGTAGATGGATTTCAATAATATAGCTCTTAGAATTTCATTTTTCCTGGAAGTTAGATAACTGAAATTACTATGTAATGTTTTATCTTTCCATTCCCCCAATTTTATTTGTTTCATAATTTATTGAGGATTTGTACCAAGCCCTACATATTTAATTATTAAAATTCAGAACTTGCCATTGAGAAATACATTTCTTGATAAGGGAGTGTAGACATTTAGCAATTACTAACCAAATGGAGCAAATAGAGCAGTAGAAGACTAGATAAGGTATTAATGCAGGAAAGAGAAGGAAATGATTTATTCTCTTCAGGAAGGTGTTAGGACTGCCTTTAAAGAATAGATTAAGCCAGTTATTTTAAGAAGGTGGTAGTGACTTAGGAGTAAAATATTTCTATTACTCCATTTTTAGCTGTTAAACCTCTACATAAGAGCTGTCTGAAGGGCTGCCAGATGGTGATAGAATATTTTACTTTTGAAGAAATTTTATTCAAATATGTTAGGATTATAAGAGAAGTGTTTGCTATTTTTATTCATTATTCTATCTTGCTTTTAAACCATCCTTCTTGAGTCATTCTGGTTGAGCTACTTCCTTTCGAATTTGCTTTAGTGCTGGTTCTGGAGGAAAGTACCATCAGTGGGTGTTTACCCATAAAGTTTTTATCATCATCTTTCTTTTATGATGCCTTTTCTTGATAATTCTATTTTTTCTCAGCATGTTGTATATTTTACTCCTGTGTTTTTTGGCTTCCATTTTTGTTGAAAATTTGGCTGTGGTTCTGTCATTTCTTTGGAGGTCATCTTTCTTTTCTCCTTAGCTGCCTTCAGTCTTCTCTTTGTGTTTGATATTTTGCAGTCATACTATTTGTCTACATGTGGGTTCCTTTTATATATCCTGCCTCATATGCTTTACTGCTAGATCTGTGGGTAACGATTTTTCATACTTTCTATAAAATTTGCAACTATTGTCTCTTTAAGTATTCTCCTGTTCATCCATTTTCTCCTTCCGAGCCTTTAATCAGACATATCCTAGACTTTCATATTCTATTTTCTCTGTCTCTTAATATCTTTTTTTTCTATCTGTATAACTTTCTGTGCTACAATCTGGATAAATTCTACATATATTTTCCGTAATTTTTTACTTTTACTATGTCTAAACTGTTATTTAAACCTTCACCTGAGTTTTTTATTTGTATTTCTCATTCCCAGAAGCTCCACTTTTTTCAAGGCTGCCTGTTAATTCATTCTTTTAGCAAATACTTATTGTGTACTCCTATGTGCCTTGCGATAGTTACATCTGCTAATGAAACCACAAGTCCCAGTCTTTGTATAATTTATATTTTAATGGAGTTGTAGGGAAACATTAAATGAATAATACCATGATCAATTAGTAAAATATATAATATGTTTAAAGGTGACAGGGGGATAGAAATAAGACAGGTAAAGGAGTATTAAGAGTTATAATGAATACCCTGGCTGGTGTGCTCAGTGGTTAGAAAATCACCCAATGGACCAAGGTTCTTGGGTTCAATTCCCAGTCAATGGCATGTACCTGGGTTGTAGGTTTGATCCCTAGCCCTACCTTGGGACAGGTATGAGAGGCAACCAATCAATGTGTCTCTCTCGCATTGATTATTTTCTCCCTCTCTCTTTTTCTATCTCCTTTACCCTCCCTCCCTTCCACTCTCTCTAAAAAAAAAAAGAAAGAAAACATTAGTGGAAAAAATATTCTCAGGTGAGGATTAAAAATAAAGTCACAGCGAAAAGGGGTGAGCTATAATTTTGCATAAGGTGGTCAAGGATAGGACTTATTGAAGTCACTTTTGAAAGACATGGAGGAATTGTGAGAATTAGCAATTGTTAGGAGCTCAGCTGAGCTGGAGCTAAGCAGCCAGGTATTGGAGTAGCTGATTAAGACAACAAACCAAAATGAACATAGTCAAACCATTAATCAATCGCTTACTGAGATTGTATAAGCAAGAAGCTAAACTGGAGAAAGCCCCAACTCCCCTGTTCCATTTTTCCTATGGAACAGCATTGGTCAGGCAGGGGTCAGGTGGATCAGCAAGACACTAGGGTTGTGTCACAATCGGAGGAGCCCTGAACAAAAGGCTTTTACAGTTTTATGGACCTGTAAGATGGGGGTGAACAAGGGGAAAGGCTCGGAGTGGAAAAATCCTGAGCACTGAGTCAGAATAGAGAATATGTGTCTTCAGGGTTCCCCTTCTCACCTTGATAAAGAGGTTTTGCATAGGTTCCTAAGGAAGGCCTATGCCAAGGGCACTACAAAAAAGCCTCTGAATAAAGGTGCCTGGGGTAGGAATGCAGATATGTGTAAGAGCTTGGCTGGAGGTAGGGCTGAGTCCTTGACAATGCAATAAGCTGGCTGTGCACCTGGTCTGGTGTGGGAGGACAGCTTTTCCCTGTGAGGCCTGCCAGATTAAAAAAAAAAATCACCTTTGTCGTTAACTATATTCTGACCTGAAAATTACACGTAGCTTTTTAGCCAGGAGCTGGCCACTTGAGCAATGTGGGTATCTGGAAAAGAGCATTAGTGACAAAAGGATCAGCCAGGGTAGGTGCCCCAAGGTGGGAGAATATTTGGCATGTTTGAGGGAAAGCGAAGTGGCCAGTAGTACTGGAAGAAGGAAAAGTAGCAGAGGACAAGGTATAACGGTGATAAAGGGTAATCGTGCAGGACTTTCTGAGCCATTGCAAGGATTTATCTTTTGCTCTGAGTGAAATGGAGAACTGTTGGAGGGTTTTGAATAGTTAAACATAGTATGCTTTCAATAAATATTTGTTAAATAAATATAGTATTTATTCTTGTAAATGTTTCATGTGGGTTCTTGGCTTGTTGGATATAGAACTGTCTATGTATCTAATTGCAGAGATTAAAGCGGTAGCTTTGTTTTGCTTTATAGGTTTTCTAGGTATAACTTTTTCCATACTTTTATTTACAGCAGTTCTATGTCTCGATTTATGTGTCTATTGCCAGTAACATTATTGGGTCTTATCTTTTTAAAAACACATTCTATAGCCCATGTCTTTCGACAGTTAGTTTATATTTATATTAATTTTGATTACAACTGCATAACAACTTTTTTTTTAAAAAGTTGTCTTATTTTCAATTTCCCCTTTCTTAAGATATCTTTTCTTTGCTAATTTAAAAGTCTTATATTTTAATTTTGGCTTATCGTGGCCAACCTTACCATAAGATTTATACTCATGATTATTACCTATATAGATTTGTTTAACTTATCTACATCTCTGTTTTCCCACTACAAAAGACAAGTACTTTCCTACTTTCTCTAGTCTCAAGAGGTGAGCATATAATATTTTTAAAAGATATGCAGCATATCTTTTTAAGCATAAAAACATTTTTTAAGGCAAGGCTACCAGAAGGTAGCAGGCTAGGGGAGTTGAGAGAGCATATCAGTGTTTCAGGGGAAGTAGACTTGGATTAGCATTGCTGCTCTTTTAATTCTTCCAGGTAATTGTCTGCTAGGTTGCAGGAAATCCTGAGGGGCACCTTTTAAGCCTCTTACAGCCTTAACCATGTTCCATCTAGTTCTGTTAATCACCTTTTATGGTTGAATAAAACTGACTCTAACATGTCAGTTCTGCTACATTTTCCCAGGTCGTGTGATAATCAGATATCACACATGAACAGTCCCACTGAAATATGTGACGTCTCCAGTCTGGCTGGGGCTTACAGACAGTTTGCATCTCCATTCCTCTCCGTTTAGTTCTTTTTGTTTCCCGCTCCTGCTAATCCAGTCTTCTTTCTGGGTACACTGACTGTCTCCTATTCTTTCAGTTTGGTTTTCAAATCACCGATATCCAGGTAGTTTTTAATTTTTTGAGCCTGTTTCCTGTTCTGAACTTTGAATATATCTTTTACTTTTGTACCCTTGTTTGACTTCCCTGAGTCAACATTTGGGTGTACTTGACTACTGCTTAATTACCAAGGGTTGCCCACAACTGACTATGATTTTCAGTAACAGATCACTTGCTTCCCTTGTGCTCTCTGCTCAGCTTGTTGATTTTTCAAACCCTTATCTAGATCTGGACCACATTAAAATTTCTGCTTATCATAGCTTTTCAGCTTACTACCCATTACTGCTTGTTTTCACACTGTCCACAAGTGGCAACACATCTCTAAGTAGGCAGTTTATAACTGTTTAGGTAAATAACCCAGTAACCAGAGCACTGTTGAAAGAGATTTATTTTCATTTTATTTTGTTTACTCTGATGGGTTTATTAAAATGATAAAGGTCTTTATGGTACAATATATTGTAGGTTCTAAAAAAAATAAATATATGTAATATATGTTTTAGTGTATTCCCTTTTGGCCTGAGGATGCTTCAAATAAACTTCTTATTCAAGTTGAAAGAAGTAGAGGCCCTCCCCAAAAGATACATTTTAACAAGCAAGAAAATTGTATTTTATTGCGTCTGGATAATGAGGTAATTAATTTGTGTGTGTGTGTGTGTGTGTGTGTGTGTGTGTGTGTGATGAGTTAATGTTACTTACTAGTATTTAATTTTTTTGTATCAAATAATTTTCTCATGGTTTTTTTCCCTTTCACCAAAAATGAACAAAGATTTCTTTTTTGCGAGGGAAAAAAGTACTAAAGGGAAACAGTCATAAAACAATTTTGTTATACAGAATTAGTAGAAGTGCCAGAACAGGGGTGGGCAAACTTTTTGACTCGAGGGCCACAATGGGTTCTTAAACTGGACCGGAAGGCCGGAACAAAAGCATGTATGGAGTGTTTGTGTGAACTAATATAAATTCAAAGTAAACATCATTACATAAAAGGGTACGGTCTTTTTTTTTTTTTTTTTTTAGTTTTATTCATTTCAAACGGGCGGGATCCGGCCCGCGGGCCGTAGTTTGCCCACGGCTGGCCTAGAATATACATCTGGAATTTGACCCATCTATATATAATAGAGAGTATGGTTTCCCAGACATGCCATATAAAATAAAAATATGTTATGAAAAGTTTTGTTATTAAGTGTTGTTAGTTAATATTCTTTGAAAAATGATCACATTAGAGAATATTTTCTCTTTTTTTATAGCTTGGCGGTATTATAGCAGAAGTTAATTTGGCTGAGCATTCTACAGTTATTACATTTTCAGATTATCATGATGGAGCAGCTACATTCCTATTAATAAATCACACTAAGAATGACATTATTGAATATAAGCAAAGGTAAGAAGAGGATCACAAATACAGTATCCCCTGATTTGAGCAAAGTCTAGGTGATGAGACACTGACTTTATGATGATTTCTTTTTTTAAATTAAATATATTTTTATTGATTTCAGAGAGGAAGAGAGAGATAGAAACATCAATTATGAGAGAGAATAATTGATCAGCTGCCTCCTGCACATCCCCTACTGGGGATCGAACCATGACCAGGAATCGAACCATGACCTTCTGGTTCATAGATTTATGCTCAACCACTGAGTCACACCAGCTGGGCTATTCTCATTGTTTTCTTAGAAACCCTCTTTTCCATTATATAAGGAAAAACTTTCAGTCTACTTTTAATCAGAAATATTATAAATCTCAATTAATTGACTTGGAATTACTGAACTATATTATTTTGGGTTCTTTATTCATTTTCTTACACTTAATTTAATGCCTATTTTTACTATTTGTGTCAGTTCTCTCAGTGAAATAGAAGACTCTCTCCCTCCTGGAAAAGCAGTATTTTATACATGGGCCGATCCAGTGGGCTCTAGAAAGCTGAAGTGGAGTTGTGGGAAAAGCCACGGTGAAGTAACACAAAAAGATGTATGTTTTGGGCTGATTATCATGATGTCCTCAGCAGCATTTTTTTGTTTTTTTAAATAGTATTCTCTTTGAGCCTTACTAGTTTTAAGGCATGTTTATGTCTGCACTACTAAAATAAACTGACAAAGATTTAAAAAGTATTCAAACTTTAACTTAACCAAAAATGTTTAAAACTTGAAGTAGTCTTATTTTGCCTACATCATTAATTGCTTCAATCCTATATAATAAAAGGGTAATATGCAAATTGACCCTAACAGCGGAATGACCGGGAATGACCGGTCACTATGATGTGCACTGACCATCAGGAGGCAGATGCTCAACGCAGGAGCTACCCCCTGGTGGTCAGTGTGCTCCCACAGGAGGAGCTCTGCTCAGCCACAAGGCAGGCTGACAGCTGCAAGCATAGCAGCAGTGGCGGGAGCCTCTCCCACCTCCTCGGCAGTGCTAAGGATGTCTGACTGACGGCTTAGGCCCATTCCTTTTGGGGAGCGGGCCTAAGCCATCAGTCGGACATCCTCTGAGGGCTCCCAGGCTGCCAGAGGGATGTCTGACTGCCAGCTTAGGCCCGATCCCCCAGGGAGCAGGCCTAAGCTGGCAGGTGGACATCCCCCGAGGGTTCCCAGACTGCAAGAAGACACAGGCCGGGCTGAGGGACACCCCCCCACACACCAGTGCACGAATTTTCATGCACTGGACCTCTAGTCGTATATAATAAATAGGTAATGTGCAAGTTGAACATCACTCCAACACATAAGATGGCCGCCCCCATGTGGTCAAAGATGGCTGCCACAAGATGGCTGGCAGGGGAGGGCAGCTGTGGGCGATCAGGCCAACAGGGAAGAATAGTTGGGGGGGACCCAGGCCTGCAGGGGAGGGCAATTGGGAGGGACAAGGCCTGCAAGGGAGGGCATTTGGGGTTGACCAGGCTGGCAGGGGAGGGCAGTTAGGGGCAATCGGGCCGGCTGGGAGGGCATTTAGGGGCAACTAGGCTGGCAAGGGAGGGAAGTTAGGGGTGACTGGGCCAGCAGGAAGGGCAGTTGGGGGTGACCAGGCCTGCAGGGGAAGACGGGTGACGAGGCCGGCAGGGGAGGGTAGTTAGGGGCATCCAGGCTGGCAGGGGAGGGCAGTTAGGGGTGACCAGGCTGGCAAGGGTGGGCAGTTAAGGGTGACCGGGCCAGCAGGGGAGGGCAGTTAGGGGCAATCGGGCCGGCAGGGGAGCAGTTAGGTGTCAATCAGGCTGGCAGGGAAGTGGTTAGGGGGTGATCAGGCTGGCAGGCAGAAGCGGTTAGGGGCAGTCAGGGAGGCTGGTGAGCGGAAGGGAGCCAGCAGTCCTGGATTGTGAGAGGGATGTCTGACTTCCCACCAGGATTGAGCCTAAACGGGCAGTCAGACATCCCTTGAGGGGTCCCAGATTGGAGAGGGTGCAGGCTGGGCTGAGGGACACACACACACACACACACACACACACATGAATTTCATGCACCGGGCCTCTAGTTATGGTATAAAGGTAAATTGTATTTAGAGAGGGGTTTCAGCATTTACCTCATGAACAGATATACTCTTCATTGACAGTCATCTTAGGCCATTTTCACTTCTGTGAGGAACATCTAGGGATCTACTAACTAAAGAATTTATTTCTGGTAGCAAGCTATTATTGATATGGTTTTTCATAATGATAAAGTTGTACATAAACATTTTCCAGTAATATTTTCAATGGCTTTCAGAAATTGGGGTTTTTGTTGTTGTTTTTTTAGAAATTGTTTTTAAACAATTAAAAATTAAAATTTTATTAGTCTTTTAAAATCCGTCTTAATTTGACCCCTATTCCAACGTCTTATTTATTTGATCTGTTGGTTAGTAATTTTGCATATTTATGCCATAATGATAGTTGAATATTATAAAGCTAAATCTGAAATCCACTATGAAATATTAGAAATACTGTATAAATATTTGAAAATAAGTTAGCTTATTGCTATATATTTTATTTTAGAAAGAATTATAAGCAACATGTTTGTTCCTAGATACTGATTTTACAGTAACAACTCCAGTTTTTAATATCAGTGGGTTATAACAAATGTGTTCTGTATATTAAAATTTATTCTTAATCAGAATATTTACTTAACTAGAAATTCATGGGTAATTGTTAATTATTAGAATTTGCTATATTTATCTTGTCATTGAACCTCAAGACCCTGATAACAGTGCAATGCTTATATATAAAGGCTTCCTGCAGAATTACTCACCTGTGCTGAATATCCATGTTTTGTAGAGCATGCAATTGAGATGTCAGATATGTTTTATCCTATTTACTTCAGCTCTATAAGGAAATATGAATTTCTGACTTAAAAAATAAATAATGCATTGGTTAGTCTTAGGATAAAGGAGAGAAAATAATGCTTTGTGTTATTGATAAGCCTACACAGGAAGACTATTTAATTAGACTTTATCAGGATATTAATAAAAGAATAATTGATGTGTCTTCCTTGCTAATAACTTTATAATAGTAATGCAGAAGCAGATATCAAATTATTGTAATTATGTAAATTTCCATTGTTACACAAATATTAATTCATTTAGTTTGTTTGACCCTGTGAAGGAGGCGCCATTACTATTCTCATTTTTTAAATATTAGTTTAAATGTTGGTTGGTGCCATACTCTTAATTTTTTATTTTTTGGTGATTTTATTTTAGGATATGATGACACCTATAAATTTGGGGACAAAGACTATTTATTTAGTTTCATTTTTTGAAGGCTTACAACGCATTATTTTATTCACTGAAGATCCAAAGGTATTTAAAGTGACATATGAAAATGAGAAAGCAGAATTAGCAGAGCAAGAAATTGTGTTGGCATTACAAGATGTTGGACTTTCTCTCGTCAACAATTACACAAAGCAAGAAGTAGCCTATATTGGCATTACAAGGTTAGATGCATTATAATTTGGATAAATTTAAACGATCAGTTCTTTATCATCAAGAATGGTGATTGTAAAATCTGAAATAATTTAATTTAACATCTTTGTTTTGATTAGCCATAATACTAAGATAATGTTAATTTTAAAATGCTTGTGAGATTTTTTTTGCCCTTGAGATAAAGTTATATGATAAATCAAATTCATAAATCCCTTTTTATGTTGTTCATTCTCTAAAAAGTTAGATTTATTCAACTTATCAAAAGTCTACTTTCTTTATTTAACACGCCATAATGTTATTCCACCAAAATGCAGGGTATGTTGATGCTCCTTAAATAGTGGTTCAAGGAATAAAGACAATCACGTTCTAATTTACCTTAACACTTTAAGAGCTAATAAGGTGATACTGTATTTATTATTCCCCAAATAAGTCACCACTAGTAAAACTTTGTTTTCCCTATGCCCGTAATACTCCTGTTTACAAATACTTACAGTAAAATTAATTTATGTGTATTAGTAACTAATTTGAGGGTATTGCTGGATCCCAGTCTGTATAACCAGGATCTTTTAACTTAAACTAATGTACAGATATGTGTGTGTGTATGTATGTATGTATGTATATGTATATATATCATATATCTTTATATAAAAGATGTATAATGTATAAACGATATATAATCCAGATTTAAATTTTTTTTTTTAATAAATGCATCTAGAAATGTTCCTAACTCTTCATTGACTGGAATATATTCTAAAAGGAATATTAAAAACTATTTTCTTAGAAATATGTATTCCTAAAAAATGTTTATTATTTAAACAAAAATGTCAAATAGACAACCTGTTATGGGCTATGTCCTATGCTATGGTGTGAATGCAAGTGGGAGTAACACATGGTTCCTATCTTTTTTTAAATTAAGTGAATATAAATTTTAGAAGGAATAAACAAATAGAGTACTTAAATAAAATTAAATAATTTACATACTAAAACAGAAAGAGTGAAGTAATTTTAGAATATGGGTAGATTTTTTGTTCTATATTTAATTCTTTTGGCAATTTTTCACTGAAATAGATTTGTTTCATTAATTCTCTCATTTTCCTAGATTGTTTCACACTCTGTCTCTTTTTAAACCCCCATTTCCTCTCTCAGCTCACTGCCTTGCATCCCATTTCACTGAGAAAATTGAAGCAATCAAAAAGGAACTTTCAAAGACCCACCCCCCAATATCAACTTCCTACTCACCAGCATTTATTACCTGTATACTATGCTGACATACTTACCCACAGTTATCATAGGTATATCATATGTGCTATTTAAACAAATTTTTCTGCTTTTGCATTGTATTCTGTTCCCTTTTACTTTTTGAGACACTGATCTAGCAATTCTCTTTTTTCTTTCTCCTTTCCACAATTTCTGACTCTCTTTTGGATTGTTCTCATCAATATTATTTCTCTCAACTTAAATTTTATTGTCTTGATCCTACTTTCTCTGCTATCTACTGCCTATTTCTTTGCTTCCCTTTATAGCCAAACTGCCCAAAAGTGTTGTTCATGACAAAAGACTTAAATATATTCACTACATTCAATTCTTTTTTACCCATTTTTTTCTTTAGTCACTCCCAATAGGCTTTGGCTCTCAATGTACCATGAAACTGGTGTTACCAAGAGCACCTTAGGGATGTGTGTATTGCCAGGTCTGAAGTACAATATCCAACCCCCTTGTTGCTTAAAAGTTCATAACATTTAACACAGATTCCTTCTTTGACTGACCTCCAGGATTTCTTACCTTGATTTTTCTTTTTCTCCCAACATTCTCAGTCTCATTTGTTGGTTCCTTGTCTTCTCCATTGGGTGCCCTGAAGCTCTCAAACCTAATCCTCTTCTCTGTTTCAGTTTTATGATTTCAAATACCACATATAAGCCAAATTTTCTAGAAATACATCTTCAGCCAGATTTTTCTTCATGAACTCCAGGCATGTATATCCAGCTGCCTACATAAAATTTGTACTAAAATACCTAAGAGACTAACTATCTATATAAAACCCTAATATGCAAATCGACCGACCAGTCGCTATGATGCACACTGACCACCAGGGGGCAGACGCTCAACACAGGAGCTGCCCCCTGATGGTAAGTATGCTCCCACAGGGGGAGTGCCGCTCAGCCAGAAGCCGGGCACATGGCTGGTGAGGGCAGCGGTGGTGGCAGGAGCCTCTCCCACCTCTGTGGCAGTGCTAAGGGGCAGCAAGCCAAGCTGTAAGGAGCAGCAAACAGGCAGGCCTAAGCCGGCAGGCAGACATCCCCAAGGACTCCTGGACTGTGAGAGGGTGTAGGCCAGGCTGAGGGACCTCCCTCCCCTCCTCCCCACCCAGAGTATGAATTTCGTGCATCGGGTCTCTAGTACTTTATATGTTTAAAACCCATTTCCTGATATCCTACCACATCTGCCTCCTCATTGAAGTTAATGACAAATACATCCTTCTAGTTACTCAGGCCAAAAGTGTTGGAATCATTTTGTTTCATCTCTTTACTCACACCTCACATCTAATCCATCTAGAGCAGTGGTTCTCAACCTTCCTAATGCCGCGACCCTTTAATACAGTTCCTCATGTTGTGGTGACCCCCAACCATAAAATTATTTTCGTTGCTACTTCATAACTGTAATTTTGCTACTGTTATGAATCGTAATGTAAATATCTGATATGCAGGATGTATTTAGGCGACCCCTGTGAAAGGGTCATTTGACCTCCAAAGGGGTCGCGACCCACAGGTTGAGAACCGCTGATCTAGAGGCTATGTGCTGGCTCTACCTTCAAAACATACATAGGATCTGACCACTTTTCACTACCTCAGTGTTATCACCCTAGGCAGAGCCCTCACCATTTCTCTCCCAGCTTACTACATTAAACTCCTAATAAGTTTTTCTGCTTCTAGCCATCATTCCCCTTTTCTCTTACCCCTATCCCAGCAGTGTATTTCTAACAAAGCTTAAGTCAGATCGTGTCATTGATCTTCTCATAATCTTTCAACTGTTATTCATCTCAGAGTAAAACTCCAAGTCTTTACAATATCCTACAAGGCTTTCCCATTATTTGGCCCCTGTCTTACTTCATCTTCTACTCTTCTTTTTTTTTTTTTTAATCCTCACCTGAGGATATTTTTCCATTGACTTACAGAGTGTGGAAGGGAGGAGGACAGACAAAGAGAGAGGAACATTGATGTGAGAGAGACACATGGATAGGTTTCTTCCCGCACGCTCTGTCTACTGAACCAGACTGGCTAGGTCGTCTTCTACTCTTAATGTGTTCCAGTATGCCAGCCTCCTTGCTCTTCTTCATATACTACAAGCATGCTCACAGAGTCTTTGCTCTAACTGGTCCCTCTACTTGAAATGTTCTCCTGTTGTCTTCTGGATAAATTCCCTGATCTCTAAGTTCTTGAAATCTTACTTCCATGACACCCCTGTTGACTACTCACTTTTAACACTGCAACCCACAACTTTGCATATCCCAATACTCCGTGTCCACCTTTCCTTGTCTACTTTTTCTTCTTTCAAAAGCATTTCACCTCCTAATATATTAAATATGCTAAGTTACTATATTTATGACTTTCTTTTTATCAGTCAGCTAAAATGAAGCTAAAGAATGGCAGTAATGTTCACTGCTAGAATTCCTACTACCAAGAATGGTGCCTAAGTAGGAATTTAATGTGATTGGTTGAATTGAGGATATTGCAAAATTTTTACTCAAGATTTTGTAATTCATGTAATAAACCAGTTAAAATGAAAATGTATATAAATTAGTACCATGATTTTTGCTTTCATATGTAAGTTCTGATGTGGTTTGGGAGACAAAACCCAAGAAGAAGGCAAGATGGAAGCCAATGAGTATAAAGCACACTGAGAAGTTAGAGAAAGAATTTAAGGAATATATTGAATCTTCACCTTCAGAAGATAAGGTTATTGAGTTGGACACTAATATTCCGGTAATATTTTTAAGTACTGATATGAAGTTTTAATTTTTATCTATTATAATTAGATTAATCACCAGTTAATATTTAAGTCTTATTTCCTTACAAAACAGTGAATGTTATCATACATACTTAATATAAAATATTAAAAACTCAGACTTTCTCTTGAGATACTAGTGATCTATTCCTTGGTTAACAAGCCAGTAACTATTTTTTAATTATTTGTAATGTTATTTTATATTTCTCACTTGTTTTGGGTAAATTTTAGCAAATTTATAAAAAGTGATACAACCAAGCTCTAAGGAATATCTGAATGTTTTTGTGAATTGTATGGATATGGGCTATAAAGTTCTCATTCTAAACCTAATTGAATATTTAGCCTATTATTTTAATTAGTATTTTTAAAATTTTGGTACACATTTCTAATTTTAATCAGTTATGAGTAAATAGGAATTCTATGTGTTTTTGGGGGATGCCATGTTTTTCAGGTTCGCTTTACACCTAGTGGCAATAACATGAAAATTCTGCAACCACATATAATAGCTATACGAAGAAATTATCTGCCAGCATTAAACGTGGAATATAACACATCTGCACATCAATCATCATTTAGAATTCAAATTTATAGAATACAGGTGAGTCTGAATAGATAGTCAAATTGTATTATAAATTAAACTAATTTATTCTTATGGTCTATTTTAACACTTCCATTTCAGTGTGGGACTAGACTTTTTGATTCCTTCTCCTTAAATCTTGTTATTCTAGTCAGGTTCTATAATTAACATATGAACATACTAACCTGGGTTTTTTTTGTTTGTTTGTTTGTTTTTTAGATCCAAAACCAGATACATGGTGCTGTATTTCCATTTGTATTTTATCCTATTAAGCCTCCCAAGTCAGTCACCATGGATTCAGGTTTGTCTATATCTTTAGATTGCTATAAAAGTGGTTGTATTAACTGTTTGGTTTATTTTACTATAATAATATGAAATGAAACCATTTTACTCAGCTAACTTCAACAAAACTCTGATTGAATACTGAAGAAAAGATTAATTAGAAATATATATCTTAATGTTTAGAAATGCTACTTTTAAAAAATTACAATGTTTAAAACTCTGATTTAAAAGCCACTGAGACCTTTGAATAAATAGTGAGGAAGTTCAAATTCAGACTGTTTTCTAACCACAGGAACTGCCCTAATCCCCAGTTGAGAATGATTACAAGTCTTTTCTTCCATCCTCTCTTCCCTTCACCTTCTTTCTTTGCTGTTGTTCTTCCCCTCACTTTCTTTTCTCTTCCCACTACCCTGCTCCCTCCCTCCTTTTTCTTTCCACAGTTACCTTCATACCACTGACTAAACTATCTAAAGGAGTATTCATAATCTGCTTGGAAGCTTATTGACCAGTATACATGCCCAAGCCCTTTCACCTAGAAGTCAAGGGCAAGATCCTGAAATCTGTGTTTCCACAAAGTTTCCCTGATGGTTCTAATGCTTGCTTCTAGTTTAAACTCACTAATTTAAAGGATTAGTAATCCTCAGAGGGAGTATAGATAATGTACAAAAACAATCCTGGAGTCTGAAATTAAGACTATAATGGGTCATGCAAATATTAGTAATTTTAATTGATATTCACCATTTAGCAAATAATTTAGTTAGCCATTGTAATGTGTATTACATGGTAAGAAAATGCTGCTTATCTTTTTTTAAAGCATCATGGAATTAATCATATTTATTACCCTTTACAGCACCCAAGCCCTTTACAGATGTCAGTATTGTCATGAGATCTGCAGGGCATTCCCAGATATCACGTATTAAGTAAGTGTCCTAATACATTCCTTGTGTATTTATTTAATGTTTTGATTTAAACTGTGCTCTTTAGAAAAAGTAAATTTCAAATAAGTCAAAGATTTAAATGTACAATATTAAATTATGAAGGTCATAGAAAACGTCTATTAATTATTTTATAATTACGGAGAATCAGAAGGCTCTAAATGAAATACACCTAGGTATTAACGAAAGTTATTTCTAAATTATGGGCATTTTATTTTCCTTTTTGTTTATTTGTTTTCTCAAGTTCTCTATAATTACTGCATAGTGTTAGAAACAAGAGAGAAAATAGTATTTTCAAATTCAGTCACCACCCAGTGCAAGAAATCTAACATTTATAGAAACATTCATCTATGTATTATTCCCTTATTTCTTGTTTTCTCTGCCCTATTACCAAGACAAACATTATTCTCTTGCTTTTTTCTTTTTTAAATCCTTACCTGAGGATTTTTTTCATTGATTTTTCTTTCTTTTTTTTTTTTGAGAGAAACATGGATGTGAGAGACAAACATCTATTGGTTGCCTCCTGCAAGTGCCCCAACCAGGGATCAGATCCACAACTTCAGTATGTGCCCTAACTGGGAATTGAACCCACCACCTTTGAATGTATGGGACAATGCTCCAACCAACTGAGCCACACTGGCCTGGGCTATTCCCTTGCTTTTCAAATTATAGTTTTATTATAATTTAAATAATATCTATCTAATGTGTACCTAAACATTATGCTTCTTAGTTTCCCTTTTCTCCTCCTAATTAAAATTTTTTTTTTCAAACCGTACAATACTCCTGGGACTTGCTTTTTTTTATTAAGCTTTTTAGTAAAATGTATTCATTTTGTGGTATGTAGCTAGAATTTATCTATAAACACTAATAAATAATGTTTGATGACTGTATACCACAGTTTACTTATAGATTTCCTCTCTATAGGCATTTTCATACTTGAGTTTCTTGCTATTATGAAGTGTTACCATGACATTCCTCTAGAAAGTTCTAAGTTTTAACATTCTAATATTTAATACTTTTTTCTTTATCTAATTTTTTTAATACTGTTAATTGATGACCTTTCATATTTTCTACTTTGTAATATAGATACTTCAAAGTGTTGATCCAAGAAATGGATCTCAGGTTAGATCTTGGGTTTGTCTATGCATTAGCAGAACTTATGACAGAAGCTGAAGTAACTGAAAAAACGGAGGTAAGACTTAAAATAATGGCATTGATGGTAAGGATTCGGAAAAGGACTGAGAAAAATGTTAGCTATCCTGATAAATTATTTCTCCCCCCCTCCAAAGGAATTCTTTTTTTTTTAAATTTTGTTTTATTGCTTAAAGTATTACAAAGAGTATTACATATGTCTCCTTTTTTTTTTCTCCCCTTGACCTTCCCCCGGCCTCCCCTACACCCCAGTGTCTTGTGTCCATTGGTTATGTTTATATGCATGCATACAAGTCCTTCAGTTGATCTCTTACCCCCACCCCCCAACCCTCCTGATAAATTCTTAAAGTGTTATAATGGTTTTGTTTCATTTTAAAAATATTTTTATTACGCTGCTGTGGTGAGTACATTGGCAGAAATCATTTTTTTAGATTATAGAAGACACGAATAGTCTTAAGCAAGATAAGTTAAAATAGTCTTTTAAACGTGAGATAGCAAATAGGAGGAAAGATTTAAATCCATAGTAGAAGGAAGAGGATAATCAGTCATGTTCACATTACTGTGGGTTTTTTTTTCAATTTTACTTTCCTTGGTTACTTTTGTTTAGATTAATAATTTAGAATAACGATTTCAACCGGTGCACTGTGGCACACTGGTGTGCTGCAAGAATTGTAAAAAAGTGCAATACTTAACTATTTAAAAAAAATAAATACATTATTTATTACAAAACAAAAATAAATGGATTAGATTAGTGGCCTTTTCGAGTAAAATCTGTAATCACATGAGGAAAAGCTTAGCGTCTTTTAGTGGATTAGATGGAAACATAGAAGATATGCTTATCAGTTTCCGAGCGACAGACAGAACTTTCCTAACAAAAGAAATATTAGTTTCTCTCCTCAGGCAGTATCTTCCTAATTATGAATGATGTTGGATCTGGATATTACAGGGGAGTGTTCTGCAGTGTGTGAGCTATTGGCTTAACTACTTCCTGAAGATAGGTCCCTTAAGTTTTTAATACTTTATGTTCCTTTACAGGTTGAACTTTTTCATAAAGATATAGAAGTTTTCCAAGAAGAATATAAAACAGTTTCATTAGTAGATTCATCACAAGTCAGTCTCTATGAGTATTTTCATATATCTCCTATCAAGGTAGGGAAAAATAAGTTATTTTTATTATCTATGATAATCTAGGTAATAGCAAATTTAATAACCCTTTAAAAATTTTATTCTTATAATAATTTTCACCATATGGAACTAATAGTGGAGCTACCCACAGCATGTGTTTATATGTTTATGTCTTGACCTAACAGATTTCCTTAGTGTTAAAGTATTTAATGACAGTTTTCTAAATTTTGTGTTGATGTATGTATAAGTTTTTCTTTTAACTGGGTTGTAATTGATACATTAAATTTATTTCAGGTATACAGTGTAATGATTTGATATTTGTATAGACTGAAATGATCATCACAATATATTACCATCTGTCTGTATACAGTATTATAATTTATTTATTTTTTGTGATGAGAACTTTTAAGATTCCTCCTTTAGCAACTTTCAAGTATGCAGTACAGTACTAACTGTAGTGTATACATTTTAATTTATAAATTAATCTTAATTTAAGATTTGAAGATTGGATGGAACTAAATATAAGTTCTTAACACAAAGTTTTTATGAGTTACTTACAGAATACTTGAAGAAAATTATTGTATAGCTGAGTATACAGCATGTATATGCATACAATACAAAAGTGCTTTTAACATCCTGCTACCTTAGTTCTTATAGTTGAAACATTCACTTGTGGAGATATTTATTTCAGCAACTTTAACTTCTAGATATTATTGTCACTAACAATGTATAAATGTTAATATTTTCTTAGCTTTACCAAAAGAATTGGATTGAGCTAAATATATCATCATACATTGCTGAATTTAAAATTTAAAAAGAACTGTATTAGATTTTAAATCTTTTAAACTTTTCACTTATTAAATTTGGCACAGTCCTGTTATCTTTGAAATTTTATTTGTGGTGTAGTGACTTTAAAATAAAATTGAATATTAAAAATTAATATTGTCATTATGAAGGTACTGATTTAAATACTTATCTCTTTATCTCTCTAGTTGCATTTAAGTGTTTCACTGAGTTCGGGTAAAGAAGCAGCTAAAGACTCAGAACAGCATGAAGGATTCATTGCAATTAGTTCTTTAAATCTCTTGCTGAAGAGTATTGGCGCCACTCTTACAGATGTACAAGATGTAGTTTTTAAGTATGTTTAAATTCAAATCTACAAATTGATGAAAAGTCCATTTTATATTCACCAAAAATTTATAAGTGAAAAATGTGTAAAGTACACTGCACATCTTAGGCACAAGATGGTTTTGTTGTTAAGTGTAACATAACTTAGGTAACATACACCTGTTAATCCTTAACTATTGAAAAACAAATTAGTTGTTAAATAATTTCCTTAAGAAATAGAGACAGGGGTCATGCATGTTGGTGCACTCTTTAAGGCCTGTCTGGTCTAGGGAAGAATTCTAAGCAGCTGTGTGTGCCCAAAGGTGTGGTGCTTAAAAGATGTGACTTTAAGGCGGATCAAGACTCTTCAAAGTATATGTGACTAGAAAAAGTGAATGTCATGACAGGGAAATGAAGGGATCAGTTTAAATGTTACCATCAGGAACTTAACTTTGAGTAATTGTGGGAGCTATTAGATAGAGTATCTGACCAAAGAGTGTCCAAGTCTGAGTGGAGACTTCAGATAAGAATGCCCTTTTCAACTACCACCTAGAACTGTTACTAAAAATAATAAGAATCAGTGAGTCCAGTAAGAGATATCTCTGAGTCTGGGTAAGTTAGTTAACAGTCAAATAAAAGAACAGATTTGAAGACATCATATCAGGAATAAAGTGAGAATTCTAGTCTTGCTATCTTATCTGCTAGCATAGAGCTTTCCAATTAGTTGATTGGGTGTATGCTGGGAACAGGTTATAAGTAAATATACCTTCATTCCTCAGCCGTAGGCTGTTCAGGCAGGCCCTGCAGCAATGAACCCTGGTCATTCTTGAGCAACCACTTAAATTTATCTCAGTGTGTCAAACATTTTCTATGTGGGCCATGATAAGACTAAGTTGACAAATATAAGTTCATGTCCATAGATCCAAGGGCTCTCTGATCCTCTAAATTATGTGGAAAATGTGTGTATGTTAGTGGCTTTTCTGAGGGTAAGATCCATAGCTTTCATCAGATTTTTAGAGCTTTTTTGACTAGAATGTGCAGAGATGTATGTAAAAGAGTAGGTTTTCTGGTTGGCATGGGAAAAGACTGAAAGGAAAGATTTGGAGAAAAATTCTAAAGAAAATGAAATCTTAACATTAAAGATTTTATTCCCTCTCTGCCTGTCTCCCTCTCACCCTCTCTCCATGCACGTACCTACACATTTACACATTTTTAATGTGGTTTCTTTTTCAGGCTTGCATTTTTTGAACTCAACTATCAGTTTCATACAACATCTGAACTGCAGTCTGAAGTAGTAAGACACTATTCAAAACAGGTTTGTCTGAGATTATTTTACAAAGGGGCAGAGTGATATAAAATAGTGAAACTGTATGTGTCTGTACCTATATAATGTAGATTTGGCAAGGAAGTTAATAGCCATTTTCAAAAATTTAAGACATGTATTTTATTTTCAGAATTGTAGAAAGAGGCTCTGGCCAAGTAGCTCTGTTTTTAGAGCTTCATCCCAATATGCCAAGGTTACAAGTTTGATCCCCTGTCAGGGCACATATGTGAATCAACCAGTGAATGCATAAATAAGTGGAACAACAAATTGATGTTTCTCTCTTTCTCTCTCTCTCTTTCTAAATTCAGTAAGTAAAAATTAAAAAAAAAAGAGAATGGCCTTTCAGTTTTCTGTCCTTCTAATTTTTAGCTATGTCCCCAATCTTTTCTGGAACAATGTAGACTACACATAAACCTTTAAATAAAATATTAAGTAATTCACCACACTTACTTAAAAAACTAGGCTCAAAGGAAACTATTAGTAACTGATGAACACAGGGTATTTTTTTAAAATATATTTTTATTGATTTCAGAGAGGAAGGAAATGGAGAGAGAGAAAGAAGCATCAATGATGAGAGAGAATCATTGATGAGCTGCCTCCTGCATGTCCCCCTACTGGGGATCGAGCCCAAAACTCGGGCATGTGCCCTTGACTGGAATCGAACCTGGGACCCTTCAGTGTGCAGGCCAACACTCTATCCACTGAACCAAACTGGTGGGGGCGAACACAGGATATTTTTAATGTAATTGAGTTACTAAGTCTTCTAGATATATTATTTTAGTGGATTTTTTTCCCACATTTGAAAAGATTACAGTATTTTTATATAACTTATAGGGCATCTGAGACAGCTGTTGAATAATGGACAGATCATTGAGCATGACTCAAGAGGTCAGGGTTTGGATTCCGGATTTGCCATTCAACCTCTGTTTGGCCCTAGGCATCATTTGACCTGTATATTTCTTCAGTCTATAAAATGATGGTAGTATTAACAACTTTCACACACAGTTGTAAAACTACAAGTATTTTGAATATTCTAAAGTATTATGTAAATCTTACATTATTTCTAATACTCTAACACTGAATTGCTTTTTAAAAACTGACTAGTGACGAATAAGGTAATATATGGTTTAGGTGTTGAAATTGATGATAAGGATATTAGCCTGAAAAATTGGATGTGTGTACTAAATTTAAGAAAAAAATATTAAGCCTGATAATCCAAATTGATTAATGTTTATGTTTTCTTTTTAGGCCATTAGACAAATGTATGTACTCATTCTTGGACTTGAAGTTTTGGGAAATCCCTTTGGCTTGATTAGAGAATTTTCTGAAGGTGTAGAAGCATTTTTCTATGAACCTTACCAGGTAAAACAGTTATTCTTGCATTGTGCAACATATCACACAGATACTGTTGAAAAAATAATGCATTCCAATTGTTAACTTGAGTTGCAGATGTAAATAGATTTTGTGAGTCACAAAGGCACATTATTTTGCAGCGAACAGTGTTAACAGCTTTTGAGAAATTTGGGAGGAAATTTTTACATTTTCCCTCAGATTTTAAACTTAAGACTTTAAACAAATATACTGAATTTTAAGTGTTCTATTGTAAAATTAAAGGTGGGTAAACTTACACTCTAGTAGAAGGAAGAGTATTATGGACAGGCAGTTTTGCTATGCACAATAGTATGCACAGCTAGCACTGTGCAAAGCAATCTCAATCAATGGCAGAAATTATGATTTTTCTATGTCCCTTAAAAATTTCTGCCAGAATGTTAAAACATGTTGCTACTTTCACACTTAAAAGAGTAGATGATAATGAAATAATAGAAAAACATATTTATTTTGTACAATATAATTTAAAACATTAGATATATTAGGAATGAAAGTGTTTTTATTTATTTCATAAAAAATTATCAAGGGTAGTGTGTGTTCACCTTCTTATCATACAACATACAGAACAAACATCTTTTGTACACTTTGATGAATAGCCATTCTCCTAAGTTTGGATTAACTTGCAACACTTAATCCTTTTCACTTGCAATGTCATGAACTATCTGAGACTTCCGTTAATGTGAAGTTTTCTTCTGGTGTCACTTTCTCAGGGACATCATTTTTTTTTTTTGTCGCTACTATTTTCTTCATATCAATTAGTGCACTTTTAAAGGTAAATATAATCTTATTTGTTGTTATTTTTGATCCTTTAGGGAGCCATCCAGGGTCCTGAAGAGTTTGTGGAAGGAATGGCACTAGGATTGAAGGCATTAGTTGGGGGAGCTGTTGGTAAGAAACAGAATGCCTCGCGAATGTGATTATGCTAGAAAGTAATGATATATTTGCTTTTACTAAAGATATGTTAATTTCTCCTAGGTGGATTAGCTGGTGCTGCCTCCAAAATCACCAGTGCTATGGCTAAAGGGGTAGCAGCTATAACTATGGATGAAGACTACCAACAGAAGAGGAGAGAAGCCATGAACAAGCAACCGGCTGGTCTTAGAGAAGGCATCACTCGAGGAGGAAAAGGCTTAGTTTCTGTAAGACTTTCCCAGTGTTGTGAATGTTATAGGAAATATCTATTATTATTATTATTATCATTATTATTACTACTTGAGGCCTGGTGCACAAAATGCATGCACGAGTAGGGTCTCTAGGCCTGGCCGGCGATCAGCTGATTGGGGCCTTCTGGCTGCTGGCTGGGGCCTTCCTTTCCTGGCTGTCAGCTGCTGGCCAGGGCCTTCCTTTGTTCCTCAACTGCCCCCTTATAGTCAGTGCATGTCATAGCGAGCGATCGAACTCTCGGTCTCCTGGTTGAACTCCTGAGGGGACATTTTGCATATTAGCCTTTTATATAAATACTAGAGTCCTGGTGCACAAAATTCGTGCACTTGGGGGTGTCCCTCAGCCCAACCTGCACCCTCTTGCAGTCCGGGAGCCCTCGGGGGATGTCCAGCTGACAGCTTAGTGCTGCCACAGAGGTGGGAGAGGCTCCTGTCACCACCTCTGCGTTAGGCTTCTGGCTGAGTGGCGCTCCCCCTATAGGAGTGCACTGACCACCCGGGGACTGCTCCTGCATTGAGCATCTGCCCCCTGGTGGTCAGTGCTGGTCGTAGCAACCTGTCGTTCCACCGTTCGCTCTATTTGCATATTAGCCTTTTATTATGTAGGAGATAGATAGATAGATAGATAGATAGATATAGATAATTATTTTAAAGATTTGTGGGGTTTTTTAAGTTGATTTCAGAGAGGAATGGAGCGAGGGAAGGAGAGATAGAGAAACATCAGTGATGAGAGAGAATCATTGATTGGCTGCCTTACTGGGGATTGAGCCCACAACCTGGGCATGTGCCCTGACTGGGAATTAAACCATGACCCCCTGGTTCATGGGTCAACACTCAACCACTGAGCCACGCTGGCTGGGCAGAAATATATTTTAAAGCCATATTCTTTAAATAAGGAAATAGATATATAACTTACACTCCTTCAAGTATTATTTGCATGTTGGAGGAGTAGTGTGTTGTGGCCTATATAAAATATGTCAGTAATCTCCAAAAGCATTCTGTTTAAATAAAATATTTAGGAAATACATTAATTCTTATGTATCTAGAAAGCACAACTCTGTATTTTTATTTTTTTGTAAACCAGATTTGGTTCGTCAAGGCATTGTGTGAAAGTATTATAAATTTTCAATTGTGCTTTCCTTTTAGGGTTTTGTAAGTGGCATAACAGGAATTGTTACAAAGCCAATCAAAGGCAAGTATAATAGTTTCTTTAGGTGATATATATTACCAAGTGTTTCAGAAGTTGATTCAATTTTCACTCTTAATCTAATTGCCTAAAGCTTTGTCTTTTTTATTTCTAGGAGCTCAAAAAGAAGGAGCAGCTGGTTTCTTTAAAGGTGTTGGGAAAGGTTTAGTTGGAGCAGTGGCAAGACCAACTGGAGGCATCATAGACATGGCTAGCAGTACATTTCAGGGAATAAAAAGGTAAACTTTCTTTGATGTAGGGTATGAGTGAAATGCTTAAACCATGAGAAATGAAATAAATCTGCTATTTGGCTTGAGGCACTCAGTTATGAAACCTGAAATATGGCAAATTGCATATTATCTTCCTAATTACTTTTGGTATATTTTTTAAGTTGTTGCCATTGCATCACTTCAACTTGATAGAATTTTTTTGTATTTGTCATCCATTCCCAGCAGCCTTGGCAACAAAGGTTTGACAAGCAAGCTTTTTCATTATCTTTATCAGAATACATTACAACAATGTAATGCGACATGTCAGTTATAAAATTAGCAAATATTACACTGTTGCCTTTTAGGGGGAACAATGAATGGCTTTTTCTATTCTGGGTTCAAACTCATTTGTGTTCACCTTTCTTTATAATATTATTTTGTTAAAGGTTATTACATCTGTTTCCTCTGTCTCTTCATTGGTACAAATCTTAAAATATGTCCTCTCTTCCTCAAAATTAAATGTAACTTAAGACTGAAATTTAGTATTTGCATTATTGTTACCTCTATTCTAAAAATTTGCACATGTATGTATCACAATTGATTAAATTCATGCTGAGACCTAATTTATTTTTTTCCTTTTTAATTTTTATTTTTTATTGTTGTCTATTTTATTCCTTTTAATGAGACCTAATTTAGAAAGTTAGATGGCTGGATATTTTTCTAATCTATTTCCTTTTGTATTTTCTTTTGCTTACTGCCGTACAGAGATAAGTATTGTCATTGTATGAGTTGCTCCTCTTAAGTCAGTATTTCATACTGCTTTACCACAATTGTGGGTGTTCAGCTATATTCCCTTTCAGCAAAATAAAACATTTTTATAAAAGTAAGACTAAAAACTAATAAAGGATATAATTGTGAAGAAGGATGTTGAAAGCAGAAAGGGAAAGTGGGTTACAGGAACCAAATGTAAGAATATAAATTGGTGGATAAATCTAATTGAACTGTATAAAAACAACATTGGAATCAGAATATTAAAAATAATAAGATACAATTTGAGAAGGAACTGATTGGCTTTAAGGTATACATTATTTCTCTGAATAGGATTACTATGTAATATTAGATAAAATAGACCTTAAAGCCAAAAAAAGCATTATTTTGGATAAGGTAATTAGCTAATGACAAAAAGAACAGTTAACCAACAAGATAACAATTTTGAACTTGCACTCAACTCACAATAGACTCACTCTTTAGAAAGCAAGAATTGACAAAACTACAAACATTTTCCAAATCTTCCATAACATTTCTCTGAATAATTAATATATTAGGAAAACAAAATTAAAATGATTGAACAGTTAACAAGCTTGATCTAATACACATATATGAATATTTATTGATTGAACACATTTTAGAGAGCATCTTATATGTCTAGACACTGTTTTAATCACTCAGGGAGCCAGAAGTAAACACAATTGGCAAAGTCCCGGTCCTCATACAGCTTATATTCCATTGGGAAAATAATAGATAGAACTGAGTATACTGATAAACATATGGTATACTAAATGGTGAAAAATTCTATGAAGGAAAATAAATCAGAGTAAAGAGGTCCAAAGTAGTGGGGAGGAAGGTGGCTAATACATATATGATGTTCAGGGAAGCTTCATTGGCAAGATTAAATTTGAGGAGAGACATGAAGGAAGCAAGGTAGTGAACCATGTGGGAAGAATGTTAAAGGCAGTAGGAATAGTAGGTAATAAAAAACCCTCATGCAGGCCCTAGCCCGTTTCTCAGTGGTTAGAGCTTCAGGCCATGGACTGAAGAGTCCTGGGTTCAGTTCCCGGTCAAGGGCATGTACCTCTGTTACGGCTCTATCCTAGACCCAGGTCAGGGTGCATGTGGGAGGCAACCAATCGTCTCTCTCACATCAACGTTTCTCTCTCTTTCTCTCTCTGCCTCCCTCCCTCCTTTCCACTCTAAAAATCAATGGAAAAATATCCTCCGGTGAGGATTAAAAATGCCCATAAAAAAAACAAACAAACAAAAGCTCTGATGCAGTAGTATTTTTGGCCTCTTTAAGGAACAGCTAGACCAGTACACCTAGAGTAGAGTGAGCAAAGGAGAAGGTTGGAAAGGTTCTACAGTACCTTTCAAACACACACATACACACCCCCCACACCATACCACGCCCCATTCATCTTATATGAGAGCATTGATTTAAAATCAGGAATTTATAAGAGGAATTATTCCTCCCTCTCCTTAGAACACTCTTCCCTCTTTTGTCAGCATGGTCACTTTCTTTATTCAGAAGTTGTCTTCCCAATGGGGCCTTCCATTGCCATCCTAAAATTTCAATTTATTCCCTGTCCCCACCACAGATACTTCATATCTTCTTCCCTTCTTTATTTTTTTTCTCTTTAGCTCTTATCACTGTTTAACACAAGCACATTTTCCCTTGTTTATTAGTCTCTCCTCCTAGTATGCAAATTCTATGAGTGCAGTGGCTCTTGTTTCCACAGCACTTCAAATATTGCTTGACATGTGGTAGTCTTTTTTTTTTATTGAGATCATTGTAAAGTCACATGCATTTGCAGGAAATAATGCAAAGAGATTCTTCTTACACTATACTAGTATTGTTTCCTATGGCAGTTGTAACTATCACAAACTTGATAACTTAAACCAGGGATGGGAATACCTGGCCAGAGGGCTATATAAGGCCCTCAAAATCATTTGGTTTGGCCCTGCCAATCATTTGGTCTGGCGGGACTCAAAATTCAATAAATCTAGGAGCTTGTTTCATAGCAACATAAATTTATATTAAGTGAGTTATATTAAGCGAATGATGTTACAAATATCCAAATGGCTGTTGGCAGAAAAATAGGTTCCCCACTCCGTTCTTGATAGTATTTTTTATTAAGTCTAATTTATCTGTATCTGTATTTTTGTTGGTTGCTTATGCTTTTGGTGTCATATATAAAAAAGCATTACCTAATTCAAGGTCATGAAGATTTACACCTATATTTTCTTCTAGCTGAGTAATAGTTTTATCTTCTAAATTCAGGTCTTTGATTCATTTCAGTTAATTTTTGTGTATGAAGAGAGGTTGCGTTCATTTTTTTCTTTTGCATGTGTATATCTAGTCCCAGCATCATTTGTGAAAAAGACTATGTTTTCCCCATTGACTGATCTTAGTACCATTTTCCAAAATCAATTTCTGCAAAAAAGATAGCTGGGACTTCAATAGGGATTGTATTGGATGTGTAGATTAATGCTATGTTAACAACATTAAGTCTCCCAATCTATGAAAATGGATGTCTTTCCATTTATTTAGGTCTTTAATTTCTTTCAATAATGTCTCATAGTTTTCAGTATGCATCTTCTTAATTTTATTCCTAAGTATTTTATTATTTCAGGTACTATTATATGTGTGTTTTTAATATTTTTTTAATGATTTTGAGGTTTTAGCAAAGGCAATTAGTCAAGAAAAAGAAACAAGACATCCAGAACTGAAAGAAAGAGGTAAAACTAACTTTATATTCTAATGATATGATCTTACATATAGAAAACCGCTAATAAATCCACAAAATGACTATTAGGGATAACAAATAAGTTTTGTAAGGTTGCATAATACAAGGTCAATATACAAAAAGCAGATGTATTTTTATACACTAGCAATACACAACCTAAAAATGAAATTAAAACATAATAGCACTTGCCCAGCTGGTGTTGCTCAGTGGTTGAGCATCAAACCCATAAACCAGGAGGTCACGGTTCGATTCCGTGTCAGGGCACATGCCCAGGTCGCAGGCTAGATTCCCAGTAGGTGTCATATGGGAGGCAGCCAACAGATGATTCTCTCTCATCATTGATGTTTCTTTTTCTTGCCTAATTGCCTTTGCTAAAACCTCAAGTACAGTGTTGAAAAGGAGTTCCAAGAGCAGACATTTGTCTTGCTCCTAATTTTAGGGGGAAAGATTTTATTGATTTTATTCTTTCACCATTAACTCTGATGTAAGCTATGGATTTTTTGTAATGTCTTTTGTCAGGTGGAGGAAGTTCCCTTTTATTCTGAATTTGTTGAGTATTTTATGAAAGGATGTTGGATTTTATAAAATGCTTTTTCTGTTTCAATTAAGTTGATATTGTTTGCTTTTCCCTTTGGTTTATTAATATGGTATATTACATTAATTGATTTTTATAAGTTGAGCCAACATTGCATATCTGGGATAAATTCCACTTGGTCATGATGTATAACCCTTTTTATGTGTTGTTGGGTTTAGTTTGCTAATATTTTTTTTTAGTTTGCTAATGTTTTTTAATGATTTTTGCATATATATATATATATATATATATATATATATATATATGCATGCT